GCATGAAATAGGGATTCCGCAACACAGGATGAGCCAAAATCACTTTTATAACAACTGTCACCCCACTTTTGGCTCTCCATGTAAGTTTACCGTTTACATATATATTATAAGTACTGGACTAAAATCGAAAACTTACAGACCTTAGCTATCTATTTGTTATAATTCACATCGCTATCATTTAATCCTAACCGACGGCCACACCTTCGCGATCCAAATGCATTTGCCTCTGCGCGATCTTCGTCCACGTGTTCTGATGAGAAAAGAGGAAATTATAATAAAGAAACAAGATGATGAAAGAGTTGAGTGTTGTTGTCCGTCACTGATTAGTTGATAAAAATATCACATGTTTTGTTTACGTCCCTGTTCATCCCGAACCGAAATGTTTGCGTGCAGTTGTTTTTCGTTTATCTATGTAATTACAAATGGCGGACAAACTTTTGAATTAAAAAAAAAAACATTTCTTAAATTATGTCTTGCAACCTTATCTCATGAGAATTTGAGCGAAAAAGTGTTGCGTGAATGAAAGATTTGAACTTTTATCGTATGGGAATGAATATTTTTGTAACCGAATGAATTTATATGTTCCCGCTTTTGCATAACGAAGCATGGCGGTCTTCATTGGCTGTGTTATAACCAGTGGTGTGATTCAAATTTATTTGTCAGCCGGTTCTATCACAAAAGTCATATTTTTCAGCCGTTTCAATAAAATAAGGGATATTTATTTAGTATATAAAACCAGTAATGCTAACCGGTTCGCTGATCTCATAAAATTCCATGAGACGGTTCTATAGAATCGTTGCGAACCGGCTGAATCCCACTACTGGTTATAACGCTTTCCAATATCCATCATAATAGCGGGTATATATACCTTTTTCGATGTGGGAACGCCACGTAAAATAGAGCATTCTACCTTATTTATAGTCGAAACAGTGAGGGTTCGCACGTGCGCTCGATGACAAAGAATTCGGTTATGATCATAAATACAATACCGTATTCAACACCCCCCCCCCCCCCCCCCCCAGCCATTTCCTTAAAATAAGACGTAGTCGAAAGTGCGAATGCATCTAGTGATTTGCAAGGCAATTTCCATGGGATTATGATATGGTCATTTTTAATTGATCCATTTTTAGCAGTTTTTTTACAAATAAAAACGTGTTATTTATAAGTAAATGGATAACGGCTTTCATATTTTGCATATTTCAAAATCTGGCGCTCTACCTTTTAATTTTGCTTTAGATAAATAAAAATGAAAGACATCCCCCAAAATAAGCCCTAGTGTAATTTTCGAAAGAAAATTGAAATAAGACCCGCGTTTTTGATTTTTGAAATTGATTTGAAAAATTCAAGCTAGGTCGTATTTCCGGGGAAACACGGTATTTTTTTTACGAACATTATGGAACATATGAGCTTTAGCTACATTGGGTTTCTGAATAAATTAACTGATAAAGAAAACAATCCGGCATTTCCACATGTTAAATTATCTTTTCGGAATCTAGCGACTTTGAGAGAGGTTTTTCACCATGGAATGATTCTTAAAATAGTCTCTTCCGCTTTGGGGCAGTTTGGTAGCCTATATGCGCGCTTGAATATCATAGGTATATCATATCGTTGCAATAATAAAAAACTGAAGAATATTAGTAATACTACAGCAAATACAAAGCCATATCCCTCCCCTGAAACGATCAAAAAACTCTAAGGTTGGGAAACGTGCGGCTGTTTTGACGAACCGTCTTGACAGCCGCACGTTTCCCAACCTTAGAGTTTTTTGATCGTTTCAGGGGAGGGATATGGCTTTGTATTTGCTGTAGTATTACTAATATTCTTCAGTTTTTTATTATTGCAACGATATGATATACCTATGATATTCAAGCGCGCATATAGGCTACCAAACTGCCCCAAAGCGGAAGAGACTATTTTAAGAATCATTCCATGGTGAAAAACCTCTCTCAAAGTCGCTAGATTCCGAAAAGATAATTTAACATGTGGAAATGCCGGATTGTTTTCTTTATCAGTTAATTTATTCAGAAACCCAATGTAGCTAAAGCTCATATGTTCCATAATGTTCGTAAAAAAAATACCGTGTTTCCCCGGAAATACGACCTAGCTTGAATTTTTCAAATCAATTTCAAAAATCAAAAACGCGAATTCTTTTTTTGATTTAGTCGTTAGCAAGAAATCTCTCCTACACGCTTTAAAAAGTGTTACCTATAAGTAAATGAATAGTGGTTTTCATATTTTGTATATTTAAATATTTCGGTTTTTTCTGCTATGTAATTTTTTTTTTTGATAAAGGAAAGTATAGGACATCCCCGAAAATAGGCCCTAGTGTTCTTTTTCGGAAAAAATTGAAAAAAGACCCAGTCTTACTTTCGAGGAAACACGGTATATCACATAATTGGGTACAATCGATCTTCCGCGGGTTTTGATTTCGATTCTGCTCTGACTCAATATCTACACCGCGTGTCCCATCACCAAATAATTAATAAAAATAATTCATCCAAAATCAATAGGCTTCTGGTCCGAGATATGACGAATGCAAAATTTGGAGCAGATTCAGCCTCGCTTTCGTAAGAAAATACGAAAGTGAAACAAACAGACAAATACCTATCAACATACTTACCGATCGAGATCGATAAGTAATAACAAAATGTTCCATAGGTCCACCTCGTGAACAAGAAATCGACTGAATCTCAAAGCCTCTCCTTCTTTGCAACTATTTTTCAAAATGAATTTGACCACAAAATTAAAGTATGCGGTTTTCATTTGATCAAAAGAATGTACAGTGATTCGGTGATTACGTATAAAAACAGTGAACTATTAGTGCATGAAGTAAAAAATATAACAGGTCTAAAATATTGGACGGAATAACGATAAATAAACATAATTTCTTTCTAATGCAAGAGAGGAATTCTCAAGTATATACAAACTATAATAAAATTAAATGCTATATTGAAAATTAGTTATCAGGGCCGAAGCTGTAAGTATATGTGGAACTAGTATGCGCCTCAGCTTTTCATTTCGGAGGGGGGGGGGATTTCCAATTTAGGTGGTAGTAAATATTTTGCTTTTAGCGATAGAAGTATTTGTAACTCATAAAAATTTGCTATGTATTTGACAAACAATCTGTGATGTTGTATACGCTACTCTCTGGATATTCAAATACAATTATATTTAAGCTAGGAATCACCTCATAATTAAGGATGTGTTTCAAATTTTAGAGATGGGGGGGGGGGGGGATATCTTCAATATTAAAACTACCACTAATCCATCTCTATGAAAGTTGGGCCCAAAACGATTGGACGAGTGGTTATATACCCCATTATAAGCTAGTACTGTAAACGTGAATATAAATTTACGCTGGCAACTATCTTGCCGGAATAGTAAACACGACACCAGCGCAATTTTATGAAAAACCGCAAAATTTGAGGAAACAGAATTGGAAGCTCAGACCTAACTTACAGATTATTGGGTACAATCATACACAAACAGGAGTGTTAAATTACTTTTCTATCTTTGTCAAAGTAATTAAGGAATTTATGGGCCTGGTTTTTGGGGTCATCTTGGAATAAGAAAGTAACTTAGGGTAAACTGAGCCAGTAAATAGAAAAATACTAATTATTTCATGCTTAACATTTGATGAATATAAATAATTTTAATTTTTGTCGGACGATTTTCCACGCTTTTCGGTAAATATATATTAGTAATAGTCTTTCGACCCATATTATCCTCGTTTAAGTATGGGCCATGGGTCTTTCTAGATGTGATGAATTTTTATGAAATAATCAGTAAATTCTACAGTGCATTTAACAGTAACGAATACTATGGAACTACTTTTTATAAGTTACAAAATTAGGGACTGCAAAATTTATATAGACATAAACGGCTGCGAAATGGCATGGTCTTCTAGATAACTATTAAATTCTACAATTATATAAAATGAAAAAATCAGAAATTTCAAAAACAACTAAATTGTGCAATTTTATTTTTACCTGAGTGATTAAATAAGATTGTCCCTGCAAAGTTTTGGGTCAAAAAAATCGAATTATTAGAACTATTATTTAAAAAAATAGAGCGTTACAAATAAGACTACAAAAATTTCAAATCAATTGGAGAGGGGACTTTTTATTATAATCTGGTTTCATAAAACACGTAATATAAGCATAGAACTGTATTGGTATTACAGACAGTGGCATATCCATGTAAAATGACGGCCATGGCGATTTTAAAAATGCGCTCCCTTGACTTGTTGGTTAGCGATTTATAATGACTGTTATTAAATTGCGATACCTGTATGTTATTAATTGAGTAAAATACGAGTTTCAGTTATTCCCAATTCAGAATTATTTCATTTAAACATAATAAAACTTTTTGCCGTTTTTGCAACCCTTTCCAAAAGGCGCGAGCCGTGGCTGCCGTATCCTAGATACACCACTGACTACAGTATACACATTCCAGGAATCTTACCAGTTTGGCATAACCCACCCAATCTATTACCGCGCTGGCATCAGACCAGATTTGCAGGAACATAGATAAGTCTAACACTCTAACATAGTGGTTCATAAAGTTGATCGACCGTGGGCCAACATTAGAAGCGGAAGGATATTCACAGACCGAAGAGGGGGGCGCCCGTCGATACTGGTATATATAATTAAGACTCTGGTATAATTAGATTGTTACAAATATACAAATGCTTTGACTGTAACAATGGCGTAACTATTGGCGATATCTGGAACGGAAAGAGTAAAATATTTCACATAAGTTCGGCGAGCCATATTAAATGATTATATGGGCCATAGATGGCACGCGATTTGGGAACCACAGCACACGGGTTGCATTAAAAAGCCAAAATAGGCTGCTTCAGCCCTAAATAATTCTCATTCATAAATATAAAATTAGACGGATACATGGTGACAATCAGACTGCAATATATGGTTGAATACATAGTTGATGAGGATGAGCTATAAAAAAAATTGGACACGCCCTATCTCCACCCCCTAGACAGTAACGATATAAAACATCTTATAAACCAATGAACAATAAATTCGTGCTATAGTACTTGGAATAATTTTGAGTTAGGGTTAAAGGTCATATTTTATGCATGAATAGTAACAAATACTCGTACCGTAAAAAATAAATTATGTAGAAATATGTATTGAATGCATAAAAGCATGCTATATATTTTTATACTCTGAAATGCCCTCCCAAACCTCTTTCTAAATAAGCCTGACACTCTTGAAAAGCCTTTTCTGAAAAGGCTATCGGCCCTTTTATAAAAGTATAAGGCCACATATAAAAAAAGATGTCTTTGAAAAAGTAATGCCACTACAGTGAAAACAAATGAAGGTCACTTTGGTGTCAAGGTCATTTTCAAGGTCAAAGTTCATGTGATCATTCGTGAGCAAACCCAAATGGAGGTCACCTTGATGTTAAAAGTCATTTTCGAAGTCATATGCATGAGTGGTCACAATGAGTTACTGGTAACACACAAAAGTAAATAAATTGAAGGCCATCCAGGTGTTAGAAGGTCATTTCCAAGGTCAAAGTAAGGTTCATGTGCTCATGCATGAGTGGTCACAAAGATCACCTTGGTGTCATAGGTCATTTCCGAGGTCACAGTTTCTAAATATTTACAAAGGTCTTGGAAGAAGATCACGATGTAGTTGTCCGTTGCCTTTCTTTCCTCCAATCCACTCTCGGCAGGGGAAGTCCCATGCCCTCCCTGTACTCGTATCCTTTATAACGATGTGATCACAAAGCCAATCAGAGTTGAATCCTGCGTCATCATGCTCGACACGAACCTGTAAGTAGAAAGTGAGTATTATTGATGAAGAAATATTTCGCAGGAAATTCGGGGAAGCCGCCAGAATTTTAAGCTAGGTTCAGATAAAAGTGTGGCATGCGCAATCTTATCTTGTCACACAGAATATAAAAAGAAGAATATTTTGATATCCATAAAACATTGCTAATCATGGCTTGATGCAAAATGAAAAAAACAAAGTTGACAATTGACATTGTACTGTTGATTATCTGTGTAGCTTGCGAACTCAAATCTTGGAGATGGGATCACGGACGTTTTTCGTTTTTTACACAAAGACAAACCCCGTAGCAATGTAGTAAATGAAACAAACATGTAACTCATGAAGAAACTCGATAACAAACAGAAAGCGCTGGATCCATGTGTGGCTTCTGTGACATCATAACCATTGTTATCTTTATTTTTATCACTATTCATAAGACTTCGTGCCGATCATGATCAGAGAAATAAAGTTACTTAGAACCTGATCAACCCTCTTGTTGTAAATGCCATAAGATGAGGAGAAAAAGCGCTGTGTGTCTTGGGCGAGAAATGAAAAAAACAAGCTTCTCAACCATACTTGAGTAAAGTCCCTCGCATGTTTAGACAAAAAGATATAGCATTTTTTATAGGGGTTTCAAAAGTCGATAGGGACCATTGGAAAAGAAGAGTTATGTTGCTTTATAAGCTTTCCACTTCTAGAATATAAAAATCTAATCTCAATTGCATAACATTTAAAGTTTTGCAACCTTCGTTAATTCTCCCAAAATTAAACCTACTGCATAGCCGAGTCGCCATATCAACTTTCCTCTTCCAGATGAATTTAAAAATCTAATCCTAATTAAAATCATTTAAAGTCTTGTTACCTTTGTCAATTCTCCCATGTTCAATATCTCCAGCGTGAATTTATCTGTTCGTCCTTTCTCAAACAAATCTCTGAATTTCTGTTTCAACGGTCGTTTCCCTGAATCGCTGTTTTCTCCATAAATTGTTATGCAAACATTCGCATCAGTGCCAGACCCTGGAATGGAAATAATTAAATATTTTGTCAATTTATTATCGTATCAATGAATGTGTATTTTCGAAATAATTTATTATCGGATTGCCTCATCGCTTCTGTAATTCAGCAACAAGTAGGGCTAGGCATTTTGAATCGAATAGTAAGAAGGAAATTTCGAAATCGCCGCCATCTTGTTTTTCATTTGTCGAGTAAATTCCCCAGTTATTTTAGGAAGCGATATTTTTTTACAAAATTCTGACACATGACGCTTCTTTATTGTAAGGTATCAGTGAAACATGTTTCTCATTGTGCGAACATTCAGCAAACTGTTCATGTATTCAGTGATTTATATGCTTAGGAGACCATTCAGAATAAAAAAGTCACAAATATTCAAATATCTTCCAAATATTTGAGATAAAAAATACCTTTTTCTTCCGCAGTAACAACTGTGACTTCATATTTAGTTGGTTTTGCATCGATGGCCACAGAAGGACTTCGGGTACGCCGAGAACTCGAACCTGGATAAAGATAAACAAATTAACGTGAGTGCTAGGAATTATAAGGTTTTGAGGTAATGTATATATTTGTTTTACGCCTTCCGCTCTGAACCAGGTTCTGCACAACCCGCTGATATTGAACGATATGTTTCCAGGCTACATAATTTTACACTCTGGGTGATGGGCATGGGATTCGAACATACCATAATATAAAATATCGTTTTGACCGCTAGGCCATCATGCCCAAAAGTATGGAAAAAGGTCAAATAGTTATTCTCAAGGTCACTGTTACATAATATTGCATTTCCAAGGTCAAATACAAGGTCAAACAAGGTTAGACTCAAAGTGTATAATATTAGGGTCAGATCTAATATCACAAGAACATTCTTGAAGCCAAAGCCAACGCAGCTGAAACAAATGTTTTAACTGTTAAACCATGGCAAACGTGGGAAAAACTTACTGCTGGTAGGTCTACTTCCACCTAGTGGTTGCAATTCTCTCATTGTTTGGCCGTCATCTTCGTCTTTAGACAACCAACGTCCGCAGTTGAAGCGAATATTACGGTTAGAAGTCTCGTCGCGAACTTCGATCCAATCGAGATGCCAACCTGTGAAATGGCGAATTGTTGTTTATATTGGAGGTTGGACGCTGATAGGGAGAGGAAAACCGTTAAGATGGCCTGTATGATGACCTATGACCTATGGTCTCCAGTCCAAATTGGGGTTTGGGAATAGTACTGGTCAACAAAAACGCATGACATATCGAAGCCTCTAATATGGTGCCCCCATAGTATGTGTACCAGGTTAGGGTTAGGGCATAATTTTGTTCCAAATTTCCTTATTTTAGTTCTATTACAAGTTTGGAGACTGTCTGTGTTAGCTAAGTGAAAATATCGCCTGCCCGTAGGTTTCAGTCCTTTTACACAACTTGATGTAAAATAAAAGAATAAAATTAGTTACCTCTATATTGGTACACACACTTCGGGAATGCCTTTAATCGACTACACACTGCACTTACCAGGTCTAAATCCTTTTGAATCGTGCCAAATTCTACATTTCCTGATTTCTCCGATGCTCAGTTTATCATTGAAAATAAAAACGTCTTCATTCCCAGCTTCAAACATGTTACGATGAGTCTCTGATTTATTGAGATGAAGTTCTCCAGATTCACCATGGTCACCTGTGGAAATAAATAAAATAATGATCAAACATGAAACAAGTCCATTCTTCCGAAAACGAATAACTGGCTAACTAATCCCATACCCGACCTGGACTGGAAACCGGATGTTTAGCCGTCTTATTGTCTTTCCTCTCCCCCAGGATAAATATGTAAATCCTATCCTATCCTAAGATAATGAAAATATCCAAACTCGTGGCTTTTTATTCTTGATATAATTGGACATTGGTGGCATTGCTCAACAACCTGTACTGATCCATTTTACCCTGGAATGCCAACAAGCAACTTTCTGTCTTTTTAAAATTCTAAAAATTTGAAATTGATAGATCTATCAGTCGCAAAAGAGAGCAAACTTGAATAAAACAAATTTCGGTGCTCCCGAAGTATGCGAACCAAGATGGCGGACATCGGAACGTAACATGGGTAACAGGTTGGGGTTAGGCGATAATTTTTTTCCAATTTTCCCTATTTTAGTCCTATTATCAGTTCGAAGACTAGCCAAGAGCCTCCCGTAGTATTTATACCTAAAATTATGGCCTAACCCTAACCTAGTACACATATTACATTCCGATGTTCGCCATCTTGGTTCGCATACTTCGGGAGCCCCTAAATTTCACTACATATCTGTGCAGTAATATTTAACTCAAAGTGGTTGAAAAGGTCACATTTTGGATCCATACGATGTAATACAGTTTTAAAGTAGGTGCATTTATACACTTTACTCAATATAAAGCTCTGAACAGCAGCCAGAAGAAAGAGAAGGCAGAAATTTTGCTGCTTCAGCATCGATAACCCAATTAATAACACCATGTTAGATGCAACATGAATATTAGCAAGGTCAATTTCAATGATAAACAACAACATGCGTTTGTTTTCAGTCAAATTCAAGGTCAAATTATTCTTCTCCTGGTTAAATCAAAGTTAAACACATAAGGTATATGCAAGGTCAAATATGTACTCTTCAAGGACAAATTAAAGTTAAAAAACAGCAGGTATATTCTTCAAGGTCAAATGCAAAGGCCTTTCTCGAAGTCAGTTTTGATATAAATTACACATACTTATTAACAAGGTGAAATCTCAGGTCAAATCCCTATGAAACAGTCATATTCTCAAGGTCAAGCAAAGTTAAATTCACATTATCTTACCAAATAATTGTATGAAGACATTTGCATTCGTCCCAGATCCAGGTGTTTCACTTGTTTTCACGGTGATTTTAAACGACGTTCGTTTCAGAACCGATCGCCCTCCGACTGAAGCAGAAAGCTCCAGAGAAAGTTTCTTGTTCCCTTTGCTTTTTGATAACCAACTATCGCATGGGAACACTGTGACCTTGCCAGTTTCAAGGTTACGAAGGTGAACCTGGAAGAATATATTTAGCATCACTAAGGACTAAGATAGCCACTGCAATATTTCACATAAAAGTAAATGAATTATATTGAATGTATATGAATGTATGTTCGTGAATTGTAGAAAACTAGCAAAGATTAGGGTGAAAAGTTGAAATCGATTTGTTATTGAAAAGCTAGTGAAAGTCATGAAAGAGTGCATGTAGCTACTAAAAGTAACAAAACCTACATCTTGTCCTTCCGGCATTTCTATTAAATTTATTTCACACAGGTGGTAGGCATGATATTTGCAATGTCAACAGGGTCAAGTATGAAGCTTTAACTCTGACATGGGCAAGCTACGGCCTGCTGACCAAATTCGGCCCGATGGGTAATTCAATCTGGCATTCTAATGCTGCCACAATCAAACTCAAACCAAATTTTAATGTTTTAGCTTAAAAATAACTGAAGGAATTTGTTGAGATTGCGATTAAATTTAGTTTTGGCACGAGGCCTATTGTTTTCAACTTTTTCTTTTGTAAGACTGTGAATATGATTTATAAAATGTAACTTTTTATGTCACACTTACATGGCCCACCAGTCTGGGTGAGCAAAATTTTTGGCCTCTTGTTCTAACTAATGGAAATTAGTAATACAATATACCTTTTCACAATACCAGTCAGGCCTCTGTCCTTTCCCATTGTGAGTTAGTTTAACCATTTTCAATGGTGCAATGTCGTCTATCTCTGTTCGTATGACGTCAACGGATCCACGCTCTAGTAGAACCCCTTCCTCCTCTGACTTGAGAATCATGATATCTGGTGTGTTGCCTTTGGATCCGTATACGGACATTGAGATTTTACCATCTGTGAGGAAAAAGGGAAAAAAATTAGGATTCATAGCAGACTTTTAAAAACAATTATTGTAGGAAATTCAAGCAGACTTTGATTATAATTACAAAAACTTTGGTACTCCCATAGTACGTAAACCAAGATGGTGGACACTGAAACGTAGTATGTGTACCAGGTTAGGGTTAAGCCATAATTTCAGGTAGTCCTCGAACTTGTAATAGAACTTAAATAATGAAAATTGGAATAAAATTATTATAAAATTTATGTCATTTTTCTCTGTTCTTTACTGGAACTGGACACGACTTCAAGGCAAATGTTAGACCCTTTGGAAATGTGTTTGGCCTAACCCTAACCTGGTACACATACTACGGGAGCGCCAAAACTTTGACATATGTGAGCCCGCAGACATTAAACATGTAAAGTAAAAGGCTGCAAAGAAAAAAGCAATTTCAAACAAAAAAGCCAATACTGACCTGTCCCTGCCCCACTCTCATCTCCAGTATAGACTGTGATCTCGTACTGCACCTTGGCTTTGTAGGTGTTGCTCGATGCATCCGCTACGCTCAACATACGAGAAGTGTGACCGTCATCACGATCTCTGTCAGTGAGAAATAAAAAAGATAGTGGGTTAGGATTTAGTGGTTTGGATATTTAGAGAGGTAAGCTGATAAGTTACGGGTCGTTCGCAGGGTCGAATTCCTCGGCGATGATGTGAGAGAAGATTGCTGTACTTTTTGACGTCGTATGTGGTTTAGTTTCATAAATTCACTGGGCCACGAACCTCTATTTGTGAATCTTAGTTTTCATGGAACCCCATCTCATGCCGTATCAATCATGTGCAGAACCAACGAGAAAGGATGTTTCATTTCAAATAGATGTCCTGTGTACTGTCATGTTTTTGTATCGCTGTTCAGAATAATGTACTAATGTGTTGTATAAATAATCTTCTTTTCGTTATTAAAACTACGGCAAGGACATTTACAATCATAACTCACCTAGAAAACCATTTCAAGCAGGGGAATACCCAGTTCTTTCCCAATGTAGGTTGATCGATGATTATTTCTTCAATGTACCAGCGCTCATCAACTCCTGTGTGTCCGATCTGTAATTGTAATGTAAATTGTCTGTTTCAAACTTGCAAACAATCATATCAAGGGCTGAGCCAGGGAGGATTCTTAGAATCGGAGCAGCTGCCCCTTTGAAATGTAAACAAGGACGCTACGCCCAAATATATGGACATGTCTGTTCGCAGTATCGTACGGTTTACTGTACCGTCAGATCACAGTCTACAAATATATTCACACCAAGCGAAGTAGTACAGTAGGACACAAAATGGTGGCCGATGTACGCAGAACATTTAATGACGTCATAGCAAACAAAAACAAATCTCACAGAGCTAACAGAAATATTTAAAATGAATAAAAGTAATAGCCTTCTGGGGAAAAATTTTATCTTCAACCACTGAAAATTTCAAAGCAATTAGTCCAGTATTCGAAGAGAAAGGCTTTTTTTAATATTTCCACTAGGTGTGTTATTCTGTGTCAAACAACAAGAACAACATAATATTGAAACGATCGTTACGTCCACTATGTGTCCGAAAAGACACTTTTTGGTATCATACAAAGCATTTTTAGACCCTCAAGACTCTTGGAAAACCACGTTTTCCCGACCCGTTTGTTGTTACAGACTAACATGGCGAATATAATTTTCAGATCCCTCGAAGAATTCAACCTTCAAGAATTCAACCTTGACCGAGTTCATACCTGTGGATAAAGCGAGAAGTCAATTGCATTGGTTTATGTGTAAATCTCATGCCACCTCACAAAGGGTGTGATTAATTGAATAATCAAGGCTGAACTACGATTAACAATAACTTTTATCAGAGTTGAGTCTTCTTTACTTGAGTGAGTGCATGTGATCATGCTTTAGGCAAATTCTCTCCAATTGTAAGGACTCACCTCAATAGCTTTCAGCTCTCCGACATCTAAAGCTTCCACATTGAATGTTTCAACAGTTCCTTTCTTGAATTTGCCTTTCTCTGGGATCAGAGGAATCCTGGAAAAAGACGATTTTGAATATTAGGAAAATATCTGATTGACAAAAAAGTAGGTGTTCTAGTTAGCAAAACCCTTACACAGTAAATAAATCTGTACAAAACCCCAACGCAATCTCATGACAGGGTTTTCCAACCAGAAAGAAATACTCCACAGGAAATAATTGTGTGTCCACATTTATTTTGCAATATATTTTAAAGAAAACAAGAAATACCCACTTGTGCGATACTTTCTGTCCTCCTTTAGATTTCGGTCCAAAAATTCGAACAAATCCGTCAGCGCTACATGATGCTCCCTCTAGTGTTCCAGTGCGTACTTTGATAGTGTACGGAATAGCTAAAGAAAAAGGAAAAAATAATAATTGAAGAAGTAATTCATGCGCAACTGGTAATAAGAAAGCGAAGAAGTACAGTCACCGTTCAGAATACCCATACGGACAGTTGTTAATCAGCAATATATATTATAAGATATATTTATCTAATCAATTTATTCAGGTATAGGGTTGTCCCAACCTTTTATGATTTGTAGCCCCGCTAATCTATAGCCTAGTTTCGCGCCTAACACGTTTCCGGTAGTTATTCTATTTGCCAAGTTTATTCATAAAAAGATAACAAACGATAGTAAAAGAATAAATGCATCACAACTAGAGAGTTAAAATAAAATAAAAATTGTTCAAATTAATGTAGTCATTGATACTGATGAAGGCTTTTGCTTGTGGCCCTCAGAAAACCACTCAGTGGCCCTCGAAAAGCGCACTGGGCCTATTTTAAGAAGCCCCGATCTATCACTTACTTGGTCCGTCCACCAATGGCTCCGACAAAAGTCTCCTGCTTCCTAAGCTACTGAAACTTCTACTTGTCATAACGCTGCGTTTTGTCGAGGTTTCCCCGTCGTAACCAACAACATAGAGAGACCTAAGAAAAAAAGATGAGATTTAATTCAAGGTTGAAGCCAATGGCTTCATTATATGGCAAATCCCTGCCTCTCATTCAGTTACCATACCATGTCTCATACGTGATTTGTTAGCCAGTTATTTGTTTTCAAATTCATGGACTTGATGGTGGAGGAAGCCGTAACCGGCTAGCAGTTAAGCATAAACTACTTTGACAAGTCAAGATTCGAACACTGGTAAATCAGAGGTGTGATGGCAAGTGCATTAATAATGCTCAGCATGATGTGCCAACTGATGTTCTGCAACACGTGTATAGGAATTATTAACCAGTTATTTGTTTACGATGCATGGACTTGATGGTGAATAACAACCCTACTGCTGTAAACCACCCTACGAGAGCAAGAAGTTTAGTGTTCCTCTTACAAATAATTAGGCATGATCCTGAGACTTGATCATACTATGTTACCAGGGTCTTACTTTCCCCCAGAATGAATATGAAACCCCATTCTTAGCCATTGACAGACTCAAAGTTAACCTTAATACAGGGGTGCACAACTCAAATGAGGATACGTGCCAATTTTTTTAAAATAATCTTGTCGGGTGCCACGCACAATTGTGGTATTGTAAATTAACTCCCGTAAAACAAACAATTTGCAATAACAATACATAATAACGAATATCTTTTTTTATTGAAACAATTTAATGTCCTGAAAAAAAAACTGCTGATTTTGATATAAATGTGATATTTTAATGTATATCATAAATATTTTTTTTACAAAACCGTTCGCGTGCCACGTTTGAACGTAAGGCGTGCCAAATTTGGCACGCGTGCCTCATGTTGTGCACCACTGCCTTAATACCAACCTTCCAATCTTTCCGTCATCCTTTCCTTTAGCCAACCACCTTTCACAATGGAAAACAAATTTCTGGTTTGTCTCACAATCCTCGATTTCAACTCTTCCAAGGAACCAAGCTGGGTTGAGAAGAGAATTATCATGTCGGATGTGAACTTTGTGTAACTTCCCGAGATCAACGGCCTCAATGGTGAAAATGTCTTCCTAAAATGAAGAAATATAAAACATATCTAAAAAAGCTGTGTGGCTCATCGTGCTAAGCGTTAGGAATACGCTTGCCACCGCACCTCTGATTACTCTGCGTGGGTTCGAATCCCATGCAAAAATGGTTATGGACCAGAGGATTGCTGGACACCACCCGAAACGATGAAAATAAAACGAATCTAACAATCCGGTCTTCCCAGTTCAAACAGATTTTTATGAGGTACCGGTACCATCACACTTCACTATCAGAACAAAGCTATAAAAAGACCTACTGGAACTGAGAATTGCATATATTACACACAGAGTAGAGAATATGAGGTCTGGCTTTGACTAAAGCCAGCTGTGTGGTACACAGATCTATATAAGAGATTTTCAGCAGGCGAATAGTCATCTTTACTGGGCAAAGGGCCAAAAATTTTGCCCACCTAAACTGGGCCATTTCAGTGTGAAGTAAAAAGTTACTATTATGAACAATATATACAGTGTTACAAAAGCAAAAGTGGAAAACAGTAAGCCTCATGACAAAACTGAATTTAATCACAATCTGAACAAATTCTTTGAGTATTTTTAACTAAAACATCAAAATTTAGTTTGGTTGTGGCAGCATCAGGCGGGCCAGATCGAATCACTCAATGGGCCAAATTTGACCCGAGGGCCGTACTTTGACCCGTAGGCGTGTCTGATATATACCCTTGCATTATACATATATGGATCCCGAACAAAGGCAATGAGAAAGAATATGAATGATACCATCCTATAACACTTGCTACTCACATGCCCTCTCTCAAATTTGTCTGAGTAAGTCTCTGATTTGAGTAGTTTTCTCTCCCCAGAATCTCCGTTCTCACCAAACAAAGTGATGTGAACGTTGGCATCGGTACCGGCGTTGAATTTGTCTCCGGTGAAAACGTGCACTTTATACTGCTGGTCTGAAATATAAAAAATGATATTTTAAAGAGGAAATACCTGTATTATTATTACACATAAGTGATTTTCAAATTCTTTGATATAGCATAACCTCAGTGATTCAGAGGATAGAGGGGACATGCGAATATTTATTCTTGATTATATGTACCGGTAAATATTTGTCATTATACAATATGAAACTGAAGGTATCTCACAAAACACTAATGATACACACTTTTTGTATGATCGTATTATATCTGTATATTTGGTTATATTTAAACAATATACATGTATTAATATAGACCAGTGGTTCCCAACCAGGGCCCGTGGCCCACCCAGCGGGCCACAGAGAAGTTGGAGGGGGGGCCACCATGTTGGGTGCAAAACTGATTTTACTCTTCACAAGAAAACTCCCTCGTTCTTCCTAATTTCATTGCTTGATAAGGTTATTTCACAGGGTGTTTTCACTTTATTGAGCATGAATTATTTTAACATAATGGGATTTGGTTTCTACCAATCATGATAACACTATAAATACCACTGGGATGGTAAACAGGGGGCCATGAGTGCTAAAATCTTTCGAAAAGGGAGCCACGAGCCATAGAAGGTTGAGAACCAACTGATATAGACTATTGCAGGGTTTCCCTAACTAGAGTCTTCGTAACCGTGGAGATAAATCGTGCAGTGAACAACAACCTCATCCATCACATTAATGCCGTTTGCGTTGTTGTGTTGTAAATCTAATTTGTGAATTGTTGGTCAGGAACAGAAATTAATACGGCATAGGATGGAGGTCGGTCTGTCAAAACTAAGGGAGTCCATGGCTGAAAAAGTTCATACTCAAAGTTCATCCACTAACACAGAAAGAGCTATCATTTTTGTAAGAACAAAATGTTTCCATTTTAAGTTTAGCTGTCTAACTCATTGCACTCTGAATGTTGCAAAAAAGCGAAAAACTTTGCCAAATTAGTGCTGCTTGAGAAATATGAATATCAATTAGAAACAAGCATAAATATTCGGTACTCCCAAAGTATGGGAACCAAGATGGCGAACACCGAAACGTGGTATGTGTTACTAGTTGGGCCATCATTCTATTCCAATTTTTCTCAATTTAGTTCTATTACGAGTTCGGGGACTAGTCAAGTGACTCCCGTAGTGTTTGTGGCTTGGTTCACTTATTTCGGGAGTAACAAATATTCTAAGCGATTCAGAAGTCTTGCTGCACACTAAATCGACTGATAAATCACTTAGGATAGTTATTTTCACTTTTGCTACAGCATTCTTGCATTATACGCAAATGGATACACTAGCACAATGGATACACTAGCACAATGGATACAATGGAATACGGTATGTAGTTAGTCTTTCAGGTACCAAAATGATAGCACAAGAATAGTTTGTTATTGCAAGGTTTAAATTATTTGAAGATGACCATACACTTTGATGACAACAGCAATATGAGATATATTATGATGTAACAAAAGCTAATTATGCAGCACAATGATTGACACACAGAGTAAAAGTAAAAAAGAAAATAGCAATATTTTAATGAGTTACGCTGAAAATTATCACATCACAATGGGACTGTATATGACAACATAATATTATCTATGACATCATAATATTATGAAAACTCTCACTATGAATGATATAAAACAAGATGATGTCATATTAAAACACATGTATGACATCACAATGTAAGCCGAATGATAAGATGACAGCTTACCTTAGAAAACTGCAAGCAACACATAAAATTAATCTGACAAAACAAAAATTAATGCGCGATTAATTGCTTGAAAACTTGATTTTCACCCAAAAACCAGAGCCAGTGATATACCTATTCAGTATCCAGTCAAGCATGACATCTTCAGACATAGAAATGAGCAGAAATTTCCATCACCACGTGCTTTATCCTGTGTTGTAATCAAGTCAAGTCTTCTTTCAAGTTAGCTCTTCAATCTTTATAGACGATTTGGTCCGCTCTTATGATAACAACACTATATCTCAACACCTACTACCTTTATTATCCTCCCTTCCATCTAACGATCATAGAAGCCAACCATTTCCCTCAACATTACATTTCCCCAACTAAGACAAATTATCAAAGTGCAGGGCCTCAGTGTTTTTAGGCAGATAATGAGTGAATTACAATAAGATATATTCACAATGTCTCAGAAAGAGACTCAGACACTTTTTGATGTCTTTTCCAAAATGCCATGCCTTTAATGGCCGCATATTTGTGTATTTTAAACCGAATTTATCAATCCTGGCAGATACTGAGTATAGTTATCTTTATTATTGAATCATTTGTGAATATATTGCCTTACTCTTTCATATTCCAACTTTCAAATTATAAAATGATTCAAAACTAAACATACTAAAGTGTAACTAACATTCATATTGGGCCAGCTTATATAGAAATTTAGAGTCGAAAATCTTCAATCGCTATGGCAACCGGAAAAGATGCCAAGTTCAGCATATGATTAGTTACTTATCAACTTTCCTCTCTTCCATGGTAAATTTGAAAGCTCCCATCCTTAATCAAAAATAGTCCCAAGTGAACAAAGCAACATAGTTCTTAAACCTTTGTCAGGATTACTTTTTTAATCTAAGTGCAAAATGGCAATATACAGCGAATATGAACAATACACTACAAAACACAAAAAAAATTTGAACAAGAGAGTTCGATTAAGACACTTAAGGTACTCGCTCAGAAGTAAAAAAGACTGATCTCTGAGTAATATTACAGACAAGCACTGATTTGCCGGAATTACCGTGTTTCCCCGAAAATAAGACCTAGCCTGAATTTTAAGAATGATTTTAATATAAGCACTCCCCTTAAAATAACATCTAGTCGATAGCGCAAATTTCTTTTTGACTTACCGTATATGCTCATTTTACCGCCCGATCTTGATTAAGAGCCCATTTGAATAGCCGTCCGTGTGATCAGAACAAAGAAATTAATAAGCGCCCGTGCTTGAATAAGGGCCGGTTGGAATAAGGGCCCGGTTAGTGAGTTTGGTTAAAAAAATATGGGCCCGGGCTAGAAAACGAGTAAATACGGTAGTCGATAACAAGAAATCTCTTCTACGCGTTTTAAATGATTGATAATCTATGTTTTGCAGATATTTTGACTAAAAACGTGTCATGGATATCGGTATTCATAATTTGTGTTTGAAAATCTCATAATACTCTTTGTAATTTTGTTTTTGATAAATGATAATAAAAGACATCCCCCGAAAATGAGCCCTAGTGTTGTTTTTCGGAAGAAAATTGAATCTTCGGGGAAACACAGTATATAGGATTATGGTGGTGAACAGAGCACCATAACAAAATTGCCATTATTTGGCAAAGAATTCTATGCTCTGGGAATCTGCCTCATGGCAGCACAATATGCGGTTTAATGCTATCAGATAATTCTGGCTGGCTTTCAAAATTAAAACTCAAGTTTCTACAAATGATTACTTATGAAATTGGCAGATTATCAGTTAACGGCAAGTTTTTATGCAATGATAGCAATAAATTGGGAGGTCTGAATTTAGCTTGCTAAAAAAATTGGCAGGGGATTGGCAATAATGCAAAAAATTGAGAGAAAATACTTTATTGAACAAAATTAAAATTGATAAAAATGAACTATCTTGATACGAAGACTTGAATATTGGGTCAATATTTATTATATTTAAAGTCAAATTAGGTTTTAATCAGGTTTTGGCAACATTTACATCAGCATCAACACGACCTATACTGAGATATTGCCGCAACACGCTGGTCAATTTTATATTTTTTCAATACTGACATGTTAAATTGTACAGATATTATTTGTCTTGATTTGGGGAGAGATCATGTTCTTTTATTTTCTATAAAATTATGATTTATACAGTTATAGTTAGATTTACTCATGTTTTAGCTGTGTACCGAAAATTGCTATACTGTGTTTTGGGCACTCCAGAAGTGTATGTACCAATATTGAGGTTTGTCTACTTTACATCAAGTTGTGTAAAGGAACTGAAACCTATGGGCAGGGGGTATATCAATTGGCTAACACAGACAGTCCCTGAACTCGTAATAGAACTAAAATAAGGAAAATCGGAGAAAAATTATGGCCTAACCCTAACCTGGGGCCCCATTCACAAAGCTACCACTTAACGTGTTAGTTAAGCACCAACTTTCTCGTGAAAAGCAAAAATGGTATTCACAGAGCTTCGTAAATATTCGAGAGAATTTTTTTGGCGCCAAACGAGACGTCTCATAAAGTGCCTTCTTCTCACATTTTACCGAGAATCGGTATTCACGAAAGTTCTTTAACGCGCTGAAGAGCTCGCTAGCTAACGAGGACAATCTTCGCCTCGTTCACAGTTCGGATTGCTCTCAGCAGTGATTCGAATTAAAATAGGCTCGTTGAGACGTTAGCATACTTTGTAAAAATTGGCATAGTATCAAAAGGCTTTACCCGGGTAAGCGTGTATGTAGTCTATTGTCGTAAACTTAGCTGTGGGATATCTGCCGCATTTACAGATTAAACTAGGGTTGAGATTCAGATAGCTTGTTCAGTTGTTGAAGTCATTGTTTTTTGTTTATTCTAGCATTGGCCTACAGTATTATAAACACAGATTCACAAATGGCTACCTATATTGAAGCTTGCAAAAGAAAAGCCCCAACAAAGCTTAGGCATCTCACTGATTTTATTGTCCGTTACACAAGTAGTGTACAATATGTAATTTTTTTTGTGGCAATAAATCTCTCTCTCTGTAACTTCAGCATTTATTCCATGTAGCCTATCCGTCAGTCTATAGATTACGCCACTGCTATATGAACAAAATTTCAAAACGCAGGCTGCTAAGGTGAAGCAGAGGAAGCCGATAGGTTACCGCGAAGGCGAAACACGCTCGACCGTGAGCGGCGACAACTGATACGGCTGAGTGATCAGTCAGTGCATTTTGTTCAACTGCGACCGTGCGTAAAATTTCGAGAGAACGCTAGTGACCGTGCGTAAAGCGCTTACTAGGTCTTTGGTGAATCGCATTTAACGAGATTTTGCTATCACGATTCTGAGAGACACAGTTACGTGATCGTAAACCCGGCTTTTTACGAAGTTTAGTGAATGGCGCCCCAGGTACACATACTACGGGAGTACCCTTTAATTTGCTATGAAATTATGATATATACAGTTGAATGAAAAGCTGTCTTTTGTTGGAAACTGGCAATCTTTTTTGTGTTGGGAACACACTTATTTATTTTTCTTTGGAAAGACAGACACAACAACTGAGTCATCAGTTTCAGAGCTTGACTCATTTTTTGTTAAGTCATTTTCATTTTTAGCTGACTCCTCTTGATTTATTTTTACTCCTCCCTCTATTTCTGCTGACTCTTTTCCAATATTTATTGAATCAACCTTATCGTTTTCCAAATATTCAATTTTTGCGGACCCAGTATCAGATTTTGCCGAATCATCCTCATTGCCTGCTTCCTCACCGTGGAGATTTTCCATGGATCGCTGATTTTCAATTGCTGACTCATCATTTTGCTGAACAAGCAATGATTCATTCAAATTCTGCAGCAATAACCCCATGCCATGCATCATTGGTTTGACGGGATAACCAATCGTTTTTTCTGCATCGGCGATTTCAGATTTCAAGATTTGATCGGCTATGTTCTCTGCTGATTCATGGTTATTTTTTGCTGACTCATCAACATTTTCTGGCGAGTTCTCTCCCAATTCCGTAGGGTTGTCATGCTTTATTGCAGAATTATTGGAAGATTCTGGAACTTTGTCGTGAATTTGTGCGGCTTCTTTGAATTCAACAGATTTTATTGTCGAATCGGATTCATCTGATGAACTTTTTGCTGAATCATCATCTAGTTCTGCTGAATCACGATCCAAATTTGCTGAATCATGATCTATATCTGCTGAATTATGATCTATATCTGCTGAATCGTCATCAAGTTTTGCTGAATCATGATCTAGTTTTGCTGAATCATGATCTATATTTGCTGAATCATGATCCAAATTTGCTGAATCACCATCTATATGTGTTGAATCATTGTCATGTATGAGTGCTTCATGATGATTTTGAACATCTTTCTTTGTCAGAGAGATTTCATCCCCAAGAGAAGCAGGAAAGAGAGGGAAAGGAGACTCGTTCTGCTCTTCCAGGATATTCTCCTGTATTTCCTCTTCAATTTCTTCTCCTTCTCCTTCTTCAGATTCCTCTCCCTTTTTATCAATTTCCTTCTGTAATTCAGTGAAGTTCGGGACAGCTGTCTCATCAAAAACTTCGTCCACAATTTTTGATGAGTCATCACTAGAAACTGACAAGTCATCATCATCACTGCCACTAGATGATGATGTAGAGCTATGACGCTCACTGAAATAAGTATCCTCACCTACGTAGAAATTGTGTTAGGGAAAATGAACATAAGCATTGAAAGAACTCAGGAGTAATGACCTGATCTAGTGGCCAGCAAAGTTTTTCAAGTTAGGCTTAAATAGTCAAATAAAAAAGGTTTCAAGACCCAACAATTTTAACTTTAACTACGTAATAAAATGGTTAAGAGATATTTAATTTGTTTAGTTGAAATGAACGTATTGTGTAATTGTTTGATATACGAACAAAATCATTTGGCAAAAAATATATACCGGTATATATAATGTTGGATGTATAGAACTAAACTATGAAACTGACACTATGAAAGGATTAGCGAGCTTAAAAGTTTGGGAAGTCTGCCCTAAACCATATATCTGAAGTAAAAAGCCATATGATTAAGTCTTCTTATTGGCTTTCCTTTTGTCGTTATGAATATGAAAATTATATTCTATTTTTGATAACCAAATGGGTTGCTATTTTTTGCATTTTTTCTTTTCTAAATATTATTTACAATCACAGATTCAATACATTGCAATCAAATAAATTATCGTAATAAACACACGATATTTACACAAGTATTGCCTTGAATCTTGCTCAGTAAATTTCAATATAAAAATTTGCCGAAGAATATTCGCAGGGCGGATGAGGGGAGCAGTCGCAAGGGGCCCAAGTACGTGTTTATTTAAGATACCCGCATAATTTAATTGTTACCAATATACACAAGCTTAAACTGTGATAATGATGTACCAATTGGCGGTAGCTTTTGAGATTGGTCATGTGGTGGTATCAAGTAAAATAAGCTAAAACCAAGCAGTGATGTCGCAATAAGCACCTACATTTTCTATAGCATAAGCATAGAGCGATGCCTATGGGCCTGTTTTACAGTAAGCCATGGTGCAAACTGCTAAATTTAACATTGTTTGTCAAATATTAGATGTTTTGTACATCCATCCTCGACCATAACTCAGCGACGCCATGACCTGTTTGCGACCCTACCTACTTATCACTCCGACCCAATTTGGGGTCGCGACCCCTGGTTTGGGAACCCCTGTACTAGATCAATGGTTTTCAAGCGGTGAGGCACGCACTAAAAGGGCCGTGAAGCTGATGAAAAAAAATATTTGTCAGATTTGATCTTTCCCACCTTATTTAGGATATTTACATTTCTTTATTTTAGATATTTACGTTCCATGCACGTATTTTCAACGTGTTTTTTGAATAAAACATACTTTTGTCTTATTATCTGTTATTGTTAGCTAGATATTTTTGAGGCAGGGGTGATACTTGACAAATTCTACAAAAAGGCTTAAAAAGTTTGAGAACCACTGTACTACTCGAATACACATTTATACGGAGATCTAGTGGCCTAAATTTACAGAATTCAAAAAAAAAAACTCACTTTTCAAAGTGTCAGACAAAGTTGATTCCATGCGTTTCATTTGTCCTCTTCGTGACATTTTTTCTTCAATTTTCTTTGTTGGAACGAGTTCTCGTATGATCTGGCCGTCGTCCTCGTCTCGAGCTAACCAACGTCCACAGTTGAAAAGATAGGTTTCATGGCCCTGGGAAAAATTAATATAAGTTTTTTAAGAAATGACTAATGGACAAGTGACCATTGAAATGCCATAGGTCACTGAAACTATATAAGAATTATGATGTTGCATTATAAGCACTCACTGAGCAAAGTTACGAGCACTCACTAAGAAGTAAAGGAGACTCATCTCTGAGCAAAGTTACGGGCACTCACCCAGAAGTAAAGGAGACTCATCTCTGAGCAAAGTTACGGGCACTCACTCAGAAGTAAAGGAGACTCATCTCTGAGCAAAGTTACGGGCACTCACTCAGAAGTAAAGGAGAATCATTTCTGAGCAAAGTTTCACACACTCACTCAGAAGTAAAGGAGAATCATTTCTGAGCAAAGTTACGGGCACTCACTTAGAAGTAATGGAGACTCATCTCTGAGCAAAGTTACGGGCACTCACTCAGAAGTAAAGGAGACTCATTTCAGAGCAAAGTTACAGGCACTCACTCAGAAGTAAAGGAGAATCATTTCTGAGCAAAGTTACGGGCACTCACTCAGAAGTAAAGGAGAATCATTTCTGAGCAAAGTTACGGGCACTCACTCAGAAGTAAAGGAGACTCATCTCTGAGCAAAGTTACGGGCACTCACTCAGAAGTAAAGGAGACTCATCTCTGAGCAAAGTTACTCAACTCTGAGCAATTGATGATAGACTTGAAAAAGTTCAAGTAAAAAAAACGGGTGAGTTTTAAATAAATTAGCATTGCAAATGTAAACATGTGCAAACCAGAAAAACTCAAGAAAAAACGTCTTTTCAAGCTGGTATTTAATCTTAGTTTGGAGCAAGGTAAGGATTTTAATAAAAAATTACAGAAGTTTAAAAATCAAAAATAAATGTTTGCGTAATTTTTTTAAAAAGTTTTTAAAGTTTTGTTCTTCTGGGTAGATGCCCTCGTACCATGGATGCTGGTAGACACAAGACTTGGAGCTGTTCAAGTAAAAGTCAATAACTTACTTTGTCTCCTTCTAGTAGTCTCCTAACTTGCACTTTATCGAGATGCCATCCGGCCCCCCATCCTTTTCCGTCGTGTCCAATCCGCAGTTTTTCAATTGTGTCTCCAATGTCATCCATTTCAATCACAAACTGTAAATAAGAGAAGATTGTCAAGGTGTTTTTGCAAAAATACAGGACCATTAATTTCTCAATTACTTCTTCGAAAATTTATTTGACACTTTGAACTTCTGTTTGTGTATGATTGTACCCAAAGTTTTCATTTAGGACGCTTCGTACAAAAGTTATGTTTTCTCTAGAATATGTCACAAATGACCTGGGTTCTATTTTTAGGGGGTCACAGGGTGTGCTCAAGAATGTTTATATAATAAAGCCTTTATTATACACTCCTTTATTTTGGAGGGACCGAAATCTCTCCAAATCACCGTTGCCTACCTACTGCTAGTTTAGGGAGTACACTGACAATTTAGAGATTAACACCAATTAAATCCCAAAAAAGTAAAAATCTCACCGTATCCGTTTGTTTCTTTTCGAATTTCGATTTCCTGTCATCTTTGTTCGGACAGAGACTAACTTGTTCTGTTTGTATGCCGTCTCGTCCGTATAAAACGACATATACATTGGCATCCGTACCCGCTCCAGAAACATCACTGGTTGTTACTGAAAAATAAGAAACATTGGAGAAATAAGTAGGGCTTTGTGTATTGTGCTTAGCATTAGGATTATGCTTGTTAAAGCCAACTGATTGCCCGACCCGAGTAAGGATTCCATAAAGATGATTTTGTATTAGACACTATCGCTGGACTGCTCATTTGACAGTGGTTTCCAAACTGGGGTTAGTTACCTCCAAATAGGTAATTTGGCAAATTTTAGGGGTTATCCAGACTTGTCAACCCCATACTTTTGACTAGTCTGAAGAAATGCTGGACATTCAATGTCTGCATCTAGCCAATGAGCCAAGTAATCTAGTCACGCAGTTAGTAGCGACATGATGACAATACTGCGTCGTACAGATTGTAGGCTAAAATGCTGAGTTAGCACTGCAATGGGTGATTTTGATTTAGGGGCTAAGCCAGCGCAAGCATACTACTGTATTTTTATGAAAATAGAAATTGGGCTTTTGGTAATTCGATTCAGGGGTAACAAAATTGAGAAGTCAGAAGACCACTGTCATAGGATATTTCAGATACTGGTAACTGACAAATGATAACAAATTAACTACAAAAAGTCACAAGTGCAACAAAATACCAATAGGAAGAAACAAGCAATGTTGCCAGAAGTTTTCAATAACTTGATAAAATAAAAAACATTACAATATCAACACTGGGTATTCCTGACTGGAAATCATTTACAAATACTGGCAACATGACCCGTTTCGTTGATTAAAAAATAACACTATACACATAAATTTGCCAAATATTGTGATTTTCAATTGTCTGTTTGTTTGTCTGTGCATTGAAATTCCGGTACTCCCGAAGTATGTGAACCAAGATGGCGGACACAGGAACGTAGTATGTGCACCAGGTTAGGGCATAATTTTATTCCAATTTTCCTCATTGTAGTTCTATTATGAGTTCGGGGACTAGCCAAGTGACCTCCGTAGTATTTGTACCTGAAATTATCGCCCAACCCTAACCTGGTACACATACTTCAGGACCGCCCAAATTTGTACCAAAAAGGAATAATCTTACCAGCGAACTCATATGGCACTTTCTTCATGTATTCCAGAGTCTCATCGGCGGCAGGATACAATTCTCTCTCTAGAAGCCCGTCGTCCTTATCTTTAGCCAGCCATCGTCCGCACGGGAAATGCCATTTCAATCCCATGGATGGAGCGTCTATATCCACGTACTCAAGATACCAGGCTGAAAAAGAGAAAATTATAGGATTTACATATTTATCCTGAGAGAGAGAGGAAAGCCGATAACACGGCTTAATCATATGACAAACCACGGCCTCTTGCCCGGTTACCAATCCATGTCGGGTATGGGATTAGTTAGTCATTACATATCGATCTTAAGATCGGTAAGTATGTTGATAGGTATTTGTCTGTTTGTCTGTTAGACACTTTCGAATGTTACGCAATATCTCACGAAAGCGATGTTGAATCTTCTCCGAATTTTGCATGTGCATTCATCATATCTCGGACCAGAAGCCTATTGATTTTGGATGAATTATGTCGTATAATTAGCGAGTAATTAAGCTGTGGAGTAAGAGCGAATGAATCAAAACCGCAGTTTCTGTTTTGGGGAATCCCCTAACTTTCGATCAATAAATCTTCGGTCTTTGACCGATATTCTCGTTTGTTTTGTTGCATGGACTTGATGGTCGAGGAAGCCGTGACCGACCAGCTGTTACATGAACCACCCTAAGACGCCGAGGTGTGATGGCAAGTGTTTCCTAAAGTGCTAGGAATTCCATATTAATATGAGATGGCTTAATAATGGCGGTTGGCACTTCAGGTTGGTTACCTTTAAAATTGGTGCGCTTGCTTGATTTTTTAGATAATAAATATACACTACAGCAGGGCTACTCAACTGGCGGACCGCGGTCCGAATTCGAACCTTTCAAGTGGATTCGGGCCGCACCTATTTCTTTATTTTGGATCATTAGCTCCACTTTTTAATTTTCCTTTCATAAAATACCTTTTACAGTTTTGAATATATAAAACAAGAACTATAAATACGCGTTTAAGGAAGCCGAAATAAAATTTCTGGAAAAACCGGACCCAAATAATTTTAAAAATTTGTATGCGAATCGTCGGTAAATATAGTTAAGTATCCCTGCACTACAGGATAAATACGCTGTATTGAGTTTCTATATACATTAGAAAAGAACTCATATCTTGCCTTCCATAATTTGCGAGCTTGCTTTATTTTTAGACAATAAGTAAACACTCCATGGGTGATAACGCTTTATTTATACATAATAAAGTAGCCCTGTGCTACAGGATAAATACGCTGTATAAAATATCTTCTTAATTAATTGTCTTGCTGCACACTTACACAAATGTATTTCTGTAACGTTTAGTCACATTTGATAACATTATTTATGTGCATGCCATTGCGTTTCTTGCCACAGTTATAAAATGCTTGTCTGAAGAAGTCTTACCCTTGTCAGACGAAGCGTTACAGAAATACATTTGTGTAAGTGTGCAGCAAGACTCTTGAAATAATAGAATAACCATTTTCACTCTTGCTATAGCACACTTGCGTTATACGCAGACGGATCCACCTGTGCAAAGGCATACGGACAGGAAAGGCAGTTAGTTTCACGTATCACCAACTGTTAGTAAAATATCTTTTTAGCTCACCTGCACCCAACAATCCAGAGTTGTCATGTCCAATTTTGATTTTTTTCAAATTTCCAAGATCCGAGGCTTCAACTGTAAAAATGTCTGCATGGTTCTTCTCAAATTTGTCGCTGTATGTCTTTGATGTCTTCAAGTTTCTGAATAAAAAAAACTATTAGGGTGAATGAACTGCATTTAAATAAAGTGCATTGTGTCACTGTCCCTTCGCATTATTAGTCTCCAACCAGCGGGCCACAGAGCATTACGAGGGGGCTACAATATTAGTCGCGAAATTGTTTTTATTATTCTGTGAGCCGGTTCGCATGGTGTTAGACCTCATGAATTGTGTTTGCATCGATGGTTCAGGCTGAATTCTTTTTTTGTAACACATCCATTCAGGTCATTCACTCCCAACATGGCCACTGATACCTTATCTAACGTGTAGTATCTCAAATTTGAATCAAAGGCACTCCACTTACATTTTTCCAGAGTCATCATTCTCTCCGTACAGCATCATATAAACGTTGGCATCAGTGCCAGCTCCTCGTACGTCTCCAGTCTTGACAGTGACTTCATATGTCGTCAGTTGGGCTTTTGTTTCTAGAGCAATGGCATCACGAACATTGGTCTTGCGCTTGTTTTTTTCCTGAAGTCGTTGGTACACTTCCTGTAATGGGGAAATAAAGTAGAGTGTAATCCAAGAGTGGAATAGGTTTTTGAACCAGGGGCCAAAACTTTTGCCCATCTAGTCTGGCAGACCATGTAAGTGTGACGTAAAAAGTTACATTTCGTGAACAATATTTACAGTGTTACAAAGCAAAGATGGAAAACAATATGCCTCGTGCGAAAACTAAATTTAACCACAATCCCAACAAATTCCTTGAGCTATTTTTAGCTAAAACATTAAAATTTGGTCCCAGTTTGGTTGTGGCAGCATCAGGCGGGCCAGATTGAATTACCCAACAGGCCGGAGTTGGCCCGCGGGCCGTACTTTGCCCATGTCTGGTGTAATTCATAGACAATGGCGCGGCAGTGTGGTGCATTGTGCTAAGCGTTAGAAATACGCTTGCCACCCCACCTCTGATTCAATTTCAAATCCCGTGCAGGGATTAGAGTTAAGATCTGAAGCCCAAGCCCTGAAATGTTAATCATTACGTTCGGGTTGGGCTTCTCTATCGCTGACTTTTTTTGAAATAAATACTAAACAAAGGAATACTTGTTATAAAAGAAACAATTTGAATAAAACAGAGAAGAAGCTGTAATGGACATTTTCCCGACATTTGACCCCCGAAAATATTCTTCCTATACTTTACCATACCCGGCTCGAGTCGGGCCTGCAAATCTAGTTAATTATTCGGGGTCGGGTCAGGCTGGAATTTTTGGGCCTGATCTTACCTCTAGCAGGGATATGTGAAAGGGAATTGCTGTACCCCTGTAATAGAGAAATAAAATAGAGTGGGACCCCCGTACAACCCTTGGCACTAGTTACCGGTAGTTTATTTTAACACCACACATGAAATACACAAAAATGAATACAGAATGTAAAAAGAGGCAGAACCGGTAAAGAAATCACGAGAAAACCAATACTGGTTATCGCCACACCTGTGATAAGTCCAAAAGCAATTGACAATACAATTAAAAAGTGGAATAATGATTGAGAAAAAATGATAATAAATAAAAGTCAATGCGACCTGGATTTCCAGGTGATGCCCGATACACAGGGAAACAAGAAACAATTCCTGGATTTCACCACTGATCACAATATAGAATTACTTTTGCAAAAAATACCACACAAGTTACCTATTCTGCCTTAAATCCCAACTCAATCAAACTGTTTTTCTGGAGTTTAGTTTCATTCCTATCCTAAATCAAATTGTATTTACCCAACTCATAACTTTCAAATCAATAATTTCTGTTCCTTGAGAGAAAAACGATAAATAGGAAAAAGTCCCCTCCCCAAATAATTAAAAACCTTACCTCCGATACAGGAACAAGAGTCCTTTCTATTTGTCCGTCATCTTCTTTGGTTGACAGCCAGCGCTGGCAAGGGAAGATCAATCGTCCATCTGACGAACGAACTTCAATACGATCGAGGAACCAGGCTGCACCAACAACAGCGTCATCACGACGAATTTTGATCTAAAATAAATGAAAATTATAAAAAATCCGACGTTCCAGAAGTATGTTCACCAATATATAACTAATTTTGTTCGCCTACTTTACATCAAGTTGTGTAAAGGGACTGAAACCTATGGGCAGGGGGTATATTCACTTTGCCAATACAGACAGTCTCCGAACTCATAATATAACTAAAATAAGGAAAATCGGAATAACATTACTGCCTAACTTTAAACCTGGTACGCACACTATGGGAGTACCTAAATTTTTTTCCATACACATGTTATCAAAACTTTTCTGGCTTTTGGTTTCTCCTTTCACCCCAATCTGCTATTTTTTAGATTTTCTTTCAATTTGAGTATATAAAGTTCAGTTTTTGCAGTGTGGTGAAAAAATAAATTACTGATTACTGAACTTTGCTTGAGAGATACCCAACAACTTAGCTCTGGAAAAGATTTTGTACGAGCGAATTCTTCTCAACCTGGGAGTAATAAACCATTTAGACGATGCTGAACAGGAGACTCTGGTGTGATTGTGATAAACTACGGTGCTGTGTGTTACGTTCATATTCAATAGACATTAAAATCAAACCTTTTTCAGAGTTCCAAGATCAGCCGCTCTCATTTTAAAAATATCCTCCTGCTTTCGCTCAAATTTATTGATATTTGTCTCAGATTTGTCGAGTTTTCTTTCACCTAAAAATAATGACACGGTGGGTGTTTCGATTGGCTAAAACAGTGTTCCCAACAAAAAAGAATTTTTTTCCAGGGATGAATTTCCTGGGGGGAGGGGGGGGGGGGAAGAATTGCAACTCATTAATTCAAGATAAAATAAGACAATGATAAAGCCTTTTACAGCGATAGGTTGGATTAATATGACATAATTCCGCATAGTGACACAATATTCTTAGGATTGGAACATTTTTAGGAGGGATTTTTGGGTTGAATTTTCATATTATCTGCATACCTGTGTCTCCATTCTCTCCATACAAAATCATAAACACATCGGCATCTGTTCCTGCTCCTAATTTATCGCCAGTGAAGACATGAACAGTGTATTCTTTCTCTGAAAAATTCAAGATGAAAAGATGGATGATTAGCAGTTCATAACTAGTGCTTTTTTTCTTTGAAGACTATTGAATCACTTAGAACCGCCATCTTTATTCTTGATACAATATTCGGCGCTTCAGAAGTGTGTGTACCAAAATGGAGGTAACTAATTTTATTCGCCCATGTTACATCAAGTTGTGTAAAGAGACCGAAACATATGGGCAGGGGGTATATTCACTTGGCTAACACGGACAGTCCCTGATCTCCTATTTGAACTAAAATAAGGAAAATCGGAATAAATTTATGGCCTAGCCTTAACCTGGTACACGCACTACGGGATTAACTTCAGTTCAGTATTAACTGCTTTACCTTGCAAAGCCTCATCTAGAACTCTTCCCAGTTCATCAGTTGGCACCAACTCTCTCATTATCTGTCCGTCATCTTCGTTTTTGTCGAACCATCTTCGACAGACAAACCAGTACGTCTCGACATCTCCTTTCTCGGGCGAAACAGATTCTTAATAAAAAAGATATGCGGTTGATTAGATGGAAAATAGAAGTTACTTCTTTCTCTTTGTCCCTGTCTCCAAATGCACTGATAACAGGAATTCTGTAGCAGGAATCACAAGTTTGTGTTGGTCGAATATTTTGCTTTTCAAAAATTTTATTTCTGTAACGTTTCGCCTGACCGAAGTCCAACTTTTTTCAGACAAGTTTTAGATAATGAATCGACAAATATCACTTATAATTGGTCTTTATGAAGAATTATTGAATATTAACTTCACTCTATTATATGTTTTGATATTTATATCAAAGAGGGGAGCTGATAGCACTTAACCTCTTTATTCTGTTGAAGAGAAAAGCTCATAGGATTTTTCATATGGTAAACCAAGGTGGATCCCCATGGTTGCGTGATTCATATTATTTCATCTTTGTATTTTGTGATTGATGGGTTTTGCCCACAAATAAACGCTTTACGTGAATGTTCTCGACTCTTTATATGCCCCTCTAGAAGTGTATGTACCAATATGGATGTACCTATTTTGTTTGATTATTTTACATCAAGTTGTCTAAATGGACTGAAACCTATGGGCAGGTGGTATATTCAGTTGGTTAACACAGACAGTCTCCAAACTCGTAACAGAACTAAAATAAGGAAAATCGGTATAAAATTATGGCCTAACCCGGTACACATACTACGGGAATACCTTTTTATTGGAGAGAGAAAAGGGGGTAAAACAACTCAATTATTTGATGACAATTTGTCCATTCACCAGTCTAGGAAAAAAAAGATAAACTTCTCCCACCTCTCCTTCTTTTCTTTCTCTTGCTGGTTCTTTTCACGAACCTTTGAACTTTGACCGAATCCAGGAACCATCCTGGGCCGACACCTTTGCCGTTGTGTCCAATTCGTATTTTAGTTATTGGACCAACATCTTGCGCTTCCACCTGGTAAGGAAATATGGCATTACCACTAATATTGGCTTAAACTTATTGGTAAATTCATTGTGTCAGGGTTATTGGGTCAATATTTTAGTCTGAAAAAAAAAGGTCAGTTTGTATCCATTAGGAATGAAGAGTCTCTCTGACATTCAATCAGAGTACGTTGTAATGATTATCTTGTTTTAGGTAATCAAATTGTCCTCTACCAAAAACAACATAGCCTACCTAGTTGAGGTGAAAAATAACAAAACGTAAAAAACAAGCCCTCAAAAATGAAAAAAAAAAACCTTAAATTTATCCACAGCGTCTCTCTCGAAATTATCTGTCCGATTTCTGAGTTTCAGAACTTCTGATTTTCCGTCCTCCCCATATATTTGTAGCGTCACGTTAGCATCAGTACCGGCGTTCAATTTGTCTCCTGTGGTCACTGTGATCTCATAGGGGAGCACTGAAGTCACAATGGAAAGAAAATATTCATAAACAAGAAAGAAATTTACAAAACAGTATGATCTTCATCGGCAGATAATTTGGCAGCACATACATTATAAGACATATTAATCCAGCGATGCGAAGAAGGGTAGGACAGAAATTGTATAAAAAGTATAATACATGGATAATAATAATTTCCTGCATCAAAATGCACTCAATTATTACGCAAAGAGAACAGCAATATGGCCATCACAAAGTTAGCAAAAAACCAGGCAGAAGTTAAAACAATGCTAGTTAATGTCATATGAAAGTAGGTCCATGAATTATAAATACCAGTGAAATTTAGATAAAATATCGGCATCAACGCCTCATATGAAAGTTTAAAAAACAAAAAGTTTTAGCCTTCAGATGACTTCAACAATCTTCAAGTACCAAACAATATATCAAGGCTGAAATATGTGGGAATGGACGTCTAATATGGCCACCATGATTTGAACTGAATGTCAAAATGTAGGGTGAAATGCCACCCCAAGACGAGACAGAAAATCGGGGAAAATGCAAGAAATTGCCTTCTTGTGTCTTTTTCCAATACGTTGGATATTCCATATTTAAGAATAATATTATAGAATGTATTTGAAATAGTAGATTTATTTGTGATGTAACATGGGCATCGGTACCGGAGTTCAATTTGTCTCCTGTAATTACTGTGATCTCACAAGGGAGCACTGAAGTCACAATAGAAAAAAAATATTGATAAACAACGAAATATGCGAGAAAGTAACCGTAATCGGCAGGTGGTCCGGTTTCATATACATTGTAACAGGACTACTCAACTGGCCGAGTGTGGTCCGAATCGGGACCTTCCGAGTATTTAATTCGGATAGCACAAATTTCTTCATTTCGGATCATTTGCCCAACTTTGGTTATGCGAAGGCTTCCTTTTATTAAATGACTTCATAGTTTTAAAGGTTATTTTAGAATTTGCTTTTTCAATATGTCAGATATTCCATATTTGGAAATGTTTTTCGGTAAGTATCCAAATAGTAGATAGCAGATACTAATAACTTACATTTATCTTGCTGCCTTGTATGTGTCGGGTACAATTCCACAAATGTTCTGCCATCGTCCTCGTCAGAAGCCAACCAACGGTGACAGTTGAAAGTATAATGGAGTCCGCTCGATGGAACGTCGATTTCAATTCCATCTAGAAACCACCCGGATGCAATGCCCGAGTCGTCGTGACCTGAAAACGAAGGAAATATTTTGCTCTGAATAAGGTATAGACAAGCAGATACCAAATAATAGCTCTATAATATAATGCTATTCTTTTTAGTGAAGAGAATTTTCATGATTTGACATATTGCCAACCTGGTTTATTAGAGTATATATGCAACGTCAGGGTTTTATTACCATATTTCACAGACCATATTCTAAGGCGCACTGTCAACAAATTGCTTGGATTGGATGTTTATGTATACACAGCTCCTGAAGTATGCGCACCAAGATGTCGCATAACCTGAACCCTAACCTGGTACACAACGTGAGTTCAGGTTGTGCGCCATCTTGGTGCGCATACTTCAGGAGGTCCTAATGAACATCGGGCTATAAAACGCAGCAGTTTTTAGGGTGCTTCAGAAGTATTTGCACCAAGATGGCGTACAAGCTGAATATAGTATGCTTATCATAGTACACCATCTTGGTACACATACTTCTGGAGCGCTGTTTTTTTCTGTTTTATCTATCAGGCACACCGGCGTATAACGTGAATGATCGATTTTTGAGAAAAAAAGGATTTAAAGTGTGCTTTATGGTCCTTAAAATACGATAATATGTATAGGTAAAGGGCTGAGGCAGTTGAAGCATCTAAACAGCTGTTTGGTATAGTGTTCTGTTACAATCACAGAATTTATCTTTATTTAACCTGATCTAGACTACCAATCGAGCCCAATTTTGTATACCCATTTTCATTCATGTCATACGACCCCCAAAATTTACCCAATATACAATAATTATATGTCATTGGAAAGATCTTTTAGAGTACTATATGCTGGATGTCACTGGAGGACCGTAAACTAAAACCGGTGTTTCAAGAGGTCAATATTTAAAAAAAATTTCTTGTAAGTGCGTCGTGAGTTTTTCCCCAGGACAATTTCACGTCACACAATCAAGAAGTTCTTACCAATTTCTATTCTTTCCAGTTTTCCAATGTCTGTTGCTTCTAGTTTGAATAAATCGGTTCGTCCTCGCTCAAATTTGTCTCGAATATTCTCACTTTGATGAAGTTTCAGACGTCCTGTGTCACCATCGCCGCCAATAATCTGAAAAGAAATTGATTTATTAGATTTTCGAAAAAGGGCATTAGACAAGATGATTTTGAGACGTACAAACATACTGAGATAATACAGAAAGGGTTGTCCAAAATGAATCTAATATTCGAATAAAAGTCTTACTCACTTTCAAGAAGACATTGGCATCTGTTCCAGCTCCACTGATATCCCCTGTCTTTACTGATACATGGTAGGTTGTAGCTGCAATGAAAAGATTGAGATTATCTTACAGAAATTTTATTCTGGAAAAGAAATCTGATAAAAGTGACTGGTATTAACTAAAACGATAATAGGTAAATTTATTTAAACAAAACACAGAATGCAATGAGATAGAAAAAAACAATGAGAGGCGGAATAGAAAGCATAATCATCCGGCCTCGCATTCAGTCCATGAGATTAGTTAGTAGGGCTGTCCAAAATCGAATAATTTTTTGATTGAATCGAATATTTTTTGGTTCACTTGGACAGCCCTATTAGTTAGCCAGTTATTTGTTTCCGATGCATGGACTGAAGTCGCTCTCCCGCATCACCACGAGCGATACTGGAAACACCAGGTAGCTTGAACGTACCTAAATGACCGATTTCTGTTAGTAAATATTGTTCGTAGATAAGTATAAAACACAATTTGCTTATCAGGCTATCAGTAATCGATGGTTTACCCACTGTATGAAAAGAAAGTATATGGTGAATATAAACGAATACCTAGTACACTAGTTCAACTTATTTTTTTTGGTTTTTATGATTCTATGTTAGACTCTCTCAAAGGTGACGCTGTTCGATAACCATGACTGGTTTATCGCGTCTCCCTTCACGCTGAAATAGGCTACATTATTTTATATTTTATCCTTCTGTATTTTCGGTATGTGAAAAAATAAATTACTAAATACTGACTTGATTGCAAAGAAAGCCGTAACAGACCAGTGATTCAATCATACGGCGTGTTGAATTCACTATCCACCTCCTGGTACAGAACCTATATCATAAGATTGGATACTTCCGAGGTAAGTGAACCAAGATGTCGGACACCAGAACATTAGGGAACATTAGGGACACTAGGGTTAGGCCATAATTTTGTTCCATTTTTTTTAAATTTTAGTTCTATTACGAGTTGGGGGACTAGCCATGTGACTCCCGTAGTATTTTTACCTGAAATTATGGCCTAACTCTAATCTGGTACACATACTACATTCGGATGTTCGCTATCTTGGCCCACATACTTCGATTGAATGTAGGAAAAAATTATTTAAAACTGCAACTTACTATTAAGCAACTGTGGTGTTCCTTCAGGCATTAATTCCCGAACAATATGGCCGTCATCCTCATCAGTAGCCAACCATCGTTCGCACGGGAAAACCATTTTGTCTCCTCTCCCTTCTTCCCATACTTCCACTTTCTCAAGGAACCATCCTGGTCCTGATAAAGAAATTACAGTTTAAAAACAAAATGTTTACCGTATGCATGACTTCTTTAAAGTTAATGCTATTTGAGTTTTTGTGAAAAGTTTTGATTCCTTCTATTGAGAAGGAAAGTTTGAAAGATTTCATGAACAAAAACTTAGCCATATGCAAGCCTACTTCAATAGACTGTTAAAAATACAAACTTCAGGGAATTTGGAAGCCTAATTTAATAGACTGTTAAGAATGCTTCCATTTTTAGCACTGAACAGTGGAAATTGAGAGATCCATTGGTTAAGAAAACAGTGATTTTTATGGAAATTAATCAAAATCCAGTTCTATTATTTGGTAATAATTAAAAAAATGACTCACCGACACCTGTGTCATCATGACCTATTTTGACCTTGGTCAAACGTTTCAAGGTCACAGCTTCAATGACAAACTCATCGACCTAGATATAAGAATAGAAATAAAAACCTTTCGAAATTTGCCACTTTTCTCCAAAATATACATTCTCAAAGTGCTTAATCAATACAGAGCTTCAGGGCTTTGTGTGAGAAACCTAGAAGCTCTGCTACGCTATCCGTTTACATATTCAAATATTGCATATTTTTCAAATACAAATACATCTGAATCCAATTTTAGTTTACTCAGAGACATTAATCGGTAATAACAATGTGCTTTCATTTTTATGAATTTATTGCGGGCTTTATTGTAAATAGTAGTCTTCTTTACGAGCTCCATAACACCAAAAATTTGCCCTGGGTAGAATTCTGTTCAAAGTAAAGGTGGTGAACAACTGATGACATTGCTTCGTCTTACTATTAAAATCCAAATCCAGTTGGAAACATGACCTCCATAATACTAAAAGTTTGAGAACCCCTCATAAAAGTTGAAAATTAGATGCAGGGCTCCAACGAGCAATTCAAAAATACATTGAAAAGCTATGACTCAGACTTCCAATTGCAAAAAATGAAGATGCCATCTCCAGTTCCTCTGGAAAAATCAGTGCTACTGTCTGAAGGCATGTTTTGAGTGAAAGTACAAGATAAAAAAAAACTCAATCAGGCTTCAAAAATATTAAACTCACATTTTTCCTTTCAAACTTATTCCTGCTGGATTTTGTTTTCACAAGAGGTCTCTCTCCTGTGTCACCTTGTTCCCCAAACAGACAACAGAAGACATTTGCGTCTGTTCCTGCATTTGTTTTGTTCCCTGTTGTCACGGAAACGATGTAACGCACCAGTGGTTGTGGTTTTTTCACCAAAGGTCCACTTGCTGGTAGTTCCCGAATGATTTCTCCATCTCCTTCAGACCTGAAATACCAATTATAAAATCTTAAATTGTGAAATCAAATTATCGGAGAGTAGCGTACCGCCGTAATATACAGTTCAATTAGCTCTGCATTTCAACTTTGCCGAGAGGGCTGTCTCTTTTACTTCCGAGTGAGTGCGCGTAACTTTGCTCAGAGATGAGTCTCCTTTACTTCTGGGTAAGTGCGCGTAACTTTGCTCAGAAATGAGTCTCATTTATTTCTAAGTGAGTGCCTGTAACTTTGCTCACAATGCTCAGAGATGAGTCTCTTTTACTTCTGGGTAAGTGTGTGCAACTTTGCTCAGACATGAGTCTCTTTTACTTCTGGGTGAGTGCGCGTAACTTTGCTCAGAAATGAGTCTCATTTATTTCTAAGTGAGTGCCTGTAACTTTGCTCACAATGCTCAGAGATGAGTCTCCTTTACTTCCGGGTGAGTGCGCGTAACTTTGCTCAGAAATGAGTCTCATTTATTTCTAAGTGAGTGCTTGTAGCTTTGCAACTTTGCTCAGAGATGAGTCTTCTTTATTTCTGAGTGAATCCGCTTAACTTTGCTCAGAGATGAGTCTAGTTTATTTTTTGAGTGAGTGCGCTTAACTTTGCTCAGAAATGAGTCTTTTTTACAACTGAGTGAGTGCGCATCTCTTTCTTTGAGCCAAATATTGTTAAAACTACTATCAAGATTATCTATAAATTCCTCATATATTCCTAACTCTTTCAAACACTTACGAGTCCAGCCATTTCCCGCAGTTGAAAGTATAACTCTGTGACTTCTTTCCTCCGAGGACAGGTTCAAGAACAATTTTATCCAAATGCCAACCAGGGAAAGATCTGGAATTGTCATGCCAGACTCTCAGCTTGTAAATTGTACCAACATTGACAAAATCAATCTGAAAGAGAAAGATTGGGATTGTGGTTCGAGCAATGTTTCCTAATAGAGAGAAGAGTTTTTTTAAAGGGGGGAGGGGGGAACGATTAACCTTGTATTAGAATGCTGGGTACTGCCGAAGTATGTGTACCAAGATAGGGTTAGGGCATAATTTTATTCTGATTTTCCTTATTTTAGTTCTATTACGAGTTACAGGGACTATATGTGTTAGCCAAGTGAATATATCCCCTGCCCATAGGTTTCAGTCCTTTAAAAAACTTGATGTTGACAAAATTAGTCACCTCCATATTGGTATACATCCTTCTGGAGCACCGAATGCTGTGTATTACTAATATTTGTTACTTAATAAAAGAAAAATATTTATGCACACATTTTCAACTTTCCAAACTGTGCAAAAGCCAAAGACTAGATATCAAGTATCACTTGGTAATGATCAATTAAAGATTCAACAACAAATAGAAGAAGAGTCTGTATGTGTAGTTAAGAAACAAAATAGATGATGGCATTCATTTGCAGACTAATTATGAGCAAATAAAGATAACAAAAAAGGAACTGAACCAACTGAACTAGGCAAAATCGCCATGACGTTCGATAGGCATTGTGAAACACATTCAAACCTCAAATGAGTCCTTTGAAAGGGGTTAGTATATCGGGAAATTCTTAGAACGCTCACCTCAACACGAGAAGAATTCCTCGCAGGGAGAAATTTGAATTTTTTTGGTGGGAAACATTTACCTTTTGCATTTGTATTTATTCAGCATTAGTATTGGCGTAATGCATGTATGTGCATGCATTATGAACTATTCAAAATGGTACAAAAGTCAGAGTACCGGAGTACAGTTGCATATATCACAAGCAAAAGTCTCATTAAAGATTGCACAATGAGTGCAAATAAGAGTTTTAGTGAGATAAGTTTTAGAATATCAGAAATAGGCCAGGGGGAGACTGCGTCAAAAAAGTTTCAAACCTCTAGTTTTTAATTAATTTGTTGCGTAAGTCTCTTCGTTGTTAGAAAATTCCGTAAGTAGGAACGCATTTCATCTGTAAATGCCCCAATCTGTTCTTTTAGTGATTGAATAATAGAGTTTTTATAAATAGTGCGATGATTTATTAAGATCTTCAAAATAGGCCAAGGGAAGAATGTGTCAGAAAAAGGCAGAAACCGCTGGTCTTTCTGAAAAATTCAATTCAAACTAATTACAAACAATTCAAACCTTGAACGAATCCTTCTGTCCAGATTCAAAGTTATCGGATTCATTATTGAGTCTTATTTCACCAGACTTTCCTTCGCTCCCGTAAACCTGCAGAAATACTTTAGCATCTGTGCCGGCACTCCTCTTGTCTGTTGTCCAGATTACACAGTTCCAGGCAGATTCTGTGAAAGGATAGAAGTGAGATTATATATTGTAAGAAACGATGATGAGACGAATTTGCTCAGAGATAAGCCTTCTCGAATTTTGAGTGAATACATGTGATGCACCACCATTATTCAATACAGTTTTAGAACCAATTTGCTCCGAGATGAGTCTCCTTTACTTTAGAGTGAGTGCCAATAAATTTGCTCAGAGATGAGTCTTCTTTATCTCTGAGTGAGTGCTCTTAACTTTGCTCAGAGATGAGTCATCTTTATCTCTGAGTGAGTGCCAATAAATTTGCTCAGAGATGAGCCTTCTTTATCTCTGAGTGAGTGCTCTTAACTTTGCTCAGAGATGAGTCATCTTTACTTTAGAGTGAGTGCCAATAAATTTGCTCAGAAATGAGTCTCCTTTACTTTAGAGTGAGTGCCAATAAATTTGCTCAGAGATGAGTCTCCTTTATCTCTGAGTGAGTGCTCTTAACTTTGCTCAGAGATGAGTCAGTCTCCTTTACTTCTGAGTGAGTGCGTGTGCCTTTGCTTTAAGCTAATAAACCCAAGAGTAGAAGTCAAATGCAAAAACTAGGTATTGAATAGCATACTATTTAGATATCGATGTCCCTTTGCATTGAACAATTTAAAACTCTGAAATTTCAATCTTCGAGAAATACCTAGAGAAAACCTGCCTCTTCGGTACAAATATATATTTACTGTCCTGATATCCTGAAAAGTTCGAGGTTTCAATCATATGAATTCAGGGTTACTCACTTTGTACAATTTGTTTTCTTAAAGATTTGCTCTCGTACAATTCCCGGCTGATGAGTCCGTCACCTTCATCTGTGGCAAACCATTTGGAACAGGGAAACACCTAGAGAAAGAAAATAAATTAATTAAAGAATTTTATAGTGCTCAATAGTATGTTATTTTTCGTAAAAAGACATTTAACTCAAAAACTGGCTCAGTGCAAGCTGCTATAAAAAGCTTAATTTTTCTGGGACCGAAATCAATAGTAAAGATTACCCGATGAAATTACCTTACTTCTGAGTGAGTGTGTGTAGCCCAGATTTTAAAAAAAAATCTTAAAAAAACAGATGAATTTGCAGCTTGGTGAATCTAAATTAAAGAGTTCTGAAAAGAAACGAAAAGTGAGAAAATGCCTCATTAAAATAGAAATTACCTGTTCACATCCAGTGCTGTTACAGATCACAATAACTTTGTCTAGAAACCATCCTGGGCCAGCGCCGTTGTTGTCGTGGCCAATTTCAATCTTTTCTAGCGGACTCAACATGGAGGCGGACTCTACATTGCATATGACCTGACGATTTCTGAAAACAGAAGAGACTCATGGTGTCAAAAGGGAAAAACGTATTTTTTTATCTATCTCAGGAAATAAGAAAAATGATAAGATGGCGGCATATATGACAAAGTATGGTCTCTTATCCCGTTACCAGTTAGATTAGGTACTCCCGTAGTGTGTGTACCAGGCTAGGGTTAGGCCATAATTTGATTCCGATTTTCCTTATTTTAGTTCTATTACGAGTTTGGGGGCTGTTTGTGTTAGCCACTGCCCATGGGTTTCAGTCTCTTTGCACTACATAATGTAAAGTAGGTGAACAAAATTAGTTACCTCCATATTGGTACACACACTTCTGGAGCGCCCAAGATTGGATATGGAAATATCTAATTTATCAGCATCCCAGATGCACAGACCCACTCAGGCTAATCAGCAAAGTGATGACAAATGCTTCTAATGCTTAGCATGATGCTATCCTACAGACAACCTATGAGCTTTACTGTCATAAAAAATCGAAAAATAATACATTTCCGATCACTACTAACCTTTCAAAGTTTCCTTGCAATTCAATTTTTCCTGTGTTATCTTGACCTCTCCGTCCACCGTACATGATAATGTAGACGTTAGCACTTGTGCCAGCACCTCGAACATCACCTAGAAAATAAGTAAAAAAATTTTAAAAGATAGGATGGGCATGGGCAAACTACTACTAACGGGCCAAATCCGGCCTGTTGAGTAATTCAATCAGGCCCAGATGCCAAATTAATCCCATTTTGATGTTTTAACTAAAAAATAGCTCAAACAATTTGTTGAGATTGCAATTAAATTTAGTTTTCGCACGAGGTTCATTGTTTTCCTTATGTGCTTTTGTAACACTGTTAATATTGTTCACAAAATGTTATTTTCATGTCGCACTTACATGGCCCGTCATTCTAGGCGGGCAACATTTTCGTTCCCTGTTCCAAAAACTTTGCCTACCCCTGCTCTATGGGATGAATAAAAAATCCTTTTTACTAGCTCACCGGTATGAACCTTTACAGTGTACGGAATTCCTCCGTCCCCTTTCCCAGCGACGAGTTCTCTTGTGATTCTGCCGTCATCTTCATCTTTAGCAAACCAACGTCCGCATGGGAACGTGTAAATTCTTCCGGTAGAATTGTCGTCTATCATGACTTTTTCAAGGTACCACCCAGGGGAAGATCCAGAATTATCATGGCCTGAGAATTGAAATCAGAATTTTAGTTATGTTAGGGTTTTTCAATCGGTGAATAAAGTGTGCTAGGCAATGTGGCATATTGTGCATTAGAATCCAGGGATAATTAGGTTCGGGAGACTTGTTGGTTGGTTACGACTTCCTCTACTATCAGGCTTCTAAAAACAAATAACTGACTAACTAATCCCATACCCGACATGGACTGGTAACCGGACGAGAGTCCGTGGTTTGCCATATGGTTAAGCCGTCTTATCGGCTTTCTATCCCATAAAGTCCTATCCTATAAAGTGAAATGTCATTTCGGGCTGAAAGGAGGCTTCAGAAACCAATACTGGTTCATCAAGCAGCGACATCCAATCACAACAGTGATTCATAATAACATGAAAAATAATAGAATAAAAATTAAAAAAAGTTTACGCCAAAGTATGTCGAGGCGACCTGGATATCCTGAAGACACCTAATACAAAAAGAATGAAAATGAAACACAGACATTCCCCAAACTCATAATAGAACTGAAAAAAGAGAATCGGAATCAAACTATGGTGTAAGCCTAACCTGGTACATATACCTCGGGAGTACCTTTTAGAACAGGCGTGGCAACTTTTCTAGTCGGCGGGCCAGATGTTGGAAAATGAAGTCCTCGGTGGGCCGGATTATACCATGAATAGTATTCAATATCTTAATCACATATTTATTCGCTAACGCAAGAAAGAAAATTATAAATCGCGTTTAAAGTAAAGTTTAAACTTTACAAAAACTAGAGACAAAAAAAACACATATTGAATTTATCGTAATGTACTAAAAGTGTAATAATGGAATATTATATTGTACTGATGTACAGACAGCGGGCTGGTCAAAATCTCGTCACGGGCCGGACCCGGCCCGCGGGTCGTATGTTGCCCACCCCTGTTTTAGAATGTATTCAAAATACTAACTGGGGCTCCCGAAGTATGTGAACCAAGATGGCGGACACCGGAATGTAATATGTGTACTGGGTTAGGGTTAGGCCATAATTTTAGGTATAAATAATACGGCTCTTGGCTAGTCTTCGAACTAATAGGACTAAAATAAGGAAAATTGGAAAAAAATTATCGCCTAACCCTAACCTGTTACCGATGTTACGTTCCGATGTCCGCCATCTTGGTTCGCATACTTCGGGAGCACCTACTAACTTTTCACGAGGGTAAATCCAGGGTGAAAATTCGAACAATTTGAAAACGGAAATTTATTTATAAAGTGAAACCCACCAATTCGAAGTTTCTTCAACTTTCCAACGTTCGGACATTTCACGGTGAAAACATCTTTCCTTCCTCGTTCAAAATTATTGTGTTTGTCGTCCAACTTTTTCTTGCCTGAGTTCCCCATATCTCCAAATAACGTCAACGATACGTTTGCATCAGTCCCGCCACCCCGAATGTCTCCAGTAAATACAGTAACTGTATATTGGTTCTCTGAAATGGTTTATTATTGGTTGAAATTCTCTAAAGACGCAGAAAAAGGTCAGTTTATAGAATTATTAATGTTAAAACTGCTGGTCTTATATAAAAGAAGAGCTGTTCTAGATGCTGTAACTACTAGCTTTGTGAACGGAATCTATTGACAAGAATAATGAATAACTTTCAATATTTTTATTTTTGTATAATACGATATATACAGGGTGTCCATAAAGTTCCTTTACAATTTCAATTTTGTTATGAAGTCAGTTCTCAATATTTCTTAACCGGGTTTGTTGTTTTTTAATCAGTAATTGTTCAAGTATTTTTCCTTCATTTAATACCTCTGTGAGAGCCAAAACAATATATGGTATTGATAAATTGCCTTTGTATTTCAAAAATTTCAGGAGTTTATGAACACCCTGTACAACTAAATATATTACTAATATAGTTGTGGAATACAAACAATGACTCGCAGGGCCGTGGTGGCAATGGCAATAGGTTCCAGTGTAGATGGGACTAGTAGCTCCTTAGCATTGATAAGAAAACAGCGAGGATGGAATGATAATTTATTTTGACCTCCTCCATGATACAAAATAAATTACAATGTACAAGACAAACATACAGAACAGAAATTTACAATTCAGAATGCCATTTAATTATCCATCTTATCAACTTTCTTCTCGCTAGGACAGCAGTTCACAACCGTGGACCAGTGGACCATCAAGGGGACCATGAGGCAATTGTGAAGCCGGCCACAATGCTAGGCGCAAAACTAATTTTACTTTTCCCTTTACAAGAAAACTTCGTTCTTCCTAGTTTTTTGCTCGATAAGGTTATTTCACATGGTGTTTTCACTTTGTCGAGCATGAATTGTTTAAACATAATGGGAACACTAAAAATACCACTGGAATGATAAACAGGGGGGCAATGACCACAAGCAAGAAACGGTTGAGAACCACTGCGCTAGAAGGAATATGGAAAGCAAATCTTACTTTTCCCGACTCCTGTAGCATCATCACTGCCAACTAGATCTCTGTACAGTTGATCATCATTACTCAGCCACTCTCCGCATGCAAAATATACTCGTTGTGACGAAGTCAGAATCACAACCTGAATTTAAAAAGAAAAAGGTTTATTTATCACTGATTTAGACATGAGTCAGATAAGATATCAAAACAATCAATACAAGCCGGTAGGCGAAAACGCAAAATTGCACCTATAATGACAGCGGTTACTGTAGTAACCGTTATAATGAAACTGCCAGTTCATTTTGAACACTGCACGTCTTATTGTTATCCTTTTCATGAGTGATATACAGCGGCTAATAATTAATCAAGTTCACTAGAATTCAAAATTTTACGGATTAACAAGATGAAGAATGGCTTGTTCGAAAGAGTATTTACTATTGCAAGGAAGGGCAATCTTGGAATCTTAATTTTTGAGGTAGTTTACAAATAATGGCGCCAGTTGTGGAAAAAATTGGAATTTCTTAACGACCGGTGCATATTTTTGCTGCTGCCATGTAAGCGAAATATTAATCCAGACTTTTGATGAAACGCACATAGCTAGTGTGGTAACATAACCATTGTGAGGAATTTCAACCAGATCGTCCCAGCAGTTTAGTAGCTACAGCTAAACACACAGACAGACAGATAGACTGAGAATAAGGGTCTCCTAGAGCGGAGATCCAATAAATTGGTTTCACAAACAGCTTGTGCTCAAACGTCTGATTTTTGTCAAACAAAATATTAAAGAAATAAATGTGTCAGTGTGTAAGCAAGAATAGCATATTATCGTTTCAACCATCATTTAATCGAAAATACATTTTTGCCAATTGTTCATTTTGGGCATTCTTCGAACCGTCCTGAAAAATAACAAAGATTTCCTTGACTCATTGACACAGAATTTTGCTTATGACCAGCAATTCCGGTAAGCTTGTAATTACGACCCGGCTCCAAATCCCATAAAATAACGCCAACCCTTGACACAAAGTACGCAAGTTCAAAATTACGCCCCCCAAACTACAACCACTGATTAGGAAACACCAAAGATTTCTCACCCTTTCAAGATACCATGCAGGAGCAAACCCTTGGTTGTCAATCTCGATTCTAATTCTTCTTATTTTTCCAACGTTCACCGTTCGTAAACTGAAAACGTCTGATTTGTTTCGTTCAAAGGTGTTGTAGCGACTAAAATAAAGGAAAACTTGAAGGAGAAACAAAGAAAATTTATTGTAGTGTCTAAAAATAATTTTTAGAACTTTTTAAACATCATCATTTAGACAAATTCACACTGATAAGTGAGGACCTAATATTTTTGGGGGAATAAAACTAAACAATAAAAAATGAAATTCATTTATTTCTAGGTGAAAAAATTTTGCAAGCAGTACACATGAACAAACACGGTCGATGACGTCATAGCAGATTGTAACACTGCTGAATTTGTAACGTCCTCATTGCGTAATTTTGGTTTAATATGTTCCGATTGTAAAGAGACCGTCTATCCCAACTCTGTATTCTTTTCCTATTTCAGTTATGGCTGTGGTGTCAGGAGTATTTTACACCTAAACTTCACTCCAAACTTCGAAATATTGGAAATCTGGCTCTGAGTCGTGACTGGAGATTGCAAAAATTTTGAAGTTTTTGCTGTTGACTATACAGCTGATTGCAAAATCCTCTGTCGCCTAATTTTTGTTTATTATTGTCCCACTGTGAAGAGACCGTCTATCCTAGCTTGATATTTTTCCCATATTTCAGAGCACACTTAAATAGGCTTTCTACATCAACGAATGGCCTCATAAAAGGGCCACAGGGCAATTGAAGAGGGGAAGGGGCTACAATGATAGGCTTAAAAGGTGGTCAAGAGCCATAAAAGGTTGGACAAATAATGAAAAGCGTTTGTTTTGTAGGCTATTGCACTGTGTACCTATTCTTGACACTATTGTGGCCCGCGAACAATATGAAAATAATAGTGTGGCCCTCGAGGCCGACAACCTTGGACCACCCTGATCTATACAGTTGGTGGCTAAATTTTAGTTTTTGAAATATATGGCAAATAAATGCTGAGAACCCTCGCTCAACAGAAAAATAAAAATTGTCATCCTCACTCATTTTTCAACTGCAGTCTCGGTGACGAACCCTTCGATCCATGGATTGTGAGGAATACTTTGGCATCAGTGCCAGCTCCACGTTTATCTCCTGAAAAATGTAGAAAAAATGTTATACAGGTTTCTTTATGTGGCGTTTTGACACATTTAATCAAAATAAATCTCCAATTAAGCAGATCTAAAGCAGAAAAAGTTGGTATTTTTTAAATACAAAGTGTTCATATAGATCGTTTCGTATTATGTTATTGTTGGTATTTATTGTCACCGTATACCGTATTTATGATTACACAATCAAACTTACCAGTAACAACAGTGACTTCATAATCAATTTTTTTTGCTTGCTTTCCAGATACTGCGTTCAATTCTCTCGTCAACTGACAATCGCCTTTGAATAACGAGAACCAACGTTCGCAGTTGAAAGTGTATGAACGATCTTTCCTTTGGACAATTATTTCCTGAGTAAAAAAAGATTGAACATTATATTTTATCTTTGATACCATCCATGGGTTAAGGAGAGATAGGACAGGATTTACAAATTTATCGTATGGCGAACCAGGGCCTCTTATCCGGTTACCAATCCATGTCGGGTATAGAATTAGTTAGCCAGTTACTTGTTTTGGAAGCATGGACTTGATAATTATCGCAGAGCATCGTTGTCGGAAGGTTACCAGTCAATATATGGGGCTACTGTGGTGAATATGCCAAAATAACCTATAAATCCACATTTATTGTATTTGTATATTATTATTAGTATTAAACAACACACAAAGCGACTGAAAATCAAGTAAGTGGTGGCCATATTTATGTTCAGAAATCAGTATCCTTTACTTCTGTGTGAGTGCGTCTAACTTTACTCAGAGATGAGTCTCCTTTACTTCTGTGTGAGTGCGTCTAACTTTACTCAGAGACGAGTATCCTTTACTTTTGAGTGAGCGCGTCTAACTTTACTCAGAAATGAGTATCCTTTACTCTTGAGTGAGTGCGTGCTGCTTTATGCGAGTTTCATCAGCACAGCCTAGTAAAACAACTGTCCAGACCAGGGCTACTCAACTGATGGCCTGCGGTCCGAATCCCCCCCCTTTCGGGTATTTGATTCGGACCGCTCCTAATTCTTCATTTTGAATCAATAGCCCCACTTTTGAAGTTTCCTTTTATAAATCACTTTTATAGTTTTGAATATATATGAAAAGAACTATAACACCATAACAAACAATCTTGCTTATCTAATAATCATTAACCGGTCGAGGAAGTGCGTGTTTGAGGATGCCGAAATACAATTTCTGGAAAGACCGGACCCAAATATTTTTGAAGTTTTGTATGCGGATCTTCGGTAAAAATAGTTGAGTAGCCCTGGTCTAGACAACCAATAAGAAATACAATCTTTTTACTATTTGCTTTCCCCTATAAATCCTTTTATAGGGCCCATTAAAACTGACAAAAGTCTGTGTAGAAGTAAATCAGACTAGTTTTGTTTGATCAGTATTACAGAGCTTGAAATGAATCGAACATTCAAAAGAATTAAAACTCAACTGCACCAAAAATCCTTAGTCGTGTACGGTTTTCGACATTTTCTAAATACAATTTAAATCTGTATAATGTCTCTGGGCTTTTTCAGTGGGCATCTATAACTTTGCTCTGGGATGAGATACTTTTAGGATAGGATAGGATAGGATTTACATATTTATCATGGGGGAGAGGAAAGCTGACAAGACGGCTTATCCATATGGCGAACCACGGCCTCTCGTCCGGTTACCATTCCAAGTCGGGTATGGGATTAGTTATATTGTTTGTTTTTCGGAAGCATGGACTTGGTGGTGGAGGAAGCCGTAACCGACCAGCGGTTACGTGAACCACCCAACGACGACGAGGAGTCCAGCAATCCTCTTGCACATAATCATCCCTGCATGGGATTCGAACCTGAGAACCCACGCAAAGTAATTAGAGGTGCGATGGCGAGCGTATTCCTAACGCTTAGCCCGTTGAGCCACACCGCCGCGCCTTGAGCCACACCGCTGCGCCAAGTGAGTAATTACCTGTAACTTTACTCAGAGACCAGTCTTATTCCACTTCTTAGTGCATATTCGTGGCTTTGTTTTGAGCAAATAAATAAACAAGAGAGCTACGCTCAAATATATGGACATGTAGCGCCACCCAGTGGCAATAATTTTGATGACGTCATAGCGAGAAAAAAAAGTAATAGCCGTCTGGAGAAAAATTTTATCTTTAACCACTGAAAATATCAAAGCAATTGGTCCAGTATTCAAAGAGGAAGGCAATTTTTTAAAAATGGAGACAGAGACAAATAACAATAACAACAAAATTTTGAAAGGATCGTTATGGCCACTAAACGTGTCCAATAATGAAACCATATACCTGTAGAAACCAGCTGTGTCTTTCTTCTAATCCATCACTTTCAACCACAATGCTTTTGATTTCTCCAACATCCATTCCTGAAAATTAAAAAATTTATTATTTTTTTAACAGTGTTGTCTCAGAATATGACTCTGAGCAATAACCCACCCAAGCTGGAGGCAGAGCTTGGTATGTTTAATTGATATTTATATATTTCGATTTCCTAAAAGTCATAATCTACCGTAAGACAGAATTTCTGGATTCGAAATCAAATTTTCTGCAAAAATTGAAAAATTAAGCGTTCTCAACAGCTAATTAAAGGAGGCTTGTATAAACCAAAGTTTTTGTTAGTAAAATAACCTAATAGCAAAAGTTGTAATAAGTTTTTTTGGACAAAATTAGAATTTTCTATAAGTTGGGTGTTGGGTCAAAAGTTCATCAACAAGTCGGGAAGTCGTTCCCGAGTTGGAAACTGAAGTCAAAATTCAGTTAGACAAAATGTTACAGAGATACATTTGTGTTAGTGTGCAGCAACACCCTTGAATCACTCAATATAGTTATCTTAATTATAAGCATACGAATCAACCATCACGAAAGCATAGGATTATTAATCGATAGCACTAGATAGAAACAAAAATGCAAGAACCGACAAAAGCATAGAAGAAGGATAAGTAGTTAGTCCAAAAAACAAACAAAAATGCAAAATACTACAAAAAATATCTTCGCAAAATTTACCTCTTATTTTGAAAGTATGTGAAGATCCTTTTGCAAATCTGAACATATTAATATTGGATTGCCCCGATTTCTTGCACAACCTTGTCTTTTGAGTCTTGCCTTGACGACCATTGATTCTCAAGAATACCTGAAAATTCAAAGAAAAAATTGGAAATGTCAGAGATGGGCGAGGTTTTTAGACCAGGGCCAAAAATTTTGCCCAAGTGGACTGGCGGGCCATGTAAGTGTGATGAAAAAAGTTAAGTTTTATGAACAATATTTACAGTGTTGCAAAAGCAATAGTGGAAAACAATAAGCCTCAGGTCAAAACTAAATGCAATTGCATTTTCAACTTGAGCTCTTTTTTAGCTAAAACATCAAAATTTTATTTTAGTCTGGTTGTGACAGCATCCGGCGGGCCAGATTGTATCACCCATCGGGCCGGATTTATCTCGCAGGCCACAGTTTGTCCTTGTCAAGACTATAAAGAAAACTATTTGATACTGACAGAATGCTAACATTTCATATTACTGCAGCAAGATGATATAACAGATTCACCCAATGAGCAAACGAGAATATCGGTCAGAGGCCGAAGTCTTATGGATCGTAAGGTTAGGGGATTCCCCAAAACAGAAACTGCGGTTTCGATTCCTACGCTCTTACTCAACCGTGACACCGCGTGTCCCATCACTAATTAATTAATAACTCGCTAATGATACGGCATCATTTATCCAAAATCAATAGGCTTCTGAGCCGAGATATGATGAATGCCCGTGCAAAATTTTCAGAGCAGATTCAACCTTGCTTTCGTGAGATATCGCGTAACATACGAAAGTGTCTAACAGACAAACGAGAATATTGGTCGAGGACCGAAGACTCATCGATCGAAAATTAGGGGATCCCCCAAAACGAAAATTGCGGTTTCGATTGATCCGCTCTCACTCCATAGTGACACCGTGTGTCCCAACCCTAATTAATTAATAACTCGCTAATTATACGACATAATTCATCCAAAATCAATAGGCTTCTGATCCGAGATATGATGAATGCACGTGCAAAATTTGGAGCAGATTCAACCTTGCTTTCGTGAGATATCGCGCAACATACGAAAGGGTCTAACAGACAAACGAACAAACAAATATTTATCAACATACTTATCGATCTTGATCGGTAAGTATGTTGATAGGTGTTTGTTTGTTTGTTTGTCCGTAACAATTCCTGCCTCAACTAGATTACTCGGAGTAGTAATAGTAGCCCTAACATAGCAGTTGCCGATTGATTTGAGCCTTTCCCAGAGTATAAAGTGTTTAAAACTCACCCTGGCATCAGTCCCGCATCCTTGTTTTGTTCCGGTTCTCACAGTAACTTTATATTCAATCTCTTGCATTCTTTTCGCTTTTCTTCGACTGCGAACTCCGTAACCTTCATAACTGAAACATTGCATGAAGTACGTAAATATTATTTATAATTGCAATAAATTTCTTTATTAGGGAAAATATGCTGTGCCTTGTAAGATCAAAGTGGCATTTTTAAGACAGTCCCAGTATTTATGACAAGATGTAATGGAAAAGTAATTGAAATCCAAAAGAAAATGTTCATGCAAAAATACAGAAAGACCTTATTCAACCTAATATAAAATTTACCAGGCATAATTGCTGATGAGCAGTGTTCCCTCTAAGGTGTGCACGTGCACACAGCTTTCAGAGGCTGCGCACACGCATAGATTTACTGCGCACAGATGTATTTCGATGCAATGTAACAATGTGCTCGGTTGGCAGGTTGAGAAAGTTTGTTGTTGGCCCACTTATTACCCGGTTAGAACGCCAAAATTTCTTCATTGGTTTTTGCACAAATATTAGTCATTTCCAAAAAAGTGCGCACACACCAAAATTTCAACGCAAACATACTACAAAAAATTAGAGGGAACATTGCTGGTGAGTATCTCGAAATGTGGATTGGCTATACCTAATAAAGCTTAAGTGTGTTGCAATGAAAGATCTGTGAAAAACAATATTACCGTATATGCTCGTTTTACCGCCCGGTCTTGATTAAGGGCCCTTTTAAATAGCCGCCCGTGTGAACAGAAAATAAAATAAATAAGGGCCGGTGCTTGAATACCCGCCCGATGTAAAAGCTGATTTTTCAATGGTAGAGAACCATAGGAAATAAGAAGCGCTTTTGTCACAACGCTGTTGAATTTTAAGCGCCGGTAAATAACACTCCCGCCTTAGGCGTCCAAGTACATAACAAATAGCATTGATTATGTAACACCGTGGTTCTCAAACTGGGCGCCGCAACGCCCAAGTGCGTTGTTTCAATATTGATATGGTGTCGCAAATCTTTTCTTCTTTTGCGGATTTGTACCTGCAGTGCTTAAAAAAAGTCAAAATTTTCGTTATTCTCGTTTAAATCATATTTGAGAACTGCAAATAACAATATATTAATTATTGTAACGATCGAAAATGAGAGCGCCCGTGCTTGAATAAGGGCCGATTTGAATAAGGGCCCGATTAGTGAGTTGGTTAAAAAAAATATGGGCCTGAGCTACAAAACGAGCAAATACGGTATGCTCCTTTGTTGCTATAAACTCCTAAATTCATCTTGTTCAAAATCCAGTAGGTATAAGTATGTAGAGACAGTTTGCTCTGCAACAGAGCTCTTGGTTGCTACACAGCAATTTTATTTATAGAAAGTAATTTTAGGAAAATTCAAAATAAAAGTTTAGTGAAAAATCCTACAAGTCCACAAACCTCCTCCTTTCCTTTGCTGATCCAAATCGATAAGATTTTACTGAACCGGACATCGATGAATTCATTCCGTGTCCCGGGACTGACCAGCGACGCTCCTGAATATTATTAGTATTAAGTTAATAATCTAATATTTCATGACGTATTATCCTCTATTCCTCTGAACAAGGCTAAATACACGCAGCTGCCAAGCCAAATTAACTCTTGAACCACTGGATACATTATCATGAAAAAAATTTCAAGATTTAATAAACATTGGGTACAAATTCTGTATTTGCAACAGCAATAGGCATGAACTTATATTTTTCCATTTCCCCATTAGCAAAGAGGTAATAATAATATGTTACTTTTAGGTTGATTTTCCAAATAAGGCATTGAAAACTCTAGTTCAAGGTTTGGAAACAGGACAAGTTGAAGAAGAGTTGCATGATTTGCGTCAAAATTGTTGTTACGATTCGTTTTTTTTCGAGTTGGGAGCGGAGTCGAAATTTCCATTAACCAGTATTTGAAGTCAATATTTGTATCAAGTCAGAGTCGTTTTTATATGAACAAGTTTTTTCGACTTTGCAAAATTTTTCTCTATTTCAAAGCTCCTATCGTGTAAAACTTTATTTGGTTCATATTAGATTTAGACTTTAGAAAAATTTATCTAGCTTTGCAGCCCTCTAGCTCGTGTGAAGACTTGTTTGTTATATGAAATGCCATTCACGATCAAATACTCCACACTTGTACTAACCATGCTGCCTCTTGGTGGCTGAGGTCTCAGTCCATATTTCTTGGCGTAGAAATCCATCAAGTGAGGGTCGTACAGTGGATCGTATTCTGGAAGTTTTGCGTTGTTTGGGGCTGCTGGGTACGACTGCATCGCACTGGTTGCCGTAGCATCCATCATTCGGGCTGTGAAAAAAAAACAAGTTAAGTATTTCGCCAATCAGTATATACCAGGGGTGGGCACAATTTTTTAGTATAAAAGCCGCATGCTGCAAGTCAGAACTTTAAAAGAGCCGCAGACTTTGTGAATTTATTAATATTATCAAAATACCATGAACAGAAAAGAAATTCACACAAGAGTCTAATAATAATAAATAGATAAACAAGGCAGCTATGCTCAAATATTTGCACAATTTGAGCTCATTTAATTCGTGTTTCCTTATAGCTGATTTACGAGGGTAGTCTTGTAAGAAGTTTCCATGATTCGTTTCATGGTGCCGTTTAACATAGCTGACTTTATTCCGACTCAGTAGCTTATGACAGATTAAGCACAAAGGTTTATTCTCCTGACTGGTAAATGCGCATTCTTCTTCCCATTCTGACTTGACAACTCTGTTTTCATCTTCGTACTTTTGTTTTTTAAATTGAGGACATATCGCACAGTAACTTAGACTAACTAACCGCAATCAAGCTGCAATACCGCCGACGCATCAATAAACATTGACCATTGTGACGAAAGATTTGCTGACTTCACTGACTTAAATTCAACGCTACAGCAATTTTCATACTAAAACATAATTTGTCCTAAGCATTGACGAAAACTTCTTTACGACTGTTAATAAATTAATAGAGTTTACATTAAACTTTTTCTCTTAGTTATAATTTGGATAATAATTTAAGTTAGCGAGAAGAGCCGCGCAAAAAAGTCTGGCGAGCTGCATGTGGCTCGCGAGCCGTGGTGTGCCCACCCATGGTATATACTAATTTGGCGGTGCAGCACATCGTGCCAAGCGTGGGAAATACCCACTTCTGATTTCCCTGCGTTGGTACACAGTTCGAATCCCATAGGGATAAATATGTGCGAGAGGATTGTGTGCAACATAGAATGCTTCACAAGACCGCTGGCGGGTTACGTCTATCTCCACTGTCAAGTCTACACATCTGAAAACAAAAAGGGGCTGTCTTATCCCATGCACTGGTAACTAGACGAGGAGCCATGGTTTGTCATACAACCACAATTAAGTCATTTTATCAGCCTCCCTCTTCCTGGGATAACTAACTACTCTATCAACTTTTATTTGAGGGCCTCGTTTCAAAAAATGTGTATGAAACACACAAAATAAAAATAAATTCATGGAATAATATTACTCACGAGCATAAGGAGGTCTCCTGACAGAGTTGAATCTGGACGTCGAGCTTGAACTACTGGACGCCGGCCTTCGAATAATTCTAGGTGATCTCGTAGTGTGCTCAGGTTGGGACCATGGGGTTTGCGTGCCCTTCTGGGTATGGGGGGCCGTGTAGGGTCTTCTTGATGATGAATATGTGGTTCTTTGAGGCGATGCGTATTCTGTGTATTTTGAAACCCGTGGAGGGGGGTAGTTGCTCGCTGAAAAAGAAGAATCAAAAGTAAATAGCATTTTAAGGGGTTATTGTGTTGGGTGGACGTGTTAGTGTTTAGTATTATTAGTATTTAAAAAATATTAAGATAGACACACACTCATGGTGTGGGCTGTCATGATGGAAGAAATAAAATCACCCCCCCAACTATTGTAAATTTTGAAGTTTGATTATCAGGCCAAGTCAGGTCACTACACTGTCACTGTCAAGCTGACACGCTGCTGATCTAAGTCAAGTTATGTCATTTTAATTGAGTCAAGAAATTATCGCATGAGCCAATCTCTCATATGAGCAGACACCATAAAAACGACTCTAACATGGTGAATTTATAAAAATTCGCATATAAGCCGACCCTACAAATCGTAACACGCCATACATACCTATCCCAGCAAATGGTTGCAAAAGAGAATTAATGAAAATGATAACTATTATTGTTATGTTTTACTCTTATTAATAAAAGAAAGAAGTGTCTCAAAATCCTGTAAATTCATCCTCATTATCACTGTTGAAACCTTTAGTACAATCAGAGTTATGCGCATATAAATTTGCCAACTTTTTTTCTGAGGTTCAAACCCGACTTATTTGCAACAATATACTGTAAATGATGCTTATCACAGACAGCACAAAACTTACATTTATCTTTCCTTCTGAATGATCCGTAGACGGGCGGAGGGGTCGAGGGTGCCATCACCATATAAGCGTTGGGTTGTCGGGGTGCAGGGCTGAATTCTGGTTGAAGAATCATGGTCATCACAGGAGATGAATTCATGTACTGCATCTGATCAAATAAAAAAGAATGGATATTAAAATTTGTAGATTGAAGGCCAGATGTCATATGAAAGTGTTCCCATAAATTTAAATAAAACAACAAATTTTGAACGGCATCTTGTGAATATGAGAGCAGTATTGTAAACAAGAGGGCCATGTACAAGTGTTCCCATGTAAATATATATGAGAGAGGTGTCATAAAAAAAGTGTTCAAATGAATGAAAATATACCAGAAAATTTTTTACAAAAATATCCTTTTTAAAACAGACAGAAATCGAATCCTTTTTTATTCTCAATCCTCCGAATTCGATATTCTAAATTGCCCATCCTTATGAACTTCAAATGATTTATTCCTATTTAACTGATTGACATAAACTGCCTAGAATGGCAATCCTCTTCATGAATTTATCAGATCAGAAAATTAGTGACAACGCAATAACATGATAGAAGTCGGGAATGACATACCTTGAACTTGGCTTTGTGATGCAACAATATGAAAAAAGTGGGAGCACACAAACGTTATATTTTTCAAAACTTTACGAACAGAATGAAGCCATGTTACAGTACATAAATTATCTTAAAGATGCATCGCGACAGAATTAAACTAAGAATGTTCTGTTAAATTAGTTTGAATAAGAATACCACACGTTATTCAGTGACTGTTATAGTTCACCATGCCCTATTTACTTAAATTAAATTGTCAACTAATGACAGTACGGCAAAGTTCTCGATTTCAAACCCCCTGCCGCCACACATCTGACGCCGTTGCCAAACGCCTTTGTTACAGAGAAAAACCATTAAACCAAATATTAGGATATCTTAAAATCGGTGAACTGTGTACTACATATTACTGAATATGTGATGATATTATTTCTTTGTTTTCACATTTTTGATACTGATCTGTGACTAGTGACAGAATGAATTAATCAATTAATTATTTCATAAAATATAACGTGAAAACTCTTTATGATTGTTGTACTTCTTTCTTTTGACATGTCGGTGACTACATAACCTCTTAAAAATCCTAAATTGCCCCGTAATAACCCTCAAATTTAAATTAATAACTCAAATCTATGTTCAATTATCGTTAAATTATTTTCTCTGTTTATAATGGAGTTGACTTTGTATTTGTGGCAATAAATCTCTCTTTTCCCTTCTGGAATACATCAGATACTGTGGTGTTATAAAGACTAATTGATTTCATACACTGATATAAACAGAATTTTAAATCTGATACAAGGCTACCCTGTTACGTAAAATCTGAATCTGTACTGCCAATACGGCAAGATAGCTTCGCAATTACATCTGATTTATATGGCCTAATAAAATTTCTGAAACTACTTATCAATAATAACTATAGGATTTTGGCTATTGGCAACTTATTTGCTGAAGGAGACAACAATATAATGCGTAAACCCCCTCCGTTATCGTTTGATTATTAACTAAGTTTGTTGTGGTCAGTTACTCCGGTAACCGGGAGTGGTGGGCGTTCGTGCATGTCGGGAATAATTCTAGCGGTGGAAGGATTGCGTTGATAATATTTCTATTACTAGTTACCGCACGAGACACCGTGGTACGTCATCTAATTAAACCTTAACGTTATTCCTTAATAAAAAATATATATTCTATGAGCGGATAGGGTTTGGCCATCATCTCGCCGTCGTAGGGTGGTTCACGCCACCGCTGGTCGGTTATCAAGTCCATGCATATGAAAACAAATAACCGGCTAACTAATCCCATACCCGACATAGACTGGTACCGTAATCGGCCGAGAGGCCGTGGTTCACCATATCTGCATATGGTTAAGTGCCATCGGTACCGTACCCGGCACTCTATCCTATTGGTAAGGTAGCTTTATATAGAGCTGTACTGGTATTCGCTACAAATGAACACTCTGCAGCAAACAGTTGAGTTAAGGTATGTGGCATAAATCATACAGAACTATATTGTGTTTAACGGAAAAGTATATAAGCAAATTCAGATAGCATTATTGAAACGACTAAGATAAACAATGGTTGCTGCCTAGTGGAGTCGAAATAAATAAAACTTATACTTATGAATAAACTTATACTTATATGCTCAATCACGCCACCTGACAGTAAAAAATGAACTCTCCATCTGTACACGAGGTAGCGTTACCACCGGAAATGACATCACTAAATACCTGCTCAATCACGCCACCCGACTGTGAAAAAGATAAATTTCATTCAAGCACGAGGTGGCGTGACCACCGGAAATGACACTTTTGCCGCCAAAATCGTAAGAGTAGACTACGATGAGCCTACGGCTTTGACGGATTTTAAATCTTTAAACGAAATAACATTGCATTGTTTGAAGTATTCAATAATTAATATCACATTAACTAACACACCAACACAAAACATGTGTATGTACGCCGGAACTACAGCCGTACGACGACAGAATACAGTAGACTACCGGTACCGTACCGACACTCACCTTTGCAGGCCAATTCAACAATTCTCCGCTATTTCTTTAAAAGTTAATTATTTTTTTTAATTTATACGATTTTTAGTTACATTTATAAACAAAAAAGGGCTGAAATTAAAATGAGCGGATATGGTCTGGCTAACTTTACAACGAGATAGAGCCATTGTTGCATGACTGGTCAGAACACTTTCATTGCGATGTCATGTCTCGGTAATACCTGGGTAGATTTGATAATTTGAATCAAAGTTTCACTCTGTATGATATAAATGTTTTGTATATCACAAGTATACTGAAAAAATATTGATATTCCAAAAAATGCCTTCAAGGAGTGATTTAGATTATGTAAATTCAGACAACGACGAGTACCGGTACGAATTGAACACGAGATGACGCTGTGACACTGCGCGCCAAAACCACAAGAATAGACTACGATAAGACTTCAACAAATTTACAAATTTGGACGAAAAACTCTACTTTTTTATCATATTCAATAATTAATATCACATTTAATAACACACCAACACAGGAAAAACATATATAGCGGGACTACTGACAGAATACATTAGACTACAACAGAATACAGTAGACTACCGGCACCGAAACGGCACTCGCCTTTGCTGACTGAATACAACAATTTCCCGCTGTTTCTTTTGAAGTAAATGATGTATTTTAATATTTACGATTTTTAGTTCAACTTCTAAACATAAAAGGGCTTAAATTAATCCAAAATGAGCGGATATGGTCTGGCTAACTTCACTACGAGATAGAGTCATTGTTGCATGACTGGTCAGAACACTTTCATTGTGATGTCATGTCTCGGTAGTGCCTGAGTAGATTTGATAATTTGAATCAAAGTTTCACGCTGTATGATATAAATGTTTTGTATATCGCAAGTATACTGAGAAAATATTTTTATTCCAAAAAATGCCTTCAAGGAGTGATTTAGGTTATATAAATTCAGACAACGACGAGTACCGGTACGAATTGAACACAAGATGACGCTGTGACACTGCGCGCCAAAACCACAAGGATAGACTACGATAAGACTTCAACACATTTACAAATTTGAACGAAAAACTCTACTTTTTTATCATATTCAATAAGTAATATCACATTTAATAACACACCAACACAGGAAAAACATACATAGCGGGACTACTGACAGAATATACTAGACTACAACAGAATACAGTAGACTACCGGCACCGTAACGGCACTCGCCTTTGCTGGCCAAATACAACAATTTCCCACTGTTCCTTTTGGAAAAAATGATGTATTTTAATATATACGATTTTTAGTTCAACTTCTAAACATAAAAGGGCTTAAATTAATCCAAAATGAGCGGATATGGTCTGGCTAACTTCACTACGAGATAGCGTCATTGTTGCATGACATTTCAGAACACTTTCATTGTGATGTCATGTCTCGGTAATGCCTGGGTAGATTTGATAATTTGAATCAAAGTTTCACGCTATATGATATAAATGTTTTGCATATCGCAAGTATACTGAGAAAATATTCATATTCCAAAAAATGCCTTTAAGGAGTGATTAAGGTTATGTAAATTCAGACATCGACGAGTACCAGTACGAATTGAACACAAGATGACGCTGTGACACTGCGCGCCAAAACCACAAAAATAGACTACGATAAGACTTCAACGAATTTACAAATTTGGACAAAAAACTCTACTTTTTTATCATATTCAATAATTAATATCACATTTAATAACACACCAACACAGGAAAAACATATATAGCGGGACTACTGACAGAATACATTAGACTACAACAGAATACAGTAGACTACCGGCACCGTAACGGCACTCGCCTTTGCTGACTGAATACAACAATTTCCCGCTGTTTCTTTCGAAGTAAATGATGTATTTTAATATATACGATTTTTAGTTCAACTTCTAAACATAAAAGTGCCTAAATTAATCCAAAATGAGCGGACATGGTCTGGCTAACTTCACTACGAGATAGAGTCATTGTTGCATGACTGGTCAGAACACTTTCATTGTGATGTCATGTCTCGGTAATGCCTGGGTAGATTTGATAATTTGAATCAAAGTTTCACTCTGTATGATATAAATGTTTTGTATATCACAAGTATACTGAGAAAATATTTATATTTTAAAAAATGCTTTCAAGGAGAGATTTAGGTTATGTAAATTCAGACAACGACGAGTACCGGTACGAATTGAACACAAGATGACGCTGGGACACTGCGCGCCAAAACCACAAGAATAGACTACGATAAGACTTCAACGCATTTACAAATTTGGACGAAAAACTCTACTTTTTTATCATATTCAATAATTAATATCACATTTAATAACACACCAACACAGGAAAAACATATATAGCGGGACTACTGACAGAATACATTAGACTACAACAGAATACAGTAGACTACCGGCACCGTAACGGCATTCGCCTTTTCTGGCCAAATACAACAATTCCCCGTCGTTTCTTTTGAAGTAAATGATGTATTTTAATATATACGATTTTTAGTTCAACTTCTAAACATAAAAGGGCTTAAATTAATCCAAAATGAGCGGATATGGTTGGCTAACTTCACTACGAGATAGAGTCATTGTTGCATGACTGGTCAGAACAATCTCATTGTGATGTCATTTATCGGTAATGCCTGAGTAGATTTGATAAGATTTAAGATAGTTCCACGCTGTATAACACAGATGTTTTTTTAAGGGAAAAACATAATAAAAAAATATTTATCTCTCAAAAAATGCCCTCAAGGAATGGTTCAGATTTTGTAAATTCAGAGACTATGAGTACCGGTAACAGAAGGACGCAAGATGGCGCTGTGACACCGTGTGGCGAACCAGCGAGCATGGACTACTGTAAAATATAAACGGATTTTTATTATTTAAACAGAATAACAATACTCTATTTACTATTATCACAATTACTAACACACCAACACAGGACAGATGTATAAATACCAGGGCAATTTTCCAACGGCGACAGAATACGGTAGACTACCGGTAACGTATTGGTACCGGCGTAAATATATACTATTACGGTACCGGCACTCGAATTTGTTGATGAATTAATCAATTTTCCGTCATTCCATCAAAGTAAAGTGTTTAATTTATTATATACAATTTTTAATTGAATTTCTTAATATAAAAAAGCAAAAATCAATCAGGTTTATCTCAACACGGGACAGAGTCATTGTTGCATGGCTGATCAGAACATTCTCATTGTGATGTAACGGATTTAGTGGGCTTATAAAAGTTATAAAATGTGACTCAAGTCATTAGACATACGGTATATAATTTCTGGTGCTCCAGAAGTATGCGCACCAAGATGTCGCACAACCTGAATCCTAACCGGTACACACATACCATGTTCAGGTTGTGCGCCATCTAGGTGCGCATACTTCTGGAGGTCCTAATATCTATTATTAAGTATTCTATAAGTTCATATGTTTAAAAATATAAAGTTAAGTAGCTGCTATCACAGCCACTCGATTCACTAATGACTCTTTATGAGTTCAAATAACCCTACAAGAAAAAATTTCCATAAGTGCAATAGAATGCATGCGCTATTGTCGTGGGTTCAAATGTAGGCTTAATGGAACCAGACTGGTGTGGTCGTGTACGCGTGACATAAAAAGTTGCTTTTTTTTCTACAGTGTCACACAAGCAAAAGTCAGTGGCGTAGCCAGGGGGGTGGTCTTGCGGGTCGAACCCCCCCTTTTGAAATTTAAAAAAATAAAATCATTCTTCTGTATAATAGATAGCAATTTTTCGTAGCTTGAAATGCTTTTTAGACCCCCAAGACTACTAAAAACACGCGTATGCCAGCGTTCGATCGGGCCCGCTAGCAGTTTCGGTTTGACTTGGAAAAAAAAAATTTCAGAACCCTCCCCTCCCCCCTTTTGAAAATTTTTTAGACTACGCCCCTGGGAAAAGTTGAAAACAAGTAGTCCCGCGTCAGAACTAAATTTAATCGCAACCCAAACAAATTCCTTGAGCTATTTTCAGCTTAAACATCAACTTGATTTAGTAGTGGCCAAATCAGGCAGGCCAAATTGAATTACCCAAAGGGCTAGATTTTTGTCCGCAGGTCGCAGTTTGATATATACTACTATTTAAAACCTTGGTTAGCTCTATACTTTAGAGTTGCCGAAAAAAAATTGATTTTTAATATTGAATTCTGATATTCAGAACCCGAGAATTCAAAATTATACTCTTGATAATTTAATTCTAGTGAGAACACGTCAAATTTCGAATTTACAGCCATAGTTTGTCAAACACTGCAAGCTAAACTGTTAAACACCAAAATTCCACAACTTGAAGATTACAATTATTTATTAACTCAAAAAAGATAGTGATGTCACTCATAGTACTCATGATATAAAATTATAATGACACAAAAGTGCATGGATATAATATGAATCAGCAAAAGTACATAACAACCACCTAAAAAGAAAACCCAAAAGTTAAAATTTATAATATAACTTTCAAACCAACACTCAAAATATTCTTAAAAATGTAAATGCCAAATATACCCAATTTAAATAAAAATAAAGCATAAGTTTTGCGGGTGCATACTTTTCTGTAAAATAGATTGATTTACAATATTACTAATTAAAACTATGGTGAATTTAAGCAAGCAAGAGTATTGTGCATTTGCATTTTCCAATTTGTATTAATTACAAAAAAATAAGAATTCCTTTCCTTCAAAATCTATTTAGAATAGAAAACGAGTTCTATTCACAGGCATTCCACGGATCACAAATCATTATACGATTCCTCAAAAAAGCAGAACCAAAAAATTTCATAATCACTTGGAAAAAAATAAGGAAAATATCTTTCACAATTGAACATCTGTTTAGGTATGATTGTTCCCAAGGTTTCAACGAGAATATCGGTCAGAGACCGAAGACTTATCGATTGAAAGTTAGGGGATCTCCCAAAACAGTGTTTTTACTCCATAGTGACACCTTGTGTCTCATCACTAATTAATTGATAACTTGATAAATATACGACATAATTCATTCAAAATCAATAGGCTTCTGGTCCGACATATGATGAATGCACATGCAAAATCTGGAGCAGATTCAATCTCGCGTGCATCTAACAGACAGACAGACAAATACCTATCAACATACTCACCGATTAAAATCGATAAGTAATAATCTAGGACAGGGCTACTCAACTGGCGGACTACAGTCCGAATTCGGGCCTTTCGGGTATTCGATTCCCACCTAAGTCATTATATTGGATCATTAACCCCACTTTTAATTTTTTTTTTTATAAAATCACTTTTATAGATTTAAATATATATATATGAAAAGAACTACAATGCTATAATAAACAATCTTGGTTGGCTAATAATCATTATTCGGCCAAGGAAGTGCATGTTTAAAAATGCCGAAATATAATTTCTGGGAAGTCCGGACCCAAATATTTTTATAAGTTTTGTTTGCGGACCTTCGGTAAAAATAGTTGAGTAGCCCTGATCTAGGACGCTTCAAAAGTTATGTTCTATCTAGTATATGTTCGAAATGATCTGAGTTTTTTTTTTGCGTCACCATAGATAAAGATATTTAAAATAAAAAAATTGATAAAACGTACTCGATTAGAAATCACACAGTATATTCATGTATTATTAGAAATATTAGAGTAAATTGGACAAATAACCGAACACTAAGTTACTGGTATTTCACATTTATTAGCGAGTATTTTCAACGTCTTTTATCAAAGCATGCTTTTGCCTCACTATCTGTTATTTGTAGCTTATTGTGAGCTAGTTATTTTTGAGGTGGGCGTGGCTTGACAAATTCTAAAAAAGGGGCGTGGCTTAAAAAGTTTATTCGTGAAATTCATAAAATAGGTTAAAAACAATCCAAACAATGCCGCAATTTCGTGAATTACTTATAAGCAATTAAAATTGGATCATAATAAAAACAATAACATACAATATTTACAACATTTGATTAATCATAAGATCATTAAAGCAACGACCAATAAAACTAACAATTAAAATATCAAAAAATTAGGATGGATATCTGTAACGGGTTAAGAGCAATAAACAAGGCTTACCAAACCTGGGGTCGCGACCTGTAGGGGGGGGGCTTTGGGACATCGAATTTTAGGGGTCACAAACATACACAATGTATTATATCAATTGTACTTTCTAAACTTTTGATTCAAAACACAGTTATTATTAAAACTAGTGCAAAACATGAATGCTAGAGAAAATACATAGAATCAGAGAAGCGGCGCGCACGTGCAAAACAATGCAGCCTTTAATCATAAGACTCGAGATGTAGCGCGCCGCTCGAAAAAGATGGGGGGGGCCAAAAATTTCAATATATTGGAAAGGGTTGTGATCTTAAAAGTTTGGGGAGTCCTGCAATAGGTTGACTTGAATATGACCGCATGTTGCATAATAAAATGGCCAATTTTATTTATTCATTTTAAGTTTCTCCATTAAAGATTGAAACCTATGGTATGAATAGAGTAGACTTCTCTAGATAAAAAGATTGAAGTATTTCAAACAATATCCTGCCTGTATCAGTCACTGCTTACAGAAAATCCTTGCTCATAGTGGAAGTGTGAAGACGGTGTATAAAGCAATTAACATTATTCACAAACGTATTTAAAAACATAATTTTATAAAATCAGTTTATCGTTTATTTCCCTCCGTTCCTGTTTCTTACTTCTGTTCCGCTTTCAGTAGTCAGTTTTTCATCCTCACCAAGATTGACACACACCTCTTCCTTACTTTCAGCCTGGACAAAAAATATTAAGTTTTAAGACAAGAATTTCTTTAGGTTTCCTTCAGGTGGGTGCGATGCCCTAGGTCAGGGCTACTCAACTGGTGGACCGCGGTCCGAATCCGGACCTTTCGGGTATTCGATTCGGACCGCGCCTAATTCTTTATTTTGGATCATTAGCCCCACTTTTGAAGTTTCATTTTATAAAATGCCTTTTATAGTTTTGAATATATATATAAAGAACTATAACACCATTATAAACAATCTTGATTAGTTAATATTCATTAGCCAATCGAGGAAGTGTGCGTTCAAGGATGACAAAAGACAATTTCTGGAAAGTGCAGACCCAAATAATTTTGAAGTTTCGTATGCGGATCTTCGGTAAAAATAGTTGAGTAGCCCTAACCTAGGGTAGGGGTTCATAAACTTTTGGTGCTACGGTGCCTGTGATGAGGTTGACTATTATTATTTACTGAGCCCCGTAATAAATTTATAAAAATAAAGACACATTGCTACTCACAGATTGAAAAGGCCTTAGTTAATTGACACTACTTCATTTAATGCATGGGTTCTTAACCTTTTTTCTGTCAAATACCCCCCCGAGTCACGAAACAGTCAATGCGAACACCCGGTAATCAGACATTGAACAAAGTTGTGTTATGTTGACTAACGATTTGTTGAAACAACAATTCATTGACCAGATTAACTAAATTAAATCTTCGTGTTAATATTATTGCTTCCACCTAACTAATGAATTTTCAAAATATCTCCCAAGTTTTAATAAGCATAATCACTTTCTCTAATGCTCGCAGCCCGCTGTCTTTTTAGATTTCACAGTTCGCCTGCAAAGCCGTAAATTTCACATTGTCGCGTCACAATCACAACAACGCAACGTCAGGGAAAATCTACGTTTCAATTGGCATCTAGTTTCAATCAACACACATTTTCCTCTGGTAGTAATAAAGGATATTAAAAAATAGCAACACACAAAAACTAGACTGCGGTCCAAGTACCCCTGGAAATCTTCTCGTGAACCCCTGGGGATTCGCGAACCCCAGATTGAGAAAACCTGATTTAATGGACCGGATGTATTTACCGTTAATTTCACTGCTTTATTTGGACAGTTAAAAAATCAGTCAGCTTCATTTTTTTAATGAGAAAATGAAAACCTAGGCCAGTTCTTTTCAAATTTTAGCACTATTGAATAAAAAACAAACTTGTTTTGAACGAAGGCTTGAGCCTACAAAATTCACAGGCGGGGACAGGTGTGGAAAGAGGGGCCGCTTCCCCGGCCAGCATAATGTAGGGGTGAGTTTGTTGCTTAGTTTGAATCATGTCACTCTTACTTGACTTTTAATTTATTCATCCTAATAACAACATTCATAATTTGTTCATCCCCCGAATTATTGAAATATGAAAAATTGAAATCTGCAAAAAAAGGTTTCATGTAAAAAAATCCTACATTTTTGCTTCGTTTTTCGTACAAGAAAATCACAGCAATCAGAATCACGACTTCCGTTACGATTCCAAGGAAAGGCCAGACTGCAGCGTATTTATCCTTCACTCTGACGAGAACCTGGTAAAAAAATCAGAAAAATAAATAATTTATTGGTTTATTTTTCATGAGCCCGGCTTAAAATTCGGTATTCTGGATTCAATTTAACTATTCTAAATCAAAAAATTGGTATGTATATTCCAGCCTCAATGAGTTGTTTTCCCAGTGTCAGGAATGAGCCAACTCGAGTTGGATAAAATTCAACATTCAACAAGGATTTGGAAGCGACTTGACTCGCATATTTGATCACACACACTCACTCAAAAATAAGGGAGACGCATCTCCAAACAAATTTAGGTACTCCAGAAGTATGTGTACCAATATGGAGGTACTAATTTTGTTCACCTACTTTACATCAAGTTGTGTGAAGGGACTGAAACCTATGGACTGGGGTATATCCACTTGGCTAACACAGACAGTTCTCAAACAAGAAAAATCTGAATAAAATTATGGCCTAACCCCAACCTGGTACATATATTACGGAAGTATTCAAATTTATGACAAACTTATGCATAGAAAAAATTCAAAGGCCAAATAAGCTTTTATTTCTGAATGAACCTGGTTTCAGCAAATTTCTTCACACTCACCTCAACAGTCCCATTCCCAGCAACATTCTGAACGAAACAGATAAAGTTGGAACTCTCCTCATAGGTGACATTGTAGAATTTGAGAACAGACCTGAAAAGCATTTGGTTTAATTGAGAGACATATTATGCAGATGTTACACTTTTGGGGCAAATACATTACATACAAAAGTAGGTATTCCCGTATTGTGTGGACCAGATTCTAGTTAGGTCATAATTTTAATTCCGACTTTCCTTATTTTAGTTCTATTACGAGTTCAAGGACGGTCTGTGTTAGCCAAGTAAATATACCCCCTGCCTATAGGTTTCAGTCCCTTTACACAATCTAATGTTAAGTAGGCGAACAAAATTATTTACCTCCATATTGGTAAACACACTTCTGGGACGCCAAAAAATAGATATAACTTGGTTAAAGCGTTAGACAAAACCAGCCAGGGATTTTTAAAAGGGGCATAGAGTGAATTTCTAATTGACAAGTTAGGCTATGAAAAATTGCTATGTATTGAAAAAATGCTTTTTTTCAAATTCAAAATTTATTCAATATTTGCTCACCTTGTACCGTTATTCGTGATCACATAATTGGGATTGGTTTCCGAGGTCACGAGAATAGCTACTTCTCCTTCCAACTCCCCTCGACGTGTCCAGGTAAATTCTGGATCAGGATACGAACCCTCAGACTTGCAAGTGATCTTTCTGTTTGTATCTCCTTCATTGTATGTGATGGAAGTCCTGGTGTTCTGTGAAAGGAGAGGGTTAATTAAGAATTTTTATCTGTCTGCAAATCATGTTCATAATACCTTGATTGTACTAACTGCACGTCAACCTAATATTTGTTTCATTGTATTGTATAGGACTTTAATTCAACCTTTAATTTGAGCATCTATTGTGTTAGGTTGTGTAATTTGAATAATAAAGTGGGCGCTCCAGAAGTGTGTGTATCAATATGGAGGTAATTAATTTTGTTCACCTACTTCACATCAAGTTGTGTGAAGGGACTGAAACCTGTGGGCGGGGGAATATTCACTTGGCTAACACAGACAGTCCCCGAAACTGTAATAGAACTAAAATAAGGAAAGTCTGAATAAAATCATGGCCTAACCCTAACCTGGTACACATACTACGGGAGTTAGATAAGATTTCCATATATATCCCAGGCAACAGGAAAGGCAAACACACAGTTCTATCATATGATGAACCATGACTGGTTACCAGTTCATGTCAGGTATGGGATTAGTTTACCGGCTATTTGTTTCAGATGTATGGACTTGATAGTGGAGAAAGCCGCAACCGACCAGCGGCTACGTGGAACTGTGAACGCTGCAGCATATCCCGCGATACATGGTCGGAAGAAAATAGAAAAATTGCTTAACAATAAACAAGAGAGCAATTGGAGGCCCATAACCCAAAAGGACCAAACTTGAAAAAGCTCTTCTGGGAAATTGAGGGTAACACATATTCTCAATCTTTTTTCAATCATATCAAGGTCATGCAAACTCACTCAAAAAACTAAGAAATTGAGCTCTTAAGCAAGATTACAGGTGAACACTACTGAGACTATATTACAGAGAAATTATCAAAAATGTGTTGCTGAACAAAAATATGACTATTCTAAAGATCTTCGTTTGAACAAACTTGGAAAAATCCTGACCCTCTATTATCTAATAAGCTTGGAGATAAAGATAATCTGCACCTAGAAACTCTAATAAGTGGAAACAATCATCCACTATCAAGAGAGAGTAATGAAAATCAGATCATTTTATTTACATAACCCAATTGCATAAAACGCCAAGCCAGGTTAAAGCAGGGCTGGGGAGCCGGAGCTGGAGTCGGAGCCCGGAGCCATGGAGCCGTTACATTTTGATGGAGCCGGAGTCGGAGTTGGAGCCAAGCTTTTCATAACAGATGGAGCTGGAGCCGGAGCCGGAGCTACCAAAAATTTAGTGGCTCCAGGCTCCAGCTCTTAAATATCTCATTTTTTGTTTTTCAAATTTATAATTTTTTTCTGATAGCATTACAAATGATAAAATCTTTTCTTTTCAGCTTATAATTCATTTTAAAAATTTTAGTTCCTAATACTTTTTAAAAAGTTTCCAGTTATTCTGTATGTTTGAAAGTTTAGTATCAAAATTTGAAGCGGTTCGCTTTTATCAAAATTTTGATTCTTATTTCCACTAAGCTGCAATTTTTCATGATTGCCGTCAAGCTCAAAAACCCTAATGGCCAGGGATTTTCGAAGAAGTGATTTTGGAATTTCCATGTAACATATTATGATTCTTTCGTGGCGTTGAATATCCAATCCATTTCATATGTCTTCAATTCTGTTCAACGTATCTCGAGATTGAGTCGTTTTACGACAAAAGAAAGGTTAACTACTCCAAAATGCACCGCAGCAGTCACCTATCATAAAGATGTATGGCAAAGTGCCCCATTACGGTATATCTTGTTTTGATCCATAACATAGCATGTTCTGGAGAAAAGTCTCATCAATTTCCGTTGTTATTTTTTGAATATATAAAAAGTATATCGCGAGTAAGATTGTTTGCGTTTAGATTTATTTTAGTGACTGTATAATTTTCAAAGTCGACCGGTAAATAATATGTCGTAGGCAAAAAAAATAATGAGATTAACAAGGCATTTTTTTTAGCTGTTGGGAGTCTCCTAGAACAAAGTTTATAGTGTTTTCCGTTTCATTTTAGTATCTTATAATAACTCTCCAATGTGGAAATTCGGCTTGCGAATTGACTTCTCTATTTATCTTTAACATCTCATCGCTGATAATTATGAAAACGCCTCATTTCTAAAACCAACTTTTGGCCTGATTTGAGAGGGGGACGGCATCTAATTGGGTGACGATGGTAATTTCCATTATTTTGGGTCTGCTTATTCAATTTGTACCATAAAATACTGCCTCCCCGTCAGGCCAGTTTAAATTATCATGAGTTGAAGGGCTATTGCCGTTACTATCACATGTGCGTTGCATTTCGTGAAAAGCGTCAATTGTTTTCGTCGCCATAAACATTAGGCCATAACATCTTTTATTTCAGTGTTTATTTTTCCCTTAATCACAATTTCTCAAGACATATGTTTTGTGTCACGCACCATATTTGTGAGAAAACGAGTTATTACATAATCATCGGTGATGAAATTCTAAGATAAATAAAGAAGTCAATACGCAAACCAAATTTTCCTGATTAAAAAGCGACATTATAAAATACTAAAAATAAAACAGAAAACACCATGAGTTTTGCTTTAGAATGGCCCACGACAGATTTTATCTGGCCGCATGATTGCCAGTTATGTTGAACACAATTAAATTAAAATAAAAAGACAGTTATTATGGGTTAAATTTAATGTGGTAGAAAAAGTCATTATGAGCTATGTTACCGAATGCGCAAACGCTGCGACCATTCCAGAAGCCGATTTTCCTTTCCGTCGTATTGTGGGGTTACATGTAAAACCCTTATATGCTTGGTAGACCGATTCGCATATAAAAATACAGCATATAATAACTCTCAGTGGATTCACAAGTTACATGCAGGAACAAAAAGGAATTATCATGACACCGACTTGAAGGGTGTTTACAGCCTAAATAACATGCCACACTTAGAAAACAATTACGGTAGCAAAATGCGTTATTGGGCTGCACTACTGATAATGGCTATGGAGCCGGAGCTGGAGCCAGCTCCGGCATAAAAAAATGAAGCTCCGGAGACGGAGTTGGAGCTAAAGTTTGAATGCACTGCGACTCCGGAGCTGGAGCCGGAGCCATCATGATTTCAAACCAGCTCCCCAGCCCTGGGTTAAAGCCAACACTTCAACCCAGCGTTTAGCAATATTCTTATCAAAGAGTTATTTTACTGTTTTTGGAGAGGGGGGGGGGATTTTATTTTGTATTTCCGAGTAGTGTCGCTAGAATGACCCATTTATTAGTATTGTAACACATATTTATACCCACATTACGAACTATTCAAAAACTCGAGTTCAAGTCTCGCATATCACTAGTCAGTGACCTATCAAGAAGCCCGAAAATAAGACCAAGCCCAAAAATTCTAAAATTAAAGGCCCCACCTTTAAAACAAGACCTAGTCAATAGCGCAATTTTTTTTACCTAGTCGATAGCAAGAAATTTTCGAATAATCTACGTTTATTAATCTATGAAATTTTTTTAAATAAAAATGTGTTACTTTTAAGTAAATAGATATCGGTTTCAATATTTTGTATATTTGGAAATCTCATAATTCTCTACTTTGTAATTTTGTTTTTGATAAATGAAAATAAAACACATCCCCCCAGAATGAGCCCTGGCGTTACTTTTTGAAAAAAAATTGAAATAAGACCCTCTTATTTACGGCGAAACCCTGTACCTAATGATTGTCCAACAAACGAGTAATAAGTTGAAAACAGTTTTAAAGAATGAGCCATCACGTTTACATTCCATACTCACCAATATCTCTGGCTCAGTGAGTTTTGCAGCAGTGTAAGCAATCTTCTCTTTTCCATTTAGGTAACACACATATTCTCCAGTCGCATGGTTGTCGGTGACATTAATATACAAATTATGACCAGTAAGCGTCTGGTTCACATTACTGGAATTGGTGTACATCCATGTTAGAGTGTCGTTTTCTCCGAGGGTAATCACGTCGCCACATGTTAGTTCCAGGGGTGAAGTTTTTGATAATTCTTCGTGGAGAATAACGACGCTGGTTTCAGCGTTGCAGAGATGTGCAACGGATGTTGCAAGAAACAAAATGATGACGTTTGCCCTCATTTTTATTGAATATATGTGTTACTGTTATAAAAATAAGATACATTAGTCCAGGGTTTCACATCTAAGAAGGCAAGTTGAGTCAAGTCAAGTCTATTTTCCCCAACCAGTAAAATACATAGATATACAATAATCAAAAAATAGAGATAATCATACAATTTTACTGAATGGAAGTCGCGGGGAACCAAAGATGGTAATTGGGCAGCAACACCCAAGATTCTAATTAAAAAGGAGAATTTTAGTTACAGAACTTCTGTTACTGTCAGTGAGTACCGAATGGGTTTGCTGAATCGAGAAACTAAAATACTATACTAAAGATTGTATTCACACATCAGACCACAGAAGACGGGAGATTATCCAATTCAATTGGATTACTCAAAAGCAAAAGTACTTCTGTCTTGAAAAGTATGGTAGTTTGTGGTTACAATGCGCAAAGACAAAATAAAAAGGTTAATCAAGTACGATCTGTACGAAAGTACAAACTGTACGTAGCAAGTAATTTTAATGCTAAGAGAACTATCAATCAATTCATTTTCTGGAAAAGTGTCTCATCGACCGACTTCAAATCGGTTAACATTGAAAAGAGAGTAGTAGAATTGGTTGTTATTCTACACAGAGCCATGTTTCGATTGTTCATATGCGCAAAAACCTATGATATAGACGGTATTAGGCTACCCTAGAAAAATCAGCAAATGCTGCCATCTTATCAAGCGTCAGAAGTATCACTAACGAAAATAGGCAAGACAAATTTGTGGTGTGAATTATTTTAACACTGATAACTGTTATTGTTTACTATTCCCCAAATTAACCTGACACTAACACAGCAACAAGGCCTAGTACATGTATCCCTCTAATCTTCTTAGTTTATTTATTATACTGTTGCTATTACATTATGATAAAGCCAAGCTGCGAAATCCCCATTTTCCATTTCGTAATACTCATAAAAATATAGACACGGGCAAGATTTAAGCGATTAAACTTTTGCAAAATCGACCAGTTGCTCTGGAATCCCGCTAGGTATAGAAACTATCCGCTATTACTGAATTAAATATTGGAAAATACAACAGCGGATGGCATAGTACGCACAGTAGTAAATAATCAATCGATGGTCAACGCGATAAATCCATAAATCATTACGAAGCGACGCTGTATACAGGTTTACAAGCGAGTCAATATTATATTAAACTCGACTAGTGCTGATTAAAAACGTTGGAATACTAAATGCCAGCTAACTCATCAAATATGCACTATAAGAACTAGGTATAATGGAGAAATTAAGTTTTCATATTATTTCTAATCGGAGCGTTTCATCAAATATCGAGGCGAGTTTTCACGCAAACGAAAATCTATCACAGATTACGTCAAAGATCGCAAACAAAGCAAAAACATTTAGTCATCGATAGAGCTTGCGCAACTGCGCTCTCTTTGTTTTGCAAACATATGCAGATGCGACTGATGTTTCGCCCTTCACAAACTTTATCAGTGAAAACAGCTGCTTTTAACTTATTAATTACACCACAAAAATTTACCAATCTTCGATATATTATACTATTTTTGTTTTCTGCAAACGCGCATAACAAGCAAACGAATATCAGCGAACATCGATCGATGACCTATTATTAAACTTACAACTTCAAGGCCAGCGGCAAAATGATTGTAAATTCAGATCGAAGATTTCAAGGGCCATTAATTTCGAAACAGCTGTTTAGTTAAGATTACTTTTTTCTTTTCCACGTCTCCCGCAGAGCTACTCAAAGATAGAGGGCGCTTGTTTCTTTAAGTTACCCGGCGACTCGGCGGTTATTGTGTCTCTTTTAGTATCGATGACTCACTTCTGAGGTGCTGATCTCACTCCCGTGACGGCGTGCCCCGTGATTGATAGCGAAAATGTTCATGCTTTCCTGGCGTATTCAATCATGTTTTTGTTATTATAAAACGCGAAAAAAACGATTGTTTTAAAGTTTAATCAATAATTATAATAAAATGTAATCAATTATAACAGCCATCCTTTTTCGCCATAAATGATATATTTTAGCAACCTTTGCAAGGCGTTTTGTCTGCGTTTGCATAATTGACCAATGATTATCTACTCAAACCAAAAAAATATTTTTGATCAGATTGACCTATATAGCTGAATCCTGAATGTGATATGGTAATATATCGTTTGAAGTTAGTTGTGGAAATCTGTAGTAAAGGTGTTTGCCAGACCCGTTTTGTATAAACCTTTACCACAGAGACGGACAAAAGGGCGAATGTATTGCAATTTTGAAGCAATGCAAAATGGCCGACTTGCAGAAATATGCTGACGATTTCCTCAGTGAAATGATTGACGAAGCAATTCTTGGGACTTGTTTCGAGGTAAGCATTTATGTTAATTCCAAATTTATGATTATAAATGGTCCAGCAGTTTTTTTAGTTAAAAATAACAAGTTATTTTTAAACTTGACCAAAATCAAATAAAATTTGCATGTATATATATCAGTATAGGTCTATATAAATGGGCAGAATAATTTGGTATCAATTTAGGATAACAGTGCTGCACATTTATAATTTTATATTAGTGAAATAGTTCATGATTTTTTATTGGAAGGGATAATATGGGCCTATGTGTTGCGGAAACTGAACTTTTCCTGTCGCAAAATCAATGAAATGTAGCTGGCTATAGTAAGGATACTCTGTCTAACCTAGGCTAGTGCTGTCGAGCCATGCTTCACTTCTATTTATGTCAAAATAAGATCAAAATAGTGGGTCTTTTTAAAAACAAGTTCAAATATCATCAAAACAAGAGGCAATAATTTTTCTCTGAAATATTTATTCAAAATAGGAACGCATGCCTCTAATTCTGTCATGAATAAGGAAATAACCCAGACGGTAACTAAAAATTCATTGCCATATTATAAAGACATATTGTGTCATTTTTCCATTTTCTTTATGGTTAACCAAAAGTTTATATTACGATGCCCAAAGCTATAAAAACTATTTATTTAGCTAGGCTGGTATTTGTATTCATATGATATGCGATAACAGGCTGTCCCATAAGATCCTCTCCTTCCAAGATAAATATGACAATTTCGATCTTATCAAAGTTCCTATGACATCGATAAATGGCCCTCGTCCCCAATATATTCTTGGCCATGAGTAGCTCATTATATCAAAGCTTCCCTATCCCCTGTTCTACCACAATATTAATAAAACATATTTCTATTACCCCGGTATTTGTAAATCCACTACTGATCATCAGTAGCCTATTATATGTAAGCTTTCCTCTCCCCCCCCCCCCACAATATTAATAAAAAAACACATTTCTATTCCAAGGTTCACAGATCGTCACGTGTCGGTACGTTATTCATTGACGACGTAGATCCTGAGGAAGAAGAGAAATATAAAATCGTTGACCAACCAGGTTTCGACGTTTTCGGGGTCCCAAAATCAGGGAGTAAAAAAACGGTATGTGTGCACAGTATTCGAAGAGTCAGAATGTTATGTGACAGGGGTGCCAAAATGTCTCCAACTAAAACTATGTCCCTACAGTTCTGACAGTGGCGTATCTACGTAATATGGAACCCACGGCAAAGTTCAAAAATGCGCCCCCTCGACAATTGTTTGACAACTCATAATGAGTATTATTGAAATGAGAAATTTGTGCATTATTATTTGAGTAAAATAAGAGTTTCAGTTGTTTTCAAATTGAAATCATTGGATGGAAACATTTTAAGATAGAAGCTTTTATGTACACTTCTCATTCTCAAATATAATAGCAGATCGGAAATACTCGATAGTAATAGGACAATATACAACATCTAGATACCAAATTACTAGTCAATTTCAAATATATATGGACTGATCCTTGGATTAAAATCCAGGGTCTAGTATAGTTTAGTACCACAAGTACTTCCGGTGGGCGTAGCATAATGAATTTTGCATATGCTATTCCTAACCCCCACCTGACTATGCCATCCAAAAATTACGTCACTACGACGTCACCATCACGTCATAGGGATTGCCAAAATATAATTACGATCGCCCGAAATGACATCTGCGCCGCCGATAACGAACTTGCTAAAGCCGGCGATCTCTCTCCTATCGTGATCGTTGTGACGAGAAAACGAGAGAAATTGCTTGCTCGATTTCGGGTGATCGTCTGCGCGTTTTGGACAACCATCCGCATACTTCGGTGGGCCTTATTACACCACTGTGACGTCGAAATGACGTAATTTTTTGGTGACGTAGTCAGGTGGGGGTTAGGATTGACATATGCAAAAATTGTTGAGCCAGGTCAACTAGAAGTACATGAGGTACTAAACTATACCAGACCCAAAATCCATTAGGGGGCTCGAATAGTGTTGTCCCATAGTCTTTTACGCAGAAAACAATATGTGAATAAATATATATTATTATTTAGATTGAGTGTGAATGTCCAAACTGCAAACGAACGTTAGCTGCAAGCAGGTTTGCTCCACATCTTGAGAAATGTATGGGAATGGGAAGAAACTCCAGCAGAATAGCTTCACAGAGAATTGCAAATAGTGGGTATGTGCGCATTTTTCTCATTTCTCATTTTCTCATGACCCGGCGTGGCGGTGTGGCTCAATGGGCTAAGCGTTAGGAATACGCTCGCCACCTCACCTCTAATTGCTCTGCGTGGGTTCGCAGGTTCGAATCCCATGCAGGGATGGTTATGTGCGAGAGGATTGCTGGATTCCTCGCCGTCGTTGGGTGGTTCACGTAACCGCTGGTCGGTTACGGCTTCCTCCACCACCAAGTCCATGCTTCCGAAAAAACAAACAATACAGTAAATCTAATCCCATACCCGACTTGGAATGGTAACCGGACGAGAGGCCGTGGTTCACCATATGGATAAGGTGTATTATCGGCTTTCTTCTCCCCCGGGATAAATATGTAAATTCTATCCTATCCTATCTAATCATAATTATGCCAGACCATGGTATTTAGTTCAGCTACCAGTTCATGCCAGATACAGGAATAGTGGAAAGTTAAACGTTCCAAATACTAAAATTGACCTGTAGCATGCAAATGTCCTATTTAGGATTTCGGTTTAGGCTGCTGATGGGTGCTAGATGCTTCCAGCCACTTCTTTCCGCTGTTTTTTTTATTGGTCATTGCTGCAAAGTATAGTAGTATGCCAGTTTTCTATTACATGCTGAGTTTGATTATTGTTGATATCATGGCTAAAATGAAAAGCCAAGAACTATATATATATGGACGTAAAAAATCTGCATCAAAATCTTTTATCTAGCCTGGCAACTTGCCTAGCTAACTTGGAAGTCCAACTGAGTTAATCCTGGTAGCGTCCATCAGTGAGTCAAAAGTCTCTCATAGCCATGCGACCTTGCCCAGAGCAAACTTATATAAAGCAGTACAACTTCTAAAAAGGTTACGAACCACCGGTTATCCTGTCTACATATTTTCATTCCAGGAAACTGGCTGCTGGTCTCGGCGAATCACTGTGCAATGATGATGACCCGGAGTTTGGAAGCGACGCGGACTGGTTTTTAGGGTACGAGGGGGGAAGTTCTACACGAAGAAATTCTAAGAAACGAAAAGGTGAAAGAATTAGTGGGTCGCCACGGATACGTGGGCCTCTAGCGAAGACAAAAGCGCCAAATAGTTCCCCGCGAAGCAACGGATCCGGCGGCTCGTCTCGCTCAGGGACTGCAGATCATAATGACAATGTTCCTATTGATGTCGTTAATCCTGGGGGTGCCCTAATAGAAGGAAGAGCGACACCTACTGGCTCAGATTCATTGACTCCGAGTATGAGAAATAAATCGCCCTTTGACCCTTCTCTCGGTACGTGGGAGCCGCAAATCACGGAATCGAAAACCCCAGAGAATATTCATACATCAGCCGGGGGGGTCAAGAAAAAATCAAAATCGACAAAACATACGACAAAAAAATCTAAAAAACGGCACAACTTGGCCCAAAATTATACTTTTTCTTAATTTAACCTTATTTTTAGTTCAATCATGATAAAATTTGCATTGTGCTGAAATATTTTCTTTTTTTACTTAAAAATGAGATTTTTTTCTAATTTATTTTTTGCTAAACCAAATTTTCGCTCTTGATTTTTTCAGCTTTTCTGTTAATCACTGAAAATTATCTCTCTGATTCTGTCAGTCACGCTTGAGTTATATTATTGCCCCAGTGGTTCAGTCGCAGAATTACTTTGTGTCAATTTTTTCTAGTGGTTCAGTCGCAGAATTACTTTGTGTCAATTTTTTCTTTAAAATGGAACAATTATTTGTTTTACCAACGTTTCTCCCCTTTCAAGAGAACCGTTATTTCTACCATACATCAGACTTTTGAAGCTTCCACCCATATGCTCAGTTTTATATCTATCCTAACCCAGAACATATCATGAACTCCAAGCTGGAAACTAACAGCAAATCTTATTGTGGTACAAAACCCCCCTCGGCCCCTTCTCGAGGCTTTCAGCACTCATTGGCCCCCAGTTTATCATTCCAATGGAATTTATAATGTTATTATGATTGGTAGATTCCAAATTCCAATTATGTTTAAACAATTCATGCTCGACAAAGAGAAAACACCCTGTGAAATGACCTTATGAGGCAATTTACGAGAAGTAAAATTGGTTTTTCCTCCTAGCAATGTGGCCCCCTCCAACTGCTCTGTAACCCTCTTTGGGGGACACGAGTTCCCAGTTTGGAACCCTTTCTGGTTTTCGTATAATGCTACGATGAAGTGGCAGGAATAAAAATGACTTTTCTATGTGTTTCAAAAGTTCTGCTAAGTTCTGTTGCGCACCAAGGCAAATATATTTCTGTAATGTTTCTTTTGGACCAAGGTGAGACTGTTATGGGTTGAGTTCCCGATGAGGGATTGCCTCAAAATTTCCCCTCACAACATGCCAGTGTTGCTAAAAAAAATTGTATCCAATTTCAGCAAAGCTCCTCACTCTATTAGTTTATTTGGTACTCCCGAAGTATGTGAACCAAGATGGCAGACACCGGAACGTAGTATGTGTACCAGGTTAGGCCATAATTTCAGGTACAAATACTACGGAAGTCACTTGGCTAGTGCCCGAACTCGTAATAGAACTTAAATAAGGAAAATTGGAATAAAATTATGGCCCAACCCTAACCTGGTGCACATACTACAATCCGGTGTCCATCATATTGGTTCACATACTTCGGGAGTATCGTTTATTTTGTGCTATTTCCACTCCAGCTCCAGCGAAAACCAAATTTTGATGAGTAAAACTCTTGTGTGTGTCCAAGCTTTCTCTAATTATCTGTTGAGAATGCTTATTCAACTTGTTTTTCATTTTCTGTCTAAAATAATATCTCTGATATCAGTTGACTCCTTGTTTGGAGTTTAAGACATGGAAGTCATATACGAAAAATATAATTCTGACTTTGATTATCTCCATCAGAAGTAAAAAAAAATCTTATTTTTAGGAGTTCGAAATAAAACTTTGGCTCGATTATCATTACATACGTCGAATATCTAGACAATTCTATCATGAACAAAGATGTTGAAATAATCTTATTTTCAGGAGTTCAAAATAAGACACTGGCTCTACGATAAATAAAAACATACCAAACTCTAGAGCCAGACTATTCATTTTTTTGTGCACAGTAGTTTCCTTGCCACGTACAAAACTAGTAAAAATTGCAATTATCATAATCAAACTCTTCTGTCATATATCCAACATTATAATCCAACTTTACTGTGATATTCTTTTGTTTATTTCTCTGCTACTGATTGAATTATACACGACCTCTGAACTTCCTTGTGTGCTTATTTTTTGAAAATAGGATATGATTCACATATTTATCTCGGGGATAGGAAAGTAGATAAGACAGCTTAATCATATGATGAACCACGGCCTCTCGTCTGGTTGCCAGTCCATGTCGGGTATGGGATAAGTAAGTTATTTGTCTTCAAGGAAGGAGGAAGCCGTAACCGAACAGCGTTTACGTGAACCACCCTGCGGAATCGGGGAAATTTGTAAGAAATAAGCATATTTCTTTGGTTCTGACAGCTCTTGGGATATCAGTAGGGCTGGGCATTTCGAACCGAATAGTAAATTATTCGAATCGGTTCAGGGTTAAATTTCAAATCGCCGCCATCTTGTTTTTAACTTTCGCTAATGGTCGAGATGGACTCATATTTTTTCAACGAAATTCTAACATGACTATTTTCTGTAGTGAGTTATTGATAAAACGTGTTTTATATTTTGTGTGGTTTGTTGCGCTCAGTAATCTATCTGAGTATCAGTGGTAGAACTAGTCAAGCTTTTCATTGAAACTGAATTAAAAAACACTTGAAACACAGTTCTTCGTTACAGTACAGAAAGCGCAACGTTGACCATTGGTTTTTATGTATATTTTGGGGCCGCTGAATGAAAATCTCCTATGTTTAGTAGCTAACTCTTGACATCTCAGTGGTCGGTCCTGAGTTTGCTCAGATATACCATGGGTTCCTCTTTAAAAAAGAATTCCTGAATCACAATCAACTGAACAGGAAGTGGTGCCTTAGCCACTGAGATTTATAAGAGATATTATAAGTTTGCTCCAAACAATGTCAGTCGTCAGAAATGAGCCACACACTTCGATATTCAATATACTCCTAACTTACATCGAGAGCTGGATTTCCCAGATTATTTGGGCCGCGAACCCCTTGTTACAACACAAACGACATTATTGTAATGGATGGGGTTTGTTTTTTACAGGTTTTGGCTGTATTTTGTCATCATTTTGGTAAGAGCTGAAAATGCTCCCTTGCACATGTGGGATGTTGCAAAAAGCGCCATAATTTTTAATTGCCTTTTCTAACAGCAATGGATATACGACCGCAAAGCCCCAACTAAAAAGATGCAATGGCTAATTGATTGGAATCAATCATTAAAAACTGATCACACTCGTTTGATAACGCTGCGGAACCCCTGTGCAGTCATCAGGAACCCCAGTTTGAGAAACCCTGACCTAGAGGACCAAATCCAGGCTTTTCGGGACCCGTATCATTTGAAAGTTTCTTACACAAATTCATTATTTTAAGAACGGTTCTCTCGCATCAAACCCAAAGAGCAACAGTTTCCTCATTTCAGAAAATGTATGGATTTCACTACGAAAGCTACATCAACATGCTCTACATCAGGGGTGTCCAAACTTTTATACAGAGGGCTGAATACAAACGATTGGGTGAAACCACAGACTGCATTTTTACTCAACATACCCTTTTATTAGTAGTTAGTTACAAGTACAACAATTTTGGTTATTGATTTTATGACATGCATTGTTCGCATCGAACAAGTTAGCTGTAAGGGCATTGTAACGCCATAGCCATTGATAATAAATTGGACCAAGGTATAAGCATTGAAACACAAAGGGATGGGAATAGCTCACACCTATACATAATCTAATACGTAACTTTCGATGCTCCTAAATAAACTACAATTTATAGTAGGCTACATTCGACCTGGTAGTACAGTGGTGATCTGACAATATATCGTCCCTTAATTACCACTCTCTACTGTCCCCAATGGCTTGAAAACCTTACACACAATAACAAACCAATAATCATTTCCATAAATTTTAATAGCGAGCATAAAATTTAGATAATTCCAATTTTATTCGCTACATCCAACGCATCGTAGTCAGGAGCAAGTTTGACGTACGCCTTCTTACGTCCATCCGGTCTGATCAAGGTGTTGACCTTTGACACGTCGATGTCGTACAATTTCTTAACTGCTTGCTTGATCTGAGGTTTGTTGGCCTGAAAAGGAGAAAAAATAGCAATCAGAGAGGTATCGTTACAGACATGCAGTTTTGTTAGTGCACGGTTTACCAAACTTATTGGGCTGTGAAGTCCTGTTTGTGAATTTTATTTTTGATGGACCACCATCATCTGCCATAATCAACCAAACAGATGCAGTAACTTCTTGATTGAAATTTATCATCTAAAATCGATCACTCTTTTCACATCGTTGTGGACCCCCTGTGTAGTCATCTCAGACTTCCTGGAAGAGCTTCAGTTTGGAAAACCCTGAGTTAGTGTGTAGAAAGAATCTTGAATCGGTGCTCCAGAAGTATTGCGAACCAAGATGGCGGACATCGGAATGTAATATGTGTACTAGGTTAGGGTTAGGCCATAATTTTAGGTATAAATACTACGGGAGGCTCTTGGCTAGTCTTCGAACTGATAATAGGACTAAAATAAGGAAAACTGGAAAAAAATTATCGCCTAACCCTAACCTGTTACCCATGTTACGTTCCGATGTCCGCCATCTTGGTTCGCATACTTCGGGAGCACCCTTGAATCTCTTACAACAGTGACGACTTACATGAGGAAAAAAAAGCAAGGGCAATACTATCATACATAAATTCTAAAATAATCTTCTTCAAAATAGATAATCGAATATATTCTAAATTATGTTTATGCTAAATTTCCTGTATCTACAGTCTTCAGAAACTAACAAAGAAAGCCTTTTGACAATACTGTGAGAATTCAATTGAAATTATTCCCAAAATGTAATATAAATCATAATATATCTACATGAACCCATTAAATGGCCAGTGAGGAATATTAAGTGATGAGATAAACAACAATATTCTTAGAATCTTACGTATCAACATCCTATACGATCAGATTTAGGCTCAAGAAACATGAGTGTGATGCTTTCTCACAGAGATACGCCAAAACCACGGAAAAGTTCATCTAAGTTTACATATTTGGGAAACAACATCCCTATTCTCCTCTGACATCCAGATCCACAAACTGGTGAAGCCAAAGTATAGCGTAGGATGTCCATAAAGTCTCTTTACAGTTTAAATTTTGTTATGAAGTCAGTTTTCAATATATCCTAACCAGGTTTGTTGTTTTTTAATCAGTAATTGTTTAAATTTTTTAGTTCATTTAATACATCTGTGAGGGCCAAAATATAATATGATATCAATAAATTCCCTTTGCAATTTTAAAATTTTTTAGGACTTTACGGAAACCCTATACATTCAGTTACCAAAGTAAAATCCCTACCTTGATGTCAACAATAAAAACCAATGTATTGTTATCTTCAATCTTCTTCATTGCGCTCTCGGTTGTCAAAGGGTGCTTGATGATTGCAAACTGATCCATCCTGAAAAGTTTGAAGCAAAATATTAATATTAGCAAAATTTTGCCATAGCATTCGAAAGTTTTTGTCAAAAAAACACAATTTTGGTCATGTGACGATGGACATCTGTCGCAATTGATTTAAATAATTACCAAGACAAGCTTGGCGCGATCTAATGCATCTGCCGTCCAACAGAAGCTCTAGTATCAGAGACAAATTGAGTGTTTGTTTTATTGAGTCAAATGTCGAGACATCTTGGAATCTGAGGACTTGTTTTTTGAGTCAAATGTCTGGACATCTTGGAATCTGAGGACTTGTTTTTTGAGTCAAATGTCTGGACATCTTGGAATCTGAGGACTTGTTTTTTGAGTCAAATGTCTGGACATCTTGGAATCTGAGGACTTGTTTTTTGAGTCAAATGTCTGGACATCTTGGAATCTGAGGACTTGTTTTTTGAGTCAAATGTCGAGACATCTTGGAATCCGAGGACTTGTTTTTTGAGTCAAATGTCAGGACATCTTGGAATCTGAGGACAGTGCCCTACTACAGCGGTTCTCAAACTTTGTCCTCAAACAAACTCACGACGCAATTACACAAAGAAAATGCTGCTTTTAAATCCAGTTTTAAACACAATCCTAATAATTCTTGTGGCACACTTAGCATCGACAACGGCGTTTATTTGGGAATCGCTGCTTTACTATAATGAGTACAAAATAAACAAATTTTCACAAAAAAAATGAATATACTTACTTATTCCTCTTCTGCGTACTCTTGCGGGGATACTTTGGTTTCCTCGTGTGTTTCAGCGTTTTAGGAATGTGGAAATGTACAGACGTGCGGACTTTCCTCTTCTTGTGCGAATGAAGACCTTTGATAACGGCCTTCTTCGCTTTCAGAGCCTTTTCTTTTGCTGTTGAAGAAAAAAAGATTATTTGGTAAAACTAACTCGAATCCATTAAATAAATCGGTTGGGCAATCTCAAGTTCAAGTCCTATGCCCAACATGTCAACCAAAGTGTAATAAAATATGGCAGGTCGTCAATGCGATATCGTAAAAGTACCAAACTTAAAACAAAAATTTCAAACACCCATATCTTGGCTAAAAATCGACGTATATTGGCAATTTCAAATATTATCGCTAGCACTGTTATATGAATGTTTTATCGCGCAATTTGGGCGCCGTTTAAGCAAAGAACAGTCTGGTTATTGCCAAATATATTTTCATTTTGTCAATATCTGAACACAGAAACACGTCGCCATTCAGCTAGACAGACTACATTCAGACATTTCTGCATTCACTTTCCCGCAAATATAAATCTGTACCAGAGTCCTAAACTGTCAATCACCAGAGTCATAAACTGTCAATCACGGTTATAAACAAAAAGCAGACTTACGAGACTAAAGAGTTTAAATTAAAACATCACATAACTGGCAAACCTAGCTCTTTTACCAGTTTACTCTCACACTGTGTACTCATAAAAGGCAAGTTCTCACAGTTAAATCCCTTTTGGCCCGACTTTCTAGGTTCTATACCAACCTCATTATGTAGCTATGTATTAATACAAAACATTTACCGCTGAAATGTCGATAAATTCACATAAAAACGTCAAAATAAAGCGGAATTACCTCCTTTAGGTGCCATCTTGTAAGGAAAATATCCTAAAAGAACGTGGAGATGTTTCTTAAACTACCACTAGAGGCAGTCCCAAGCTGTGGTTATTTTCTACATGAATAATCGCAAATCCAAGTTACAGAAAATAAAGTTAAAAAAAATATAAAAATTTTATTATTTTGTGTTTGGTCTAGAATTAAATTTACATATTTTACCAAGGTAAAAGAAAACCGATAAAACGGTTTAATCATATCGAAGACAACGTCCTCTTGTCCGTTACGTTACCAGTCCATGTCGGCATGGGGATAGTTGGTCAGTTATTCATTTCAGATGCATGGACTTATTGTTAACTTATATATATATACTCATTCATGAAATTTTATTAATTTCTGCATCTTTTGCATTATATTTGTATTTCGCATGGGGCGAGCACGTGCGAAATAAAAACTTGGTTGGCGATATGGTTCAGGTACCCGGCCCATTGCACGCATTTCAACAATTTTTATGGGAATTTTTGCGGTTTTCAAAAGAAACAAGGCTCTGGTAAGCATATGTGACACACCTGGATCGATGATCTAAAAAAAACTTTTTACGACTCAGCTCACCCAATTTTACTAGAATTTTTTGAAGTGGTGAGAAAGCACGTGCCCGGAGAAGTCTGTTTTGACTTCATAATCAGCATATAGGCGATCGATCAGTGCTCAAAGATTAAATTTTTTGCGAGAAGGCCATTACTTTTATTTATTCCAAATATCCCAATGAGCTGCATGGAATTCGCTTTTTTTTTGTGTGCCATGACGTCTTCGACATTTGCCACTAGGTAGCGCTAAGTGTCAATATATTCGAGCGTAGCTCTCATGTTCCCATGAGGATGTTCCAGAGTCTCACAGATGAATTGGTTACACCCGCATTTTTATTACTTTAACTTTTCAAACTATATAAAAACAAAAGCGCGAGTTGCATCTAACACAATCTAAGAAATATTAAAAATAAATGAATCTGCAACTACCCTTAAAAAAGTCAGAAATTTAGACTTCGGGAAGGAAAATATACGTCCAGCTCAAACTCCAAAACAGACATAGCAAACTCAGACTCCACAGACCTGCTATATGTTCAGTCCCACCCGGAAACACAATAGCAAAATATATCAGATTAGACCTCAAAATAATCTTTATTGCAATTCATATCAAACGAATATAAAGCTGGGTGCAGTTGTTCGAGACTATTGAAAAGTTATCTCATCCCTATTATAGCACAAAACAATATTAATAGGGTGAAATTTAAAGTGCAAATGGAGAATCTTCCTCACAACTTATTGTCAACTGCCACAACCCATTTTTTGTGAATGAGAATCTCTCTTTCAGCCAAATTGCTACTAGGAGATACCAAATTCAATAATTCACGATTTGAAGTACATTGTGAAATAATGGAATATTGATGCTGAACACAAAATATTCTATATTAGGTCTTGTTTTAGTTAAAAGGGTTACAGGGGTCTGTCACCAAAACAGACACTTGGGAGACACTGATCTAGATCAGGGCCGTGAAACCTTTAATACAGAAGGGACCGATACAATTACTGGGTGAAACCATATGAAACGCGTTGTTCGCTTCGAACAAGCTAGCTGTTAGAGCACGGTGGTCCAAGATTGGCAGCTCCGCAGGCCACAAAATTACTTTTGCATTGTTTGCGGGCCACAATAGTGCCAAGAACTTTGCTCGTTTAACTTCGCTAGTTGCTACACTAGTCAATTCAGTGACATTAGTGATGCAACAATATGTCAAAAGATTTTTTGGTTAATTTTATGATGAAACAACACGAAATGCAATTTTTTGATTCCTCTCCAAATGCGACGCGGGCCACAGATAATGAAGTGGCGGGCCACATGTGGCCCGCGGGCCTGGGTTTGGACCACCCTGTGTGAGAGCATCAAAACAGCATAGGCATAGATAATAAATTAGACTGAGGCACAGGTATTGGCTTACTCACTCGTGCCAGATTAAAACTTGTTTCGCGGGAAGCACACCATCCAAAATTGGAGGTTGCACACCCCTGGCCTAGAGGAGTAATAACGGAAGATTACCAGAGCACCAAGTTCTACTTAGCAGTAAGTGAAGCATGACGTAACAATTGAAATTTGTGCAGCCGCTCGGACACTTTTTCACTCAGATAAGTTTTATTAACTCGTTTTGAGTGCTATTTGTAAGTTTTGAGTTTTGTTTCCATAAATTTAGGAACTGTCCTATTGTTCTTTAAAGTGTTCTAGTTTGTTGCAGCAAACAAACATGGGACATAACAAGCTTCAAAATTTAGCTGTCAGTGTTTTTTTAAAGCGTAGGAAGTAAAGATATATTTCAAGATGTAAACCGATATGTTTGCGCCATATTTCAAAATTACTCTCAAAATAGGCATTAAAAATTCAGCGATGGTGAAGTATAGGAAACAAGAACAGAAGAAACTTCTAGGAAGCTTGAATATTGTTTTCTTGTTCCGTGAGGAAGCGTGAACGTCTGATGATGAAAATACAAAGAGCTGGAACTTCATTCTTGGATGGAAAATCTTCACTGATATGATTTTAAGTTAAACTTTGATGGCCTGAAACAAACAAAAAGAAAATTACAGTAATGAAGGCACTGGGCAGAACGACGAAAGATTCAAACACAGCAACGGAGCAAAAAAATCATTTAAAATTTTTACCTATGTAAGCGCCTTATTAAACAAACTAATGGAAGGGCCACACTGAATGGCTTGACGGACCAGGCTGAGACCCGTGGGCCAGCGTTTGCACACCCCTGGGCTATCTATATCAGTACTCTTCAACCTTTTTGTTATTGTGGAACCCCTGATATAATTTTTCGTTTTTTATGGAACCCCAATTAACAAAAATAAAACACGAAATACTCGTAACACGAAATATTTGTAATTCAAATATTTCTACTTCAACAACGAAACAGAAAGAAGGTAACAAGCGTGAAATTTAATGACTAGGTTGTTCTTGCATTTCCTCTGCAATCTTCTTGAATTGTGGCTCCGCGGCGCTCAATGCAATTCTCACACTCATGTCTACACTTTTTATACAGCTTCTTTTTTTGATTTTAATAGTTATTGAAGCAGAAAACACTGATTTACACAAATAGGTATTGGGAAATTGACACAGGAGTTTTAATGCTTCTTCAGCTGTATCCTCAACTTCGGAGTACTCACATAGAAATATATCCAAAAACGGAAAAGAAGAATAACTATTTTTTGCAACTTTACTGGCCCAGCAGTCAATTTTTCCTTTAAGCGGAACCCCTTAAGGAACTGTATAACCTCACGGAACCCCACTGCGTGTGTTGCGGAAACCTAGGGTTCCGCGGAACTCCTGTTGAAGAGCACTGATCTAGAGCGTTTAAATATCACACCTTCACAAAAAAATGCACTGCGACATTTCATCTAGCTAAAATCAGACTTCCTTAGAAAAACCTAAATGATTCAAGTGTGGAGAAACAATAGAAAAAAAATGAGGTGCTCCCGAAGTATGCGAACCAAGATGGCGGACATCGGAACGTAACATGGGTAACAGGTTAGGGTTAGGCGATATTTTTTTCCAATTTTCCTTATTTTAGTCCGATTATCAGTTCGAAGACTAGCCAAGAGCCTCCCGTAGTATTTATACCTAAAATTATGGCCTAACCCTAACCTACTACACATATTACATTCCGATGTTCGCCATCTTGGTTCGCATACTTCGGGAGCCCCAAAAATGAAGCTTTTAAAATTTGATACACTGGCTATAAATTTGTGACATTCAAGTGACCTTCAATGACAATCAACTGACCTTCAAATTTCCTAGACGACCTTGAATAATCTCTGAAAGCTGATTGGTTGAATTCAAAATACTGTCTGATGCTAATTGGACAAGTTGGTCAGGAAGGGGTGTGGTTGTGGGTGTCGTCTTCTCTGTTTCTCCATTGCATTGTTGCATAGGTTCTACTTCCTAAAAAATATAAAATTTTTATCACAAGGTTTTACAACAAAAATTCGGTGAGCGTATTATCTGTGGCCCGCGTCACATTCGGAGAGTAATCAAAAAATCGCTTTTCGCGTTGTTTTGTAATAAAATTAATCAGAAAAATCTTTTACATATTGTTACATCATAATGTCACTGAATTGACTAGTGTTATGGCTGGCTGAGGCAACTAGCGAAGTTGAATGATATGCTTGGCAGTCTAAATTATTATCTGGCTTTCTATCTTTTTGGCGGGAATATATGCTAACAATATACTGATATAGGCATCATAGAAAACTAAAAATCGAATGCGGATTCTATTAGCCTGAGATGGCTATGTCTAATGTGCTTGCACAATAAAAGTGTTTGTTTTGTGTTGCACTGTTTACCTATTCTTGGCACTATTATGACCCGCGAACAATGCAAAAATAATTTTGTGCCCGTGGAGCCGACAACCTTGGACCACCCTGGTCTAGCCGTTAAATCGTTCGACATAAATAAGTCATCGTAAGTTGAAATCTTGGATTCAAACCCCACGCCGGCCACCTCACCCATGGTGTAAGTTGCCGACTTGGAAAGATTTCCATTATTCCAAACTTTAGCAACTTCTTGTGTAGTAGAGCAGTGGTTCCCATCCTTTTATTAAGTATTTAGCACTCATAGTCCCCTATCATTCCGGTGGCGACCCTAGTTACGTATATAAAATAGTTACCTAGGATAAGAATTTAATATTTATCCAAAGGCAGCTTGCCAGAAATAGAAAGACCTGGGTAATATTTTGGTAGAAATTTGAATAATTCTTATTTTGAACAACTTATTTATATGTATGTTGATAGGTATTTGTCTGTTTGTTTGTCTGTTAGATACACGCGATATCTCACGAAAGCGAGGTTGAATCTGCTCCAAATTTTGCATGTGCATTCATCATAGTTCGGAACAGGAGCCTATCGATTTTGGATGGATTATGTCGTATAATTAGCGAGTTATTAATTAATTAGTGATGGAACACACGGTGTCACTATGGAGTAAGACCACTGTTTTGGGGGATTCCCTAACCTCCGATCGAAAAGTCTTCGGTTTCCAACCAAATTCTAGTTTCATTGCTTGATAAGGTTATTTATATCATAGGTTTTCACTGACATAAAATATTCTGAATGATAAAAAGACTCAATCATACGAACTTACTCCGTTTGCTAATTTCTCTTTTTCAACTTTGACCCCATCCATCTTGGAAAGATCAAGAGTCATAGTTTCTGCATCAGCGGACATCTGTTCAATTGCAGACAATAGTTTTTGTCCCAGATTTTTGAGTTCGGATACAAATTCTTGATAGAAAGTGATGATTGAAGGCTGTTTGAAGTAAAAAGATTTTGTTAAAAATGTTTTAAAAATCTGTCTTCGTAATATAATGCAGTAGTTCTCAAAGTTGATCTACTGGAAGCCAAAATTAGAAGCAGAAGAATATTTGCAGACTGAGAGCAGTGAACCCCTAGAAGGGTTGATACCAGTCCGTATAATTAGGCTACAGGTTTAATTGAATTTAAACTGTGATAGATATGATGAATTTACATGCAAAATTTGGAGCAGATTCAACCTCCCTTTCGCGAGATATCGCGTAACATACGAAAGTGTTTAACAGACAAACAGACAAATACCTATCAACATAATTACTAATCAAGATCGATTTGTAATAATAGCATGAAATTCCTCTCACCATGGGTGCCTGTTTGCCCTTTTTCCTTCTACGCTTTTTAATTGCTTCTGAACGAACTTCCGTGATTAGCGATGAAAAATTATTCGTCAGGAGAACGGTTAGACTGAACAATTCACAAGTTGCGACAAGTCTAGAAATAAATTATATTTATCAGATACCCATTCTGCAGAACTGAAGTAAAACAAACAACCAATCCATTTAACGAACCTTTCTAATTTACATCTTTTTACATCTTTCAAAGAATTCGGAACAATTAAATTTACAGCTGACTCGACAGTTTTTTCTGGAGATGATGTCACACATACTGAATCATTGTCATCATGGTCACAGTCACCATGACAATGGTCATGCTTCACTGTTTTTTTCTTATTGCTTTTCTTTGTTGCATTTGGTAGAGTGTCACCCATGGCTGTTAGACCAGCTAATGATAGAGCATCTAGATAAAAAATTATAGAGAATTATAAACCAAGGCTAAGTGGCACTTAACATCATTATTCGAAGGCTGCTCTTGAAAAGCAGCTACTGACATTCACAATGTCATCATCACTCTGGCCTATGCAATTTGTTACAGCCATGATAGATAGATAGATAGATAGATAGATAGAAGTTTATTCATGCTTGTCCAGATGCTTAACTAGACAATATAAAAAATATTGCATGCATCTAACAGACACACACACAGACACACAGACAGACAGACAGACATACAGACAAATACCTATCAATATACTTACCGATCTTAAGATCGATAAGTAATGAACACAATGAAGCTTTGTACCTTCAATTCCTGAAATCAGAGATTCTGAAACTTTTTTTAAATCTTTTTCTGATTCCGGATTTATTATTTCGGCAAGAAGTTTATGAAACAACCTGAAAAAAAAAAGAGTTTTCACTGAATCTACCAATCATGATAACACTATAAATACCACTGGAATGAAAAATAGGGGAGCCATGAGTGTCTTCGGAAAGCAGCCACGAGCCACAAATGGTTCGGATCCACAGCCCTAGACTAACTCCACTTACCTAAGCAATGTCACAGTCGTGTCTTGATATTTGACTTCCAATAACAATTGAATTCTTGACCGAGGAGGCCCGTGGAATGGAAACTGTAAAAAAGTATGGTAAATGAAGCTCAGCCACTTATAGGGACCTCCTGAAGTATGTGCACCAAGATGGCACACAACCTGAACTCAGGTTGTGTACCAGGTTAGGGTTCAGGTTATGCGATATCTTGATACACATACTTCAGGAGCACCACATTTAATATAGAAATACGCATCTTAATACAACCAAATACCCCCACGGATAGAACAATACTCTATTTAATAACTCAAATAAGAGCAAAATGCATCACGACTGACAATGGGCAAATCACAGGGCAAATCCGGCCCATTGGGTGATTCAACCTGGCCCGCCTGATGCTGCAATAAATTTCTGATTTTAACCAATTCTGCATGCATTACATAGCTGTTATTGGAATTATTCTTTTTTGTTTAAAATTTACGCATTCTTGCCATTCTGTTACCCATTCTGTTCAAAAATGTAACTTTTTACATCACACTTACATGTCCGCAGTGGCGTAGCATCCACCCCCGCGGTCGCAGGAGGGCCCACAGCACAAAGGGGCGGGCCCAAGCGGTTAGGATTTAAAAATTTAAGCCGCAAACCAAAAGCTGAAGTGCAAAACAAGTAATGGACATCTTATAACGTTGATGTTAGTTCTGCTCAAATCGTTTTGTTACGTAACAATGCCAGGAAGTCATGTTATGCTTTTTGACGAAATAAAAAAAGCGTTGTTTTAGATTATGTCCGAGAGTTTTTAGGGTATTTCCACGAAATATTTTCGCGGGGGGGGGGGCCCACGAGAGTCTTGCTACGCCACTGCATGTCCGCTAGTCTAAGTGAGCAAAATTCTTGGGCCCTTTGATTAATAGACTTGTTTGGAGTGAATGTCATGTAAAAAGTCATACAATCAACTTTCAATTTCATCACCTCCACAGATATCCCAGGATCGTACTTCGTGTTTTCAACAATTTCTTCCAGTTCTTTCAGAAATGAATTCATTGTTTCTTGAAAAAAAGACAGGAAAATCAGACAATAAAAATATATAAGGTTTTCATGTGACTATAAAAATTTTATAGTTCCCAAACTTTTTGTCTGTGTGGCGCCAAATTATCAGGAAAAAACAGCACAATATGAGAAATATCCAATCATATTTTAGTTATGTTTAACAAAATTCCGTAATTTTCGCGGTTCACCTTTTGGGAACCGCTGCGTTATTGGAATAAGTAACTAGATCAGGGGTCGGCAACCTACGGCCCGCGGGCCATATCCGGCCCGCGGAGCAATATAATCCGGCCCGCGACGCTTCACTGAATTATAGTAACAAAACGGCTGTTATGTCGATTATATTCTTTACGCAAAAGTATTTACGTGTAGACTAAATTATATTATAACGTTACAAGTATATAAGTCACAATTACACGTTCAATGAGCCTATAATTTAGACAAATGGCAACAAAACGCCGAAAAGTTGATGCTAAGTGAAAATGGTTTAATGGCGCATAAAATATTCAAATGGTCAGTCTTCGCGCGCTGCTTAAAATTTAACTTCTGATCTGTGTAAAAAAATGTGATTCATCGGTCCTCCGTTCGGTTTTTAACATTCTGAAAATATGTGCGGCCCGCCAACGATCTGTATCCTTTAATTTTGGCCCGCGAGCTACAAAAGTTTGCCGACCCCTGAACTAGATACTCGTTTGAGATAACGATTTCCGCCAGTTCTTTTAGAAATTTATCTCCAAGACTGGTCCTGAATTATTCTTACCTAGCCCACTATCTCCTAATGTCTTTGACTGTGAAGCAAGTTTTAATAATTCAAGGATGGACCGAACTTGTAGTTCCCGAAATCGCAACCAATGCTTTTCAAGAGTAAAGCTCACGTCAGTGTGCGATTTCTTCAGCTGCCTGAAATTATACAAGAGCATGTTTATCGATACAAAATTCAACTCATTGTAAATTTCACATTGGGTTTCTACAGGACTAACTATTAATCCTTTTATGCTTTTGTGTCAATGTACTTGTATGCATATGATGAAACATTACAGAACTATATTTGTGCTATACTTGAATTCAGGAAGAATCTTGAATTAATTGAGATATGGCCTCCATGAAATACTCCACCCAGACAAGATTCCAATTTAAACTACTCAAGGTTTTTTTTAATTCTTTTTACTCTGGTAAGTTCTCTGGTAACCATGGGCCAACCCGCTAATTTTTGTTTTCAAACCATATAATGGTATTCGGGAGAAAGGTTTGATAACATTCTGCTAACCTTGGGGAAAGAACTCGAAGCGCAACATATAACTTAAATCTATTTTTTGAGAATATACATATTTTGGCATTTAATATCAGTATTTTGATAACAGAACTGAAAAAAAAAAAAAAACATAAAAAAAAAAAAAAAATCATAATCCTTCTCCTATGGTCTGGAGCAACTTTTTATACCCCTCCTAAAAATGTCATAACTTTTTGTTCGAATGTGTGAGAAACTTCACTCAAGTATCGTTGGAAAGCTTGTTTACGTCTCCTTCAACTAACAGTCGTCCGAGATACGCAGCACAAATTATCTTAAGGCCGTTCAAATGAAAGCATCTATATGCACAATAAAAATGGAAACACACAAATAAAAACTTACTTATGTTCCGGCATCCAATCAAATCTGATGCTAAAATCCCTGTTATCAGTGAGTATCTCAAAATTGAATCTTTCATCAGGAAGACAACATGTCTCAATCAGGTCATAGTATGGGATGTCACTGATGAAGTGATAAGATAGACAGATAAGAAGATAAGATAATTCACTTTACACTCTGGCATGGTACAAAATAAATAAGGAAATTGCCAAAACGTTAAATGAGGTTTGAGTAATCTTACTTTATCATAGTACAAGAAAAATATATCCATCTGTCAAGGTTTGGGGCAAAAATCATGAATTCTAATGCAGAAACCTCATTTGTCACCAGAATTTTGAATTATAATTTTATGCTTGATGGGGAAAATTCTAATTGTTAATGAGAGCCGCCTTGAATGGCTTGGAAGGCAATTTGTGGCCAATGGGCCGCTAGTTGTACACCCACTGATTTAGGTCAATATAAATCAAAATAAATTGCAAGACAAAGTTTGAAATGAGCCCAACTTTCCAGTGTGGCGCGGCACATATTCACAGGCATAACTCCCATCACTTACTTTTTATTTTGGCCCGGCGATGTAGCCCATCATGCCGAGCATTATGAAAAATGACTGCCATCGCACCTATGATTATGATCCTGTGTGAATTCACAACTTCATATCAAGTGTGGTATAATTATGCGCAGGGGGGATTGCTGGCCACAGACGACATAGAATGGTTCACGTAACTGCTGGCCGGTATGGCTTCCGCCACCACAAGTCCATGTTCACAAAAATAAATACCTGGCTAACTAATCCCATGCCCGACCTGGACTGGTAACCGGACGAGAGGCCGTGGTTCGCAAAATGATAAAGCCATTTTAGCGGCTTTTCTCTCCCCCGGGATAAATAAGTAAATCCTATTAACTGTCGGTAAATACTCACAGATCTCCCTGCGTGACCAGGTCCATATAAGTGTGTTCCGTTGTTGTTAAAGCTGAATGGAGAGAATCCTTGACATGGTTTCGGAATGAAATGAATTCTGAGACCTGGAATATTGAAAGAGATTTGAAATTTGAATTATTATTTCATATGGAGCATAATAGTTCAGAATGAGTGCAGCGAAAAGGTTTGATGTGAACTAAAATTATTCTAGAATCCAGAACATATATTTCAATATCGCTATGCGCTATCTTCTAATATCATTTTTGATGTTTTTATTAATATCAGATATCACGAACACATTCTAGCTCTGCCGCTCACGATTTGATTAACAACATTTTACAAATTTTATTATTATTTTAAATCAGTAAAAATTAAATCCCGAATTAAATATTTTCCACTGTTTTTCCATCCCTGCTCTAATCATAGAACTAAGCATTTTATACATTAAAAACACAAAATTCTGAAAAAAAATATTTCTAATAAAAATATATTCCACAGTTCTGGCTTACCTTATGGAAAGTCCCATTCCTAAAGCAGGCAATCAGGAGTTCCAACGAATCTTTGTTGTTTGAAATAAAGAACGCACGAGAGGCTTCGAATGCCTGAGATGCAAGTTGATAGTGGCCGAATGAAGACACTGCGTGGCAAACTATATAACTGAAAGGAAAACAGTACACATAAAAAATACAAATCAGACACCAAATACATAAATGGCACAACTAGGGTGAAAGATGCAAAAATCTAAAAAATGGACAAAATAATCCGATCTGCAGTTTATCCCTTGCTCTGAAAAATAGTGCGTATCAGTGTGTCTTAGGATAGGATTTACATATTCATCCCGGGACAGGAAAGGCTATGAGAATGTTTAATTATATTGCGAACCACGGCCTCTCGTCCGGTTACAAGCTGTGTTGCGTATGAGATTAGTTAGCCAGTTATGTGTTTTCAGAAGCATGGATCTGACAGCCCCCTTTTCAGAACAGTGCCCGCTGTTTGAAATTAATTGGGCCGAACCTACACAGATTAGGAATGTACATACTATTTACATATACAGCCACTCTTTTATGATGTCACTTTCGAGATTAGGTGCAAACACCATTTACTTATAATTTGTTGTATTTGTATATTTCATGGCACATACAGCCAGTCAATACTAACCCTAAAGTATCTTATTGCATGTGTTTCATTTCCAACAATCCATGCATTTTCATGGCTGCCACGAATACGTGCATATACAGCCAATCAATACTCACCCTAAAGTATCTTGTTGCATGTGCTTTATGCATTTTCATGGAGGGAAGGAACACATGCATATACAGCCAATCAATACTAACCCTAAAGTATCTTGTTGCATGTGCTTTATATCCAGCGAATCGTAGATCTGAGCGCAAGGCATGAATATTCCGATCTCACAATACAGCCTAATCAGCGTAAACTTGATTCGAAAGTTGATCGTGCTACGTTGCTTTCCCAACTCAAGAATATAGATCGCTTTCCACAAATGCTCGAGATCATCTGAAAATAAAGTTTTCTTTATGTTACACCAAAGATGACTAAAACCAACACCACAGTTTTTTTGTGCTCCAGAAGTATGTGTACCAATATGGAGATAACGAATTTTGTTTGCCTACTTTACATCAAGTTGTGTAAAGGGACTGAAACCTATGGGCAGGGGGTATATTCACTTGGCTAACAAACAGTCCCCAATCTTGTAATAGAACTAAAAGAACGAAAATCTGTATAAAATAATATCCTGATTTTAACATGGTACACACACATTATGGGAGTACTGTTTTTTTTTTAATTCATCCAGTCTTTAGTCCACCCATGGGCACCTATTTCAGCTAGGCCTTCACATGGTGATAGGATTCGACCCCTTCCATGCTCTAATTCCACATTTATATTTTTTTTGTCAGAGCCCCATCGGGATCGCCATTTCATAACAAAATTGTGAGGCAAGATAAGACCAAAATAATTGACCTGAATATTTAGCTTGACGCTTCCAGACCAAACAAATTGTTCAGCTAGAACTAATCAAAGTCAATATGCAACTGCCGTATAACAGCATGGCAGTCAAACTAATTTTCTCATTTTGTCCTTTCCAATTAATTCCAAAATGATTCTGCATTCTTTCCAATATTAAAAATTTCTAAATTTAAATATTAATTGCTGTGAATCATGCAATTGGAAATACCACCCCCCCCCCCCCCCCCCCCCAACCAAAAAAAAATCAAATTCCCTGACCTTCTTCTTTGTACAAATCAATCATAATATTCGCTGCAAGAAGTAGATAATCATCAACGACTCTCACATCGGTTACTGGACGATAAGAACCTGCGAAAATACAAGGAATGATTGATCATTTGGGTGGCACATTGTGCTAAGCGTTAGGCATTTGCTTCTCCCCACACCTCTGATTACACTGCATGTGTTCGCAGGTTCGAATCCCATGCAGGGATAATTATGTTCGAGAGGATTGCTGGACTCCTCGTCGCCAGAGGGTCGCTCAGTTGGTTACGGCTTCCATTAAGTCCATGCTTCTAAAAATAAATAACTGGCTAACTAATCCCATAGCCGACTTGAACTGGGAATCAAACGAGAGGCCGTGGTTCGCCATCTGATTGAGTCATCCTGTCCTATATCGGTTAATTCCTATGGAGTCAAAGGGTTTCGAGAGAACAAAAGGCAACAATTGACAACATTTTAAAAATAAAGGGTGTCCATAAAGTCCCTTTACAATTTCAATTTAGTTATGGAGTCAGTTCTCAATATATCTTGATAACCAAGTTTGTTGTTTTGTAATCAGTAATTGTTTAAGTATTTTTACTTCATTTAATACATCTGTGAGGGCCAAAACAATATTTAAAAAATATTTTAAAAAATTTTAGGGCTTTACGGAAACCTTATATTACAAAGAAATGGATGCTTTTTCAATATTCAGCAAGTATTCCAGTAAAAAGTTACAGAAGTTTGAAAATCAAAAATACATATTTTCTTATTTTCTAAAAACAGGTTTCGCCTTTCTGAGTACAGACTTCTTGAAGCATAAGTTGGAGTTGAAAATATCACCCGAAATTAAGAATTTTTCCAATTAGTTTCGTTAGAGAGAGCTGTAGCGTATGAGTTGCATGGTCGATATGCATTTCCAAAGTAATCAGAAAATTTACTCTGTTGCTCCTACTTACTATGCTTCAACCCTTGGTCATATCTCTTCAACAAATCTGTAACAACTTCAATCTTGTCTGCTTTCTTCAATGCTTCATGGTGACCAAGAAATCTGGGTTAATAAGAAGTTAAAAGCCTTATAAAAAAAAATTTTGTAGGGAGGGGGAAATCCCGGGAGTTGCACAACTAAGCGTGATCCATATTCACTAGTGCATATTGCAACATTATGTTCCTAATGAAGTATGAGGCCACAAATTTTTTTTTCGAAAGTGGGGAGGAAGGATAAAGGGGGGGGTGGTACAGCTTAGCTCACAATTCTCGGAATATATAGATGTATAAAACTGAAAGATTACAATGACTGAATTTGAACCCTTTTCCTTCCTTTACCAGTGCATAATGTATCGTCGTCATTTTAGAGCGTTTTAGTAATTCTCAGCAAATAAGTTATCGTTCATAATTTCGCTCAGAGATGAGTATCCTTTGCTTCTGAGTGAGTTTGCGTTGTTTTGCTCATACACGAGGATCGGATACATATTGATCCGAGGGAGAAGAAAATTGATAAGACGGCTTAATCATTTGGCATCCTTCAGCTTCCAATTCATTCCGGGTATGGCATCACTTAGATAGTTATTTGTTTCATATGCATGGACTAGCTAACTGGTGGAGGAAGCCGTAACCGTCCAGAGGTTGAGTGAACCACACTACGACAGCGAGGAGTCGAGCGGTTCTGTCGCACTTTAATAACCCCACATGAGATTTGAACACATGCATGGTAAACAGAGGTGCGAGCTATTCCCAGCTTAGCATGATGCGCAACACCGCCGAGCCAAGTCTTTCTACTCCTGAATGGGTGCGTGAGATTTAGATTCAAAAAATTCTTTTTAAAAAATTTTTACCTTTGCATTTCCAGATAAAATAAATGTTCCTGTATTTTCTTTTCTTTCAGTTTATCATCGTTTTCAGTTTCATCCGTTTCATTCTCATTCAGGATGAATGAAAGAACTTTTTCATTTATTTTTAACAGGAGCTAAAAAATAAAAAGTAGCTGACTTAAATTTAGGGAAGTGGTTCCCAAACTGTGGCCCATGGGCCATTTAATGTGGCCCGCTGAATTCAAGTGAAATAGTTTACCACTTAAGGTTTTTACCTTTTTTGCGTTTTAGAGACTGCCAATTGTTAAGACATTATCACAGTTAAGCATGTGTATATTCGTAGCAATTCAATTATACCAGTATCTTAGTTATACGTACAGGTGCTGGTGCCAACCCCTTGCAGGCGCATCCCTCTCCTGGCCTCTGAATATCTATCTGATTCTAATTTTGGTTCCCGGGCAGTCGTGATTAAGATATTTTCATAAACATAAATCGTCGACGCCCAGCACAGGAATGCCAGGTGACGTCATCTCACTCAGCGACGTGGTCGTTTGACCACAAAATCCCCGATCGAGTGAGGCAGCATTTTTGACTTCAATTTTTATGCGTGTTTTTAGGTAGTTTTGACGTTTTTTTTGCATGTTTTAGTTCATTTCAGGAAGTTTTCGGGGATTCATGCATCGCACTTGGCGGCACGCTCAGGTGTTTAAGCACAGATCTTCCGTTTCGAGTACTGCAGCATTTTAACTAAAATTTTTTTGTCAACTATCCAATTGCCGAGTATCGAGTCCTTCGACCACCGAGGTATCATTGTTCATTCAATATTTTAAACTCGCTGTTTCAAGAATAATTTAGAACAGTGGTCAAGCTTTCAGTTCTAACACTTCAGGCGCGCTCTTCTTAAATACCTTTTTTGAGCCATTTTTCATAATGAAAAACCCAATAAACGAAGTAAATGAGTAATAAATGAGCAATAAATAAATGATCAGAGATCGCCAATTTCGATCGATCTAGTGGCATGTATCCTTCGCTCTGATGCAATGGCAACACCACGTGTCCCATCACTAATTAATTAATAACTTGCTAATTATACGATATAATTCATCCAAACTTAATGGGCTTATTGTCCGAGATATGATGAATGCACATGCAAAATTTGGAGCAGATTCAATCTCGCTTTCGTGAGATATCGCGTAACATACGAAAGTGTCTAACAGACGAAAAACAAACAGACAAATATCTATCAACATACTTACCAATCAAGATCGATAAGTAATAACAAAAATACCTCATTTTTTTCTTCAGATTCCAAAGACTTGACATACGGCTCCAAATCGCCGAAACAACAAGGCTTTGATGAAAATAATTCAACGAATTCTATAATCAGTTCAACAGGATTGCCAGTTCTTTCAAGTAATGTTGAAATGGATTCATCTGAAAATTTATAAATAGGAATTTATAAGATTATGCAATTTTCTTTTTGCGCATGTGGCTACAAGAGATAACATCGGCCACTAATCGATAAATCGTGAACTCGAAATATCAAAGATATTGTTCAATGGCTGAAACCGAATCCCATGTTATCGAATCTATTTCGATTCAATTGCTTTGGTAATCAAACCTGGTTTTTATTTTCTGAATTGCCCATCCCTAATGGTAACTAATCAGGGGCATAGCATGCTGAATGGCAAAAACAATTTTTCTTTGCTCGGAGCGCTTTTTAGACCCTCAGAGATGAGTCTCGTTTTCTTGTGAGTGATTGCTCTTGTCTTTGATTTGAGCAAATTCTTTAAAAAAAGAAGTAAAAATAACTAACCTTTCTCAGTCATTAACTTTAATCTCTTGTGCAATTCCAACACAGCTAAGAAAGGTCCTCGTCTCGTTCTCTTTGCATTTGAACTTCTCTCACTTTCAAGGAGTTGAAGGAATAAATCGACTGCTTGCTCCCACTTGTGGTCAGCATCCTCGAAACTGAAAAAGAACAGTGTTTTCTAAGTTTGCTATTGATTGGGTTTCTGCAGGACTAACTACTTATAATTCGTCCATGAAAGCAATCGACAATCTGCGACTTCGCAGCGGCATGCGGTTTTTATTCTCGTAGCTCTGGCTCTGCTGTGAATCAAAGTGTTAGAATCCGTGGGGATTCAATGAAAGGCATAAGGCCAGATACTGCTCACTAATTACACATCATAGCTGTTCCAGAAGTATAAGTTGCAAGTGGTGAAAATGGGCCGCATTTGAAGTTGTTGAAGTTTCAACCTGTGGCTCTAAAGCCTAATGCGACTGTTTGTTCTCTAAGCTCTGGCTTGAATCAAAGTGTTAGAAGCAGGATTGGGAATTGAATGAAAAGGGGAGGCATAATGTTGGATACTCCCCACTAATTACACATCATAGCAGGTTCCCAAAGTGCAAGTTGCTAGCTGTAAATATGGGACGCATTAAGACGAATCAAGTCTGTCAAAACAAACTTTTCTTTTCATTTTACAAGTTCTTTTTATTTCCTCATAGACTGAATTATTGCAACTTCCTTCAAGTTCTTTCTAGTAAGACCTAGATTATTCCAAGTGGTTTTACAAGAGTTTTAATCGCCACTGACATTAGAGTAGATGTTGCGGCTCCGAGTAGGTTTGAGTTTGACAGAAATGATGTCAAATTGCTCTTTCAAGTTTCAATGCTAAAGGTTGCCAACCCGAAGTTTATAATTTTGAACTGGTGGATGTGAATGCATAAAATGCATGGCCTAGGAAACTAAGAAAGAGTAAAGATGTCAAAAGTTCACAAATAAATATAAATTACTTCCTTGGGGGGAGTCAATAAGATGATTTATACACATGTCAGACACTCAGACCTAGAGCTCTAATCTAGAATACCGATTCATGTCTTATTGGTTTTCTCTCCCAGTAAAAAATATAAAAATATCTTGTATCAAGCAGATATTCTCCCCACCTTGTTCCTGCATCATCTGCATTTGAATTTTCTTCTTTCGATTCATTGTCCACTAGGTGTTCCAGAGAGTCGAGATAACCAATGACGTGATTCCAAGTATCAGGCCTAAAACATCAATAACTAATAGTGAGAAAAAGCTAACTCATATTAAAATTGAAAAACAAAGTTTCAATTCTAAATAATAAATAAACTAGGCACCAATGACTTTGGCACTGACAATCATTATAATCGGAGAAATTAAATTTATGAGTCGTAAGAAAGAAAATGTAATGTCTCAAAATAGGCAAGGGAGAAATATTATATCAAAATTTAATTTATTATTGCTGTTATTGTTTATTTATCCGCTGAACTGAGTTTAGAGAACATTTGTGAATATTTTGGTATTTCAAAGTAATAACAGGCAGTGAAAGGAACAAAGTACACATTAACGATCTGATTGCAAACTTAACTGCAAAGTCTGTTTTAAAACTCACTCTTTTTTCAATAATACTTTATTTCTTGAATTAATTTTTTCCCATTTTCCTAATTTTTTGTAAATGTTAGTTTTCAGGATGCTGATTTCTTCCCCTTCCAGCATGAAATATCCTGAAAAAAAATGAAACTGAAGATAAGAATACAATATTTTCCACTAATATTATCATTTTGCCAATATTAGGTTTGCTTTTTCTTATATAGGGTGTCCATAAAGTCTTGAAATATTTAAACACTGCATTGGGGACAAGTTGAAATTGTAAAGCGACTTCATGGATGTATATTGCGTACTGACTTCATAACAAAATTGAAATTGTAAAGGGACTTTATGGACACCCTGTATTATGAGAACTGACTTTATAAATAACAAAATTCGGTGCTCCCGAAGTATGCGAACCAAGATGGCGGACATCGGAACGTAACATGGGTAACAGGTTAGGGTTAGGCGATAATTTTTTTCCAATTTTCCTTATTTTAGTCCTATTATCAGTTCGAAGACTAGCCAAGAGCCTCCCGTAGTATTTATAGCTAAAATTATGGCCTAACCCTAACCTAGTACACATATTACATTCCGATGCCCGCCATCTTGGTTCGCATACTTAGGGAGCCCCCAAAATTGAAATTGTAAAGGGACTTTATGGACACCCTGTATATGTAGTTACACTCCACCAGAGAGGTTGGAAACCATGGCAAAGTTTTATGAGACTCACTTGCATGCTTTCCTTCCAAAACTTCCAAACACTTCTCATGTTTTTCCAACATTTCTAGGACTATTAGGTACAGTCGGACTTCTAAAAAAATATGAAAATTTTTTTTAACAAAATAAATCCAGACACCATCAGCCAAAAAATTTGTAAATATTTTTAATTCTTAATCCTAAACAATAGCTTCCCTGAACTCATTTTGTATAGTCGTTTTGCGAATTATTTTACTCGTCAACCAATAGGCCATCAAACTTCCCTAATGGCTTTTCAGAAGTGTATGTTTATATTCTAACAAGCGAGAAGCCGGTAACGGACATTTCAATACATTTTCAGATAAGCCAGTCATGACCGAAAATTTGTAGTAAACAAAACTTTTGGGCAGTTGTTGAAATTCTGTTCAGTAGAGGATTGGAATATCTCTATGGAACTCAAATTTGCATAATTCGTGGCCGATTTCCAGACACTTTCAACACCATTATTTTTCAAATAAATACACCAGTCAAAGGCTTAAGATTTGTAGAAAATAAAATTGATGTTTTTTTACCAGTTATTGGACACGTAGTGGACATAACGATCGTTTCAAAATTTTATTGTTATTGTTATTATTATTTGTCTCCATCATTTTTAAAAAAATTGCTTTTATCTTCGAATACTGGACCAATTGCTTTAAAATTTTCAGTGGTTAAAGTTTGATTTTTTCTCCAGAAGGCTATTACTTTTATTCATTTTAAATATTTCTGTTAGCTCTGTGAGATTTGTTTTTGTTTGCTATGACGTCATTAAACGTTCTGCAGACATCGGACGCCATTTTGTGTCCTACTGTACTGCTTCGCTTGGTGTGAATATATTTGTAGACTGTGATCTGACGGTACGGTACCGTACTGTACTGCGAACAGACGTGTCCATATATTTGGGCGTAGCTCTCTTGTTTTACAAGGTAAAGCCAACAAGCGAAAGCAAAGGAACAAATGCTCTATGACAAAACATTTAAACAAATCAAATTCAATTTACTTCACTGATCGCGAATGGTGAAGTAAAGGTATTTTCTTGTGGCCTTGAGAAAACCACAGAGGCACATTTTAAATAATCCGGTCTAAACAGATTATTTAGACACCCCTACAACAAACAAACAAAATGAACGTACCCGCTTCGGCCTCTATTTTTCCTTTCTCAATATGTTTTTCAATCATTCTTTCTGCAAGGGGCAAGAACATCATCTTCCCAAGTTTTTCATCATTGAGGGCCTGCATTACTATCGCCATGATGCCCCAGAATAAATAAGGATTCTTCGGATGATGTTTGTAAAGTAAAATGGCAACCTGAACAACATATAAAAGATAGTTTTAAATAAAAACTAAATACATTGAAGTTGAAGATAGAATTTTACTCCAGAAGGCTATCACTTTTATTTATTTCAAATATTTCTGTTAGCTCTGTGAGATTTGTTTTTGTTTGGTATGACGTCACTGAACGTTCTGCGAACATCGGACTCCATTTTGTGTCTGACTGTACTGCTTCGCTTGGTGTGAATATATTTGTAGACTGTGATCTGACGGTACGGTGAACCGTACTGTACTGCGAACAGACGTGTCCATATATTTGGGCGTAGTTCTTGTTTTTTATTATTATCACGATGACTGTTGTTATATTTAGGTTGATGGAAAAATAAAATCTCTCTCTCTCCTACGCCTATAATATAAACCAAGTGCAGCCAAGAACACAGGGAAGGGGGGGCTACAGCAAAAGTGTTCAAGTGTTAAACTTGGCTATGTTGGCCTAAAGTCTTAGTTTCAATCCCACGCCCAGCACTTCACCTCAGTGTCAAACCAGAAAGATCCTGGTCCTTTCGGATTTGTATCATTGCCCGCCTGAACAGAACCTTGCTCGGAGTAAAAAAGGAGCACAGAAAGCGTCTTTATCAAGCTTTACTTTTCCAAAAATTTCCCGCTCGATTTTATGTTGAAGAAAAACTCACCCTTTGCATATCCTTTGGTTTCTCTGTTCTCACATAAGACATGAATAAATGTGTGAGATATTCTTCGTTCCCGACACATTTTGAAACTGCAGACTCATAAATGGGAGGAATTAAGTCATCTGTGAAAGAAGAAGAATTTATGATATCTGACAGGTTTTGGGGTACTCTCAAAAAATGTGAACCAAGATAGTGGACACCGAACCGTTGTTTATGTACCAGGTTAGGGTTTTTCCAGTACAAATACTACAGGAGTCACTTGGTTAGTCCCTGAACTCGTAATATATCCAAAGTAAGATAAATTGGAATAAAATTATGGCCTAACCCTAACCTAGTACACATACTACGTTACGGTGTCCGCCATCTTGATTCACGGGAGTAGTAATTTTGGTGCACAATTCACATATTACATGATTTGGAATCCCAGTATGAATAACTCCAAACTAAACATCTTTTAGATAAAAAGCCATATAGAGTGTGGATATATATCGTTATTCTACAGTTGTATTTTTAAGCTAATTTCGTTTTCCACTATTATATTCCACTATCAACATTGGAGCAACATTTTATATATAAGGCAGAGTACAGCTGTTTCTCTGACCAAGAGTTGAGATCGCAACATTTTCTCCAACATGCAAAGTTAATCCCTAATCGATCAACGATATATTCAAGGTTTGAATTCTGTGGCAAATAAGTATATAACAGTATTGGTGGTCGCCATGCAATATTCCACATATCCATCGAAGTCATCCATTAACATAACACCCCCACACCAAAATGTAAAAATAATACTCACGTCTGTGTGTCTCTCTATAATACAGGCTCAGCCCTTGCAAACTGTTTTCATCTGTCGGACCCAGAGCTGCAACTTCTTGTGATAATGCAAAAGCCTCATCTCTGCGTCCAAGACGATTCAGCGCAATGACTTTCAAAACCTGAAAAAATAAAATGAATCAGTAAAAATGGGGGAGATTGTGTCACTTAGCAAAGAAGTATATGCACATTAAAATAAGGCAAACAATATAGATTCAATAAACAATGTCAAACGGCTACTCCAGTAGTGTTTTTGTTCGCCAACTTTACATCAAAAGTTGTGTAAAGGAACAGAAACCTATGGGCAGGGGTTATATTCACTTGGCTAACACAGACAGTCCCCGAACTCGTAAGAGAACTAAAATAAGGAAAACCGGAATAAAATTATGGCCTAACCCTAACCTGGTACACATACTATGGGAGTACAACGCCGCTCAATTCAACCATCTATATTTTTTCTTTTTTCTTGTTCCACCCAGCAAAGGAGATGTCAAGATGTACTGGTTTGTCTGTCGAGGACGGTTTGACAAGAATAAAGACGAAGGACAAATCATGAGAGAGTTGGATGAAATACAAGATATAAAAGCTAACCTTAGCTGCTGATAAATCTTTTTGTTTCTTTAGAACTTTTTCTGCTTCATGAAGAGCTGATTTGTTGTTTCCAATGTCAAGATGTTCTGGAAATATGGTGATAAAGTCACAAACAAAATAGAATTACTGGATCTGTAGGTAGAAGTAATCTATGTCTCAGTAAGATTAACATTGGTCAGTATGGTTCTCTAATAGTTCGCTTTTTCTACGTTTTTTTCATGTTTCAAACCTTATCCAAGGTTTTGTTTGCTCCCCTGATCTCATAATCAGTTTTAATTTATTTGTTTTCATCAATTATTTTATTGCTAGTTATGTTGATTATGGAGTCGAAAAAAACATATGCTTATACTCATTAATTAAAGTCATTGATGCACAACTTCAGAACTAAAGACTGTTAACACTGCCTTTAGAATAGAGTGTCATATTTAGGTATAAGTTTATTTCGACTTCATAATCAGCATAATAGACGATAAAACAATTGCTAAAAACAAATAAATAAAACTGAATATAGAATCAGGAGAGCAAACGAAACCTCAAGTAAGGTTTGAAACGTACAGATTTTCGATGAAAATGTATTGATGAAGGAAGAAGTATGTGTTCGCTCGGCCAAAAGTATTAAAACTAATTAAAGCACGCAGACACACAATCACAAAGACATAATAAGATTACTACTATTTTACTACTCAGTGAAAAGAAAAATATACAAACAAATTAAAATTAAATAAAAATCCCGGCCACATTTTATCCCATGGAAGAGGAATGGTTGTCCAGTTACCAGTCCACAGTTAGTTGATGAATTAACAATTCCTTCCGTAATTCTGTACCGTACTTTATTGTATTTGAATATTCAGGAAATAAGGTAGCTTATACAGGTGCAGATAGTTAGTCAAATACATAACATATTTTATAATTACAAATATATTTATCACTAATAATGTGATATCTAATTCAAGCATAACATCTCCAGATCTCCCTCCCTCCCCCCCCCCCCCCCCTAAAACGAAAAGCTGGGGCACTGTCCTAAGTAGTAAAGACTTTACCTTGTAAGTTCTATATATCAGTGCTACTTGAAATTATGCCCCATTTATAGTATATGGATAAAGTTTCAAAACCGTAACTTCTTACCGTAAACGGGTCTCAAACGGCGTTCATTTACAGATCCAAGGGAGACCGCGGTCGCCTGGCTTGCCATCTTCCCATTTGAAAAGCATTGAGCTACCCGAGTATACAGTTGCCAGATACTCTGTGCATAATACCAAAAAAACGGCTGTGCTGTACTCAAGTTCTTTTCGAAATCGTTTTTGATCGACTATTATAAGTTTGATGTTAAATTGAAATTAGTGTTTTATTTTTTATTATGTTATTAAATACATTAATTTTCAAAAATACTATGCAAAACAGCGTAATATTTTGTTCGTGTAGTTTGTTTCTTTGTTTTTTTCAATCAAGGACTCCAAAATATGGCATGCAGAAAATCGCTTCCTCGTGTTTGAATAGGCATCTTCAACCATGTAAGGGCCAAATTTTAATCTTAAGCAGTTCCGCGTAGGCGTAATGTACGTTATTATAGTACAAACCACAATGGCGGGTTCCTATTTGCTAGCTTCACATCAATAAATGCGGCGTCAGTTGTAAAATATCCTGCAGTATCATAGCCTGAAACAAGGTACTGTACACACGGGGCACGGGGCCAATGATTTCCCTACATATATGGGGTCAACTTCAAAATTCAAATTCATTTACTTACTATTTAAAATCGGCACTTCAGACATGATATTTAAAAAAAAATTTATATAGCGTTCAATCATTCCCTTTCATTACCACTAGGTCAGGGCTACTCAACCGGCGGACCGCAGTCCGAATCCGGACCGTTCGAGTATTTGATTCGGACCGCACCTAATTCTTTATTTTAGATCATTAGCCCCACTTTTGAAGTTTCTTTTTATAAAATGACTTTTATAGTTTTGAATATATATATGAAAAGAACTATAACACCATAATAGGCAATTTTGATTAGCTAATAATCGTTAGCCGATCGAGGAAGTGTGCGTTTAAAGATGCCGAAATATAAATTCTGGAAAGACCGGACCCAAATAATTTTGAAGTTCGGTATGCGGATTTTCGGTCAAAATGGGTGAGTAGCCCTGCCCTACGTTACCAAACCCACCCAGGGCAAAGAGTTCACGGATACTGTCACAAATAGCTCTCGATCCTTTACAATATTTAAATTACATACGGATATCGTGCGCCCAGCGCAACCTGCGTCAATAGACGTATGTCTTACTCAGGGTGACCGTACATTTGAACCCACGTACATTTGAACCCATGCGTATATCCACGGGTTCAATTTATATGCGGGTGCTAAAACCCATGGGTTAGGGTTAGTATGGGTTTAACTATCCGTGAAACAAAAAAAATTTCATAGGTGCAATAGCATACAGGTGCAATTGTCATGGGTTCAAATGTAATGGAACCCTTACTCAGATAAATCGCTATTGTTCATAGGCCAATTTCCGCCATATATAATATAGGTATATATAATATATAAATTCCGGAGGCAGTATTGCTGTAAACTACAAATACTGGCGTGAATAAAACCCATTTATGGGATCTCCTGAAGTATGCGCACCAAGATGGCGCACAACCTGAACTGAGGTTGTGTACCAGGTCAGGGTTCAGGTTGTGCGACATCTTGGTGCGCATACTCCAGGAGTACCCATTTCTGACCGTGTTTTACTAACTATATTGATGAGCGTCTTACTGGTTTTCCCCTCGTCTGCTTGAAATATGAAAAATGCTCGGTGGTCGCGCATCATTTCTCTGCGCGGGTTCGCAGGTTCGATTCCCGTGGAGAATAATCATGTGCAACAGGATTTCTGGACTTGCGCCGCCGTATGGTGGTTCACGTATTCGCTGGTCGGTTACAGCTTTTTCCACCGAAAAGTCCATGCATCCGAAAAAAATAACTGGCTAACTAATCTCATAACTGACATTGACATGGACTGGCAGCCGTGGTTCGCCATATCATCAAGGCGTCTTTACGTAAATACGTAAATATGTAAAACCCTATAACATAACCTTTACGTTTCAATTGCTTCACAATGCAAGTCAACTTTCCCATTCTTCCAAATAGTATCAGTCAGACTTACTTCTCAACGTTATTCCAGCCCTGGGGCGATATAACCAGTAATAGCAACGTATAAGATAATCGGAAATTCTTTTAGCGTTTGTAAACCGATCCTAAGGCGAGGCGTTAGCTGTATGAAAACACTTAGCTTAGTTCGAACGTTCAGTGGTTCAGTGATTCTCGCGCCCTCCTTTTTAGAATTTGTCAAGTCGCGCACACCCGACCTCAAAAATAACTAGCTAACAATAAACTACAAATAACAGATAGTGAGTCGAAAGTATGTTTTTTCTTAAAACAGGTTGCGTGGATGGAATCGCAATCTCTGAACAATAAAGAAAATGTAAATATCCAAATTAAGGCGAGCAAGATCAAATCTAACAAGTGTTTAGCTTAAAAATGTCTACGTCTCCCTTGTGGGTCGCGCCCAGCCGTTTGAGAACTACTGGTTTTGTTGTTTTTATTGAGCAACGCGTGCAGTGGAAATCCAAGGCCAGGATTAACTATTTCTCTATGCTAGTGATCCCCAACCTTTTTCGTTAAATTCCCTTTCTTCGCCTTTTTGGGGAATGTTATTTCTCCTCCTCTATAAATAACGGCTACTTTATTTATTCAATATTCAATGGATCCGTAGCTAGTTATGTGAGTCCGGTGGCAATAATAACTATTATTTGAATTTGTGCAGTATTGCGCTTGTATCTATCTATATTATACTAAACGTGAAAATGGCATTTCAAGGTGAAGTAGATGCGAAAAAAAGGTTCCATTACATCTGAACTCACGTACATTTGAACCCACGACAATTGCACATGCATACTATTGCACCTATGGAAAAAAAATTTGTTTTACGGATATTTGAACCCATACTAACCCTAACCCATGGGTTTTAGCACCCGCATGTAGATTTAACCCACGGATATACACATGGGTTTAAATGTACATGGTTCAAATGTACATGGTTCAAATGTACATGGTTCAAATGTATGGTCACCGAAAAAAAAACTATCGCAAGGAAGCGACACCAAAGTCTAGGAGAGGATTTATTTCACTTATTCCATGGGGAGAAACCACGCGGACTATATATATATTAATTCTTGATTATTCGACGAACCACGGACTCTGGTTGGAATGCCAATCTAGATAGAATATCGGAATAATTGACCAGATATTCCTTCCAGATGCATTATTATCGTGCATATGCATACGAGGTAAGGCTAGAAAGAAACGGGACTGACGTCACAGATTGCGCAACACGATCAACCATCGGTAATCAACACTTTTGCAGTGTGGCGTAATATGTGTTCTTTGTTTAGCAGCTGTTTTGACACAATATCGCAATTATTTTTGCTTTTCAGGATCCATAAGTGAATGTGATAAATTTCTTGCTGAAAAAAAATGATGCTGTGCGAGGTCTGATGGAAATTTTTGGCGATGGGGGGTTCAATTAAAGAATGACGACTGAGCAAAGAACTAACATTAAATTTTGTGTCTCGTAGATAAGTAAAAACTAGAATCGTAGAATAATATAAAGTCGATGAAGTTGAACCTAACTTAATTGCTAAGCTAATTTGCTTACCTATATCTCTTCATGCAAGAGTGTCTCTTCATCCGAGTTTCTGTTTTTTCACCCCCGGAAACGTTTCCCTTCGATATTTCAAATCAGCAGATAGTATAGGCTACTATGTCTTCAATTTGAAAAATAATCAGTCAATCTTATCTCAACATTTGCCGATGACCTGGACTAAAACAAATCTATAATTAATAATTATCTATATATAAATATAATTAATTTTAATACGTTGAATATTTTTCAGTTTCTATCTTAGTTTTTGGAACCGCCTTGGCGCGGGATCGGCAGAAATGCAAGCGAAAGAAAAATGTTTGAAGACGACATGCATAGTATTGCAGATTATATGCTTTGTAAGTTCATGTTTTGCTTAGATTTATTAATTTTTTACATTTGTTTTCAAACTTTTTTGGTGGAACAGAATCCCAATGAAACATTATAGCGGCTCGAGTACCCCCCCTGTGTCATTGTTTACTTGTCTTCATTGTCTGAATTGTAGAAACTATGTATAATAGCAAATCCAATAAAATAAAACGAAATGATGTTTCAGGTTTAGTAAGTTTATTAACAGCGGCAAACCCAATAGGTATTCGAACGATATATATATATATACACTATACAGTGGCGGGGTTCCAATACAGTGGCGGGGTTCCAATTTTTTGTCAGCCGGTTTCTTCACAAAAGTCATATTTTCCAGCCGGTTCTGTTACAGACAGAACATTGAAAGTAACCAGTAATGCTAACCGGTTCGCTGATCTCATGAAATTTCGAGAGACGGTTCTATAGAACCGGTGCGAACCGGCTGAATCCCACCACTGCATATATATATATTAATTAGACTCTTAGTGTTTGAATGGAAACCCGCGAAACTACATAGACAGCGTTGGCGGAATCCTGGGTTGACGCGGAACCCATGAAAACTACTGATCTAAATTGAACGAGTTGCATTTAAGGTTTATGAATATGAAAATGGTTTGTGTTACAAAGAAACGGTAATCCTGATGGACTATAATAACAGCCAATCGACTATAAGAAATGAAAACCCTGATCTGTTTAGTAGTTCTTGACATTTTTCGTTTCCGCATGTCTTTAAAAATATTAGCCGATTCTCGCAGTCCGTTCTAAAATTACTGAAAAAGAGTATTGTTTTTATAATGTAAATAGCGGAACCATTGCGCAATTTTTAACTCGCGTATCTGACACTAAAATAACACCATACTATAATCGAATTGATATAACATTAGCAAATAACAAGTAAATTACAATAATACCCTCAGGAGAGGTACAGTAGGCTTTGTGAGTTGTTTTTTTAATTTACCAAATTGGAATAGGGTTCATATCGCACAGGAAGGAAAAATCAGAAGAATGATCATACAAACCAGCTGTAAGTAAAGGAAAATGCAAACCTAACACCCTCGGTTTATCGCTTATTTTTACACCCCTTTTAAATATTCAAATGACTTGAATCGTTTAAGTCTTGTGATAGCCAATGTCTATTGATATCCAATTCGCGAGAAAAATTTTATATATTGGTTTCAGCTTGCCAGTATTTTTTTATCCCGCTTTTAGTTGTGATTCAAATCTCACTATGGTAAAATTTTTTCAAAAAATTTGCTCAAAGCATGATCACGCAAACGTACACAGGAGTAAAAGAAATCCACCTCTGAGAAATGTTACGAGCGACTGCTAAAGTGCTGAGTGTTACTGACGTCACGTTCACTCATTCAGAAATAAAGAAGACTTGTCCTCGAGCAAAGTTAGGGGTCTCGTTCGCTTCTGAGTGAGTACTCATAACTTTTCTGAGAGATGAGCCTCGTTTACTTTTGATTGAGTGCGCCCGTAACTTTGCTTAGAGACGAGTCTCCTTTTTTTTCAAGTGACCTCGCTTTGAGTAAAATTGCTGTTAAAAATTACTTTTTTTTACAGATCGCCGGTGCTGTTGTACTCGGCCTTGGCATCTGGGCTATCCACGATGACAGCCTGACGAAGCTGATCGACAAAGTTATGTTCGCTGGCATGTACGTTCTCATTGTTGCCGGTGCGGTGATCATTTTGACGACGATTTTGGCTTTTGTAGCGATTTGGAAAAAGAGCAAACCCATGGTTGTGATCGTAAGTAGCCTAATCTTGTTTTAAAATATAATATTTGGCGATTACTTTATGACAAAGCGTCGCCATAATTCTTTTATAATTAGCATTTCAGTCGAAAGTTTCCTGATGGATGAGTCTCCTTTACTTCTGAGTGAGTGCCCGCAACTTTGCTCAGAGATGAATCTCATTTACTTCTAAATGAGTGCCCGTAACTTTGCTCTGAGATGCGTCTCCTTTACTTCTGAATGAGTGCCCGTAACTTTGCTCAGAGATGAATCTCATTTACTTCTGAGTGAGTGGGCATGATTTCGATTTCAGCAAATTCTATTAAAATGGCTCCAGAAAAAGAACGGATATAATGACAAATATCGCGAAATGAGTAAAATTAGTAATTCTGAAGTATAGATGTGGATTAGATGATGAACCACGACCTCTAGTCTGATCGCATGTCCAGGCAGGGTATACGAATAGCTCGTCAGTCAAACGCGTCCCGTGCACATGGTATTTAGTCTTATCAGTTCCACGTGTCTTTTACAGTACTGCATTATTGCTCTCATAGCAATATTCCTGAAGGTTGTGGCTTGCATCATTATTTTTGACTATTTCGTGACCGCTCATTGGTCGTTAGTCGACTCATACAAGGAAGAATATGGGGTCAAAAACGAGGTCACGGACATCTGGGACGAGATTCAGAGCAAGGTACAAAATTTAACATTATTTTTATTCACTTTGGACGATGCATGGAATTTTATATTTTTTCTCGTTGAACGGGCAATTTCTTGGGATAATAGGTCTTATCAGTATATATATATAGTACAAAATAAATACGACATCATCATAAAATACCAACCTTTTATAAAAAAAAACTTTGGTGTCAGATCGCTGTTTTATTATTTGATGGTGATTAGAACTGGCGTAATTTTGTGCACGAGGAATATGATATTACGCGTTGGGTGTTCAAATGCTTCTAGCAGTTCTAGCAGCGGGAGTATTCTAAAACAAAATGTATAATTCTGGGATTTGTTTGTCAGATCGCGGTTCATAAAAACCTTAATTTGAAATCATAAATTCATTTTCGTCGAAAAACATCACAGGGTGGCCTGTTGGAAAAAGCGCTGGACTTGGGAAATGATCAGACCGCAGATCACTGCAAGTTATACGTGCGCAATGTGCCTCTTTAATTAGAATGCGCTAATTGTAAATGTAAATTATTGAATTTAACAATGTTAACTTATTGTCATGTATATGTTAGCTTTTTCTTATTTGTATACGTAGGGGGTGGTAAAATAAAAATATTTTAATCCAGATTTCGATATATATTAGTTAAAATGTATAAATGGAAAAACGCCTACAACGCCTACAAGAGCAAATAACTAAGATATCGGTACGATTGAATTGTTCCGAATATATACAAGTCTAAACTGTGACAATGATATAATAAATGGCAATATCTAGAACGCAAAAAGGCAAAAACATAAAGCGTTGGACAATTTCACTTAATTTCAAGCCATCAAGTCGTTACGCAGTCTGTAATTGGCCCGCGGGCGTACGATGGTAAACATTTCAAGTCGATGAGGATTTTTTTCCATTTTCTCAGGGCGAATGTTGCGGCCTTCTGAAATATTGGGATTGGGAGGAGTCAACATTTTATGCAGATAACGACGAGAAATACCCGGAATCGTGTTGCAAATTGGTCGCCGAAGGAGAATACCCGATACATAAAGGGCATTGTCAGATTGGAAGAGATGGATACATACACATTGAGGTAATTCCGAATATAGAGCCGCGGTGGTAATGTAACATGCACATGCAGCCAAAATATACATATACAACCAATTCACGTAGTCCTTTTTGTTGTTGTTGAAACGCGAGATTACTGGGCGTACGAGGTTGGTATGCCTTGGCGTATTTATTGTTTTTTCAAAGTAACGTATATATATATGTTACTGTATATTTACAGTTCGACTTTTTGTTATTATTTTCTTGTTAGACTTGATTATGGGTGACGGTGCTCGATAGCTCGCAGCTCCCCTCAACCTGAAATGCTTTTTAATTATTTACTGCAATTTGTATATCAAGTGTGCTTTTAGTATGGTGAGGAAATAAACTACTTATTACTGACTACATATACAGCCAACTGATATGCATATACATACGATAACATGAATATACACTCAATTCAAATGAATGAATATGTATGTATAGCCATCGTGTTGGGTTGGTAACGTGACATGCACATACAAACGGAATATGCATATAAAACCAATCGAATTTGAATCTATATTCTACTAATATACATACATATACAGCCAATGACACACAAATATATATATTATACCAAAGGTGGGATTCAGGGGGTACGCATGTATTCTCACGAACCCGTTCTTGTTTTTTAGACGTTAAATTCCGAATCCCATCGCTGTTTACACCCAATTAGAAGCCATATGTAGTCAACATAAGCGTAGCCAGGGGGCTTAAGGAACAAGCCCCCCCAAAAAGTTTCCACTTTTTTTAAAATGCAATTTTGCGGCATTTGTAGAAAGACATAAATTCTTACTTATTTTCCAACACGATTTTGCTCTATTCTTGAACGATTTACTGTAAACTGGACGTTCCCTGGCTTGCTATCAATAATCCTTTCACCAAACGAACGACGAGTCAGCGTCATATTCCGTCATTATACAAAAATAAATTTAGCTCCATTTCCCTCCCTCCAAAATTGCCTGGCTACGCTTTCGACTGTTTAGTCGAACTCATTACTTATTAAATTCATAAAAATTTTCTTTCATTATCTTGTCACAGGGCTGCGAATATCTTCTTGAGAAATATTATTATGGCATCGGTGGAACCGCTGTGGCGATTATTATCATAGAAGTAAGTATGGAAGTGTATTAATCCTTTTCCGCCATCAGTTAAATACCGTATTTGCTCGTTTAATAGCCCGGACGCTTATTTTTTTAAACATACTCACTAACCGGGCCCTTATTCAAGCAGGGGCGCTTGTTATTTTTAAAGTTAAATTACACACAAAAATACCGGTAGATAAGATCGATCGTTACAATAATTAATACTGTATATTGTCATTTCCAGTTCTCAAGTATGATTTAAACGAGAATAATGAAAATTTTGACTTTTTCTACGCACCGCAGGTACAAATCCGCAAAAAAAAAAAAAACTTTTACACCGGGCCGGTATTCAAGCACCGGCCCTTATTTATTTTCATGTCCGGTTCACACGGGTGGCTATTCAAACGGGCCCTTAATCAAGACCGGGCGTTAAAACGAGCATTTACGGTATGCCCAAACCCGACATGATCTGGTAACCGGACGAAAGACCGTGGTACGCCATATAATTATGCCGTTTTAACGGTACTCCCGTAATGTGTGTACCAGGTTAAGGTTGGCCATAATTTTATTCTGATTTTTCTGATTTTAGTTCTATTACGAGTTCGGGGACTGTCTGTGTTAGCCAATTAAATATACCCCTACCCATAAGTTTCAGTCCCTTTACACAACTTGATGTAAAATAGGCGAATAAATTGGTACGCAGACTTCTTGAGCGCCGTTTCAACACCTATCCTGTTCCATTTTTTTACGAGAATTTCGTCTCAGAATTATAGGGGAATCATCTTTGGGAAAAGTTACTTGCTATCACTGAACTACTAATTAAAATTATTGAGGTGCATTATGCGCACCCACTCTGATGTGAATTAGATTTATCGCCGAGCGGAGAAACTCATTTCTGAGCAAAGGTACGGGCGAATACGGAGGTGCCAACTCAAGAGCTACTTTCGAAAACAAATAACTGGCAAACTAATTTCTTTATCCGACATAGACTGGTAACCGGACAAGCGCCCGTTGTTCGCCATATGACTGAATCTTATTCTGATTCCTGCCCTATCCTACCAAAACAATATATGCCTGCGCATATTTAATTTCGTTATTCCTAAACTATACGCATGCGTCGAGGCCACAAGATTATTCCAAAATATCAATTCATTTACCAAAAACTTTTTTTTTCAGTTGTTTGCCGTGGTGATGATTGCCTGCTTGTATCAGTATTATCCATAGCAGAAGACAACAGACGATCATCAAGAAGAAATGTACTTATATCTGTTTTGTTTGACAAGAAATTTTCCATACAAACAGAAACTCTTAAGCCATCACTTAGCCAACACTTTTGAAATATTGCGACGTAACTGAAACACCGAGACGCCCTACCTTTTGATATCAATTTGGTCAAACAGAATTACGGTGTTCTTTGAGTCATAAAAGTTTTTGAAAAGTCTCACGTTTTCATTATTCAAAATTGTTTATATTTTCTTGATAAATTCGACCACCTAAATGGATTTTCCAGTCGTGTCATTTTGTATAGCTTTTAAAAAGGCCCACGGCACTGCGACATTTTGATACATCGATCATCAGGCGCAACTCAATTGACACGAAGCCGTTTTAGACAGCAATTTTCAACGTCTTGCTCGATAAATACTCTATATATATATAGAATTTTTCATAATATAAAAAATTATTATATTCATATTGTGTTCTTCTGTGCTCCATCTCAAACTTTTTGAAGTACGTCTGACTCCTTCATAGGCATATAACGGTAATTTTTCGAACAGCCATATAAGAAGACGATAAGCGAAAATACATTTAGCCTTTATGAAGGTATGCGAATGGAAAACAGCGTTGAAATCCACAGTAACCATCTTACAGTAGCAAGACTCATACCAATACCATGTTGTAAATCAGGGCTACTCAACTATATTCACCAAAGGTCCGTGTAGAAAACTTCAAAATTACTGGGGTCCGTACATTACAGAAAATTTATTTCAATATAAACGAACGTCAAATGGTGGCTCGCAAATATAGACACAAATATCGCACACTGGTACCAGTACGACAAACTGTAGCTGTGTATTTAAATTGTATAAAATCATCTAAAACTACCAAACGATGCTTATGCTGCCAAAATAAACAAGCGACCGGTTCAAATTTTAAAGGTCGAAAGGTCCGGATTCGGACCGCCAGTTAAGTAGCCCTGTTGTAAATGACGCGTATGCAACCTGCGGCCAGCGAAAAAGTGTATTGATCAAGCAAGACGAAAACCCTCATTATGTTTTGATAAATCGACTTCTACAACATGTAACGGGACAGTGGTGTGGTTGTATTTCTAGCAACTTGCCGCACACAAAATATTCGAAAACTCCGATTTTTCAAACCTGGTACAAAAGACTGATTTAAGTGGCTCAACATTTCACCTCTAGAGGGCGGTATTGGTCAGTAAGCCCGCCAGAATGAAGTCGACCCACCCTTGACCTCAAAAGCATTTTTTCCTCTTTTCTCGTCATTTTCAAAATGTTAATTTTTCGTTTGGAAAGTGTTTCCACGAATTAGCACTTACAAATTAGTTTATATTCTTCATTACCATCATTTTGATTCAAAATTTTCAACCACGACCTGATAGCCAATTTTAGCTTAATCAGTGGCGTCTTTTTTGACTTTTATTGCAACCAAACTAAACTCCTGGTCAAAAAATGACCCATCCAAAGGCAGCAAGTATACAAAGCGCACAAAATGAAAGCTTTCTCATGCCCAAGTTTCATCCAAATTCGGCTTTTCATGAAGATAGTCCAAATAACCACGCTAAGTCAAATTTACCCCGACCTCAAGGAGTTTCCATATATTTGGTGCCGGGTGTACATATTTATTCTTCACCTTCCCAGCCCTTCTTACAAATAACCTTTTTAACTGACTTTAATAAAATTGAAACACATTTTACTTTGAATATATATTACAATAATAAAAACCTTGGAATGAAGAGAGTCTTATTATACTTATCTAGGTGTGGGACTCTAATCGCTTATTCCCTCTTGGAATATATCAAATGAAAATACGTCTATCCCATAGATCAGGGGTTCCCAAACCGCGGCCCGCGGGCCATCTCCGGCCCGCGTAACGATTTAAAATGGCCCGCCGAGCTTAAGTGAAACAATGAAATAGATTTTGTTTCTACCTTTTTACAATCTAGAAACCGCCAATTGTTATGTCAATATCACAGTTTAAGCTCGTGTTCATGGTGACAATTCGATTATGCCGGTATCTCAATTATACGTACCGTATTAGGATTACATAGGGCAGAAAGTTAGTTATCAGCCGTTTAAGAAAGGTTAGAGATGTCAAATAATATACAAGACTCTGAAAACAGATGTTACTCTGATAAATGGCATCGTTCGTATTTCTGTATTGAAAAGAATCACACTTCAGCGATTTGTCTACTTTGCTGACGAACTATTCAAGTTATAAAACAATACGACATAAAGCGCCATTATGAATCAAACAAACATGTTTAAAAAAATGTCAAATGTGAATCCACAGAACCCCAGCTAAACCGTTGCACACTTTCGGGCACTACACTCTTCCGGCCCGCAAACACCCTTTTGATTCTAATTTTGGCTCGCGGCCAATAAAGTTTGGGAAACTCTGCCATAGATTCCTGAAGTTCTCCATATGGAGCATAGGGGCTTCACAAGCTATTCATTTACTTATTAAAATACTGACTTGGCTAATTTTGTAAATGTCTGAAGAAGCAATAACGACATTTGTAAAATTTGACAACGGTAGCTTCGAACTAGAAATGACTTTTATGTGTAAATTACCCAAAAACATTATTCATAGAATAACAATGTATTATATGTTTTTATTTTTATAAATTTATAGCAGGGATCCGTGAATAATAGTCAACTTGACACCAAAGGCTTGAGATCCCCTGATCTATCTCTAGCTTGCTGTATTGGAAATATGGAACAGCTGTCGCTTAGAAAAATACTCAATAAGTGATAAAAAGTACAGATATCTACTGGTACTGGTGAAGGATAAAAGATTTCTTATATAAATAAGGAGTCCTCTCCTACTGAATTGTACAGTTCAGCAATTGTCTTTTAAGTATTTTAGAGGAACATCAAACTGCCCCATAATTCTGAGTCCCCGTGGGTAACATAAGATTTTTTCTGGTACTGGTTGGGGTAAATGGGTATTGCTCCCCTATAGAAATGAGAAAATCCCCCCCTAACTGAATTGTACAGCAACCATCATTTCAAAGTTCTTTGTGGGAAAAAACATCACACTACCCCATAATTCAGAGTCCACAGGGAAACATAAGATTTTTATTAGGTCCTGATTAGGGTATGTCTCTTTAGGTATCTCTCCCCCACCGTAAGGCTAAACTCGAAGCTCAGATTCTTTTCAAAAGTACTCCTGGCTTTAAAGTTACGGAAATTTTGCCTTCAGGATTAGGGAGTTTCCCCTCCTCTATCATTAGTCTCTCCTCACGCCCAAACACCCTTAGTTATGATTTTTCGAAAGTGATTTCCACAAGCGGATCCTCTGTTTTGGTTTCTTCGATAGGTTCACTGATCTGGAGCTCCTCTTCTTGATGTTGTTCTTGCACCTCAATTTGTTGTTGTTGCTGTTTGATTTGTTCTGTCTCAAATTGTTGTTGTTGTTGATTGTGCTCTTCGATAAAATCTTCAAAAGTTTTAACTGGCGCTTCTCCTTCCACCATTTCAATGTACTATGAGAAAAAAAAATTGTGTTTTTACATGACATTTTACATTTGTTCGGAGCAAAATCGAGAAAAGGTGTCATATAAAAAACACAGAGTCCAGCACTCTCCATTGTCATAGTTTTCCATAAATGGTAAACCAACCTGCAAACCCACGCAGTGTAATCAGAGGTGTGTTAACAAGCGTATTACTAAGGCTTAATACGATGCGGCACATCGTCAGGCCAGCGAGGAGCGTGGACACAAAGCTACTCGCGACCTGTAGTTTGCTTTTCCTGGTATAAGAAATCCAAACCTCGTGTTCTTGATGTCCAGCATGTAAGTCAACCAGATCTTCCGTCTCATGGGTCTCTGTTAAGTCCTGCATAGTGAAAGCTTTCATTGGTTCAGGTACCATCGAGTCCTCAATTATCCATTTTGTTACCTGCGAAAAGAATGACTGTGTTTAGAAAGCTCAAGTGAGATGGGAAACATGGATGGTTTAACAATTTGTCTGACTGGCTGACGAGGGTCTGCCAAAGTCGAATATCCACTACGAAGGGACTGTTGGACCTTTAACCGCCGCAGGGTGGTTCAAATAACCGCTGGTCAATTCCATGCATTTGAAACAAATAACTGGCCAACTAATCCCATACCCGACAAGGACTGGTGACTGGACGAGGGGCCGTGGTTCGCCATATGATTAAGCTGTCTTATCAGTTTTCCTTTCCCCCCGGGATAGATATGAAAATCTAATCCTTATCGCTCGAACCACATAATTCCTTTTGAGTACATTGCTCTAATCAAATACCATTCAATGCATTCCCAAACTGAAACTCGAGAATTATAAATTGATGTGTTCTTTGATGAACAAGACCCAATTCAGAATCCGATATTTCCTATTCAAAAATATTATTTCAGAAAGTATTCGAAATATTAGATCATTCAATTATGGCCATCCCTGATCTATTTCAATCTCACCAAGGGCCTGACGGTGTGGCGCATAATGCTAAGCGTTAGGAATATGCAACTGCTTCTCTGATTACCCTGCGTGGGTTCGCAAGTTCGAACCTCATACGGGGATAACTGTATGCCAGAGGATTGCTGTGCTCCATGCCGAAGTAGGGTGGTTCACGTAACCGCTGGTTGGTTACGACTTCTTCCATCATCAAGACCACGCTTACAAAAACAAATAACTGGCCAAATAATCCCATACCTGACATGGACTCGTAACCGGACAAGAGGCCGTGGTTCCTCATATTACTGGGCTGTGTTAGCACCTTCGCTCTCTTTGAGACATACAGGGTGTTAAAAAATTAGGGTGAAATTTTTCGTCATGGCGACGTTAAGAAAGTAACTGTTAAATAGCGTCAGTCATAAATGTTCAAATGCTATTTCACCGTAATTTAATATTGTTAATAAAAGGTGTCAGGCGTTGAATGTTTTAATTAGCATTTCATTTTAACTTCTGTTAATTTTCCATCACTTTTTTAACACCCTGTATATGACTATAGGGTGGAACTAAACAACTTCTCACCTGTGGATGTTCAGTGGCCAAGTATTCGTGAACATATTTGATCCCGAGATCAGAAGCAGATTTCCAGATTTGATGAGCTTCGTAAAAACTGAAAAAAATTAGTTTTTTACTTCTATTTTTATGAAAGTTTGCTTCATAGAGTATCGAACACTCGTTGAATAACAAACAAATCTTTCGATAAAACTCTTCAACACAAAATGCAAGGTGAAATGTCTTTAGCAAAGTGTGAAGGTTCACTCGAAAAATTTTTAGCTGCAGAGGTTTGCAACTTTTTTCATGCCGGATATTGTAAGTACCGTATACTATTATGACATATATCTTTTCATAAGATGCAATGCCTGCTGCGCACTACCACAAATGTATTTCTGTAACATTTCGTCTGATTAAATCAGACTTCCTCAGACATACAGCTTACAACAATCAACTTTTCATGAAGCTTATGATATCATAAAAAAGCTATATACGGCTTTATTCAAATCAAAGTTCGCTTTTGTTCGCTGGTGAAGAATTGAGGCGTTTAAAATTTCGATGACATCTTTGAAAAGCTTCATCCACATTGAAACTTGATAACTAAAATTTTTCACTTACGTTAATGGCGTAGATTTCCTCAGTTTCCCGGTATAAACAATCTGTAGTAAAGTTTCCAAACCAAACGCCGTCACATCCTTCAGTTCTATAGTTCTTGATCCCATCTCGACTAAATCTTTGATTTTTTCAGATAAACCAGCAAGAACAAAGGAGTGTGCCTAAAGGGATCAATAAAATTGATTAGCGAAACAAATCAAAATTAGTTTGACGCTACTCCTGGCATGGACGTAGATGGGGGAGGGGCTATGGCCTCCCACAAATTGGAAAAAATAAAAAAAATTTGGGGCTGACTACACTCTTGACTCAAAGTGTTTTGATCAGTAACAAAAAAACCATGAATGTCCCCCCCAATGAAATATCTCACCCAGACATAATCCAACCCTAACCTCCATTAAAATATTTCATTAATTCCTCGTATAAAAGTAAAGGAGACTCATCTCTGAGCAAGGTCAGGCAAATCCACTCAGAAAAAATAGAGCCTCAAAGCTTAATCCACTATTCATACCTTGAATGTTTTTTGTCGCCTTTTCTTTGTTGAATCAGACGTTGCGGTTACTTGAGATGAAGATATCAGAGTAAGGTCGCATAGTTTTCCGGATCTAGAGAGAATAAAAATAATATTTAAAATCAAGATAAATAGGCTTCTAACGAAATTCATCTCTCAGGAAATTATCTGCTCCCACTAATGCACGACTTCACAAAGCAAAATTTTGATTCTTACCTATGTTGTTGATACAGTACATGCATCAACATTCCTGAGTGAACCAAATCCATCCGTTTTGAGCACACACTGTCAGTGGCAACCTGGTATCTCTCATCATTGGCATCAGGAGAAATATAGATCTCAGATATTTTGGGAAGAGTAATTATGTCGCTCAGATCTTGTGACGGCTGGAAAAAAGATAAAAAATGTTACATCAAATTACATATTTGGGGCTCCCGAAGTATGCGAACCAAGATGGCGGACATCGGAATGTAATATGTGTACTAGGTTAGGCCATAATTTTAGGTATAAATACTACGGGAGGCTCTTGGCTAGTCTTCGAACTGAATATAGGACTAAAATAAGGAAAATTGGAAAAAAAATTATCGCCTAACCCTAACCTGTTACCCATGTTACGTTCCGATGTCCGCCATCTTGGTTCGCATACTTCGGGAGCACCACATATTTTTTATAAGGTGCTTTCTTAGGCTATTTCAGTGGTTCACAATCGGGGGCCACAGAGCAGCTGGAAATGGGGGGCCGCAATGCTAGGCGCAAAATCGATTTTCCATTTCTCTTTACAAAAAACTCTCCGTTCTTCCTAATTTCATTGCTTGATAAGAATATCTTACAGGGTGTTTTCACTTTGTTGAACATGAATTGTTTGAACTAATGGCATTTGAAATCTATCAATCAAAATAACAACATAAATACTAACTAAAAACCAACGCAGTATAATCAGAGATGCAGTTATGGCTTGTCATCCTAAACCTAGGGTTACAAACAAGAAAGTGTGGCGGCCTAGTGGTCAAAGTGTTAGACTCATATGTGTTGCAATTGCAGGTTACACATTTCAGGTTCAAACCCCGCGCCCACCACCTAACAAACAGTGTGATAATTTGTGTGGGTAGGGCCAGACCTGAAAGACTCTGTATTTCCAAATAATATTAGCTTATGGCATATCATTAGAGAGAGATAATGATTTATTTCCGAATATATTAAAAATGTACAGATAATAGGATAGGGCAGGAATCAGAATAGGATAGGGTTTACATATTTATCCCGGGGGAGAGGAAAGTCGATAAGACAGCTTATCCATATGGCGAACCACGGCCTCTCGTCGGATTACCAGTCCAGGTCGGGTATGGGATTAGTTAGGTATTTGTTTTCGGAAGCATGGACTTGATGGTGGAGGAAGCCGTAACCGACCAGCGGTTACTTGAACCACCCGACGGCGGGCGGCGAGGAGTCCAGCAATCCTCTCGCACATGATCATCCTCGCATGGGATTCGAACCTGTGATCCAACGTAAGGTAATCAAAGATGCGGTGGCGAGCGTATTCCTAACGCTTAGCACGATGCGCTACACCGCCGAGCCTATTACAATAGATGGAAAAAGCAATCATGAAATATACTCGAGAGAAAGCGGGAAAGACTACAAGGTCAACTATGTTGAACGACCCCTAAAAGAAGATTCCTATTAAGACAAGATATTCAGGTGTCATGAGAAAAAAGAGGCCGCTTATAGATTTTATCTTAATTAATTACAAATATTTGATACATTGCACATAACAGTTCCAAAGCTACTGTAATATAAAAAGGGGGATTATTTAACAAGTTGGCTAACACAATCTTTGAAATTTGATTTAAAAAGGATCATTAGATATCAATGTCTGCTGGGGCTTTGTTTGGAGTGTAAGACACGAGTAAACATCAAATTATAAATATGAGGATACCTGAGGCTCTTCATATTTTGACATCGTCCTTCTAATTTTAACCAAAGATCTTTCATCATCCTGACTTCCGGTTGAATTGTCAAGCAACACACAAATATTCGGACCAGATTTTCGTTTCTGTGGTGCCGTGATTTCGGTCTGTGGTATTTTTTTGCAATATTTTATGTGATTAGCAAGAGATGATGTCCCGAAGGATCTGTGGGAAATGAAAATAATCAGTAAGAGGCCTGATAGAAAAAAAGTATCTTTCGTTTTGAGTCAAGTAAAAATTCGGATTGGACTCCATAATGATATATTTATAATACACAAGACAGTGTTTGAGTATCGTCAGAATACAAATGCCATGGCACCTCTGATTAGAATTTACATATTCATTACTGGGAGAAAAAAGTCTATAAGATGGCTCAATCATAATATGGCAAACCACAATTGGTGATTACTTTGCGTAATTCGCATATTGTGGCGGTTAATGTGTGAGCATTGCTGGACGCCAACTTCTCCCCACTATAGGGTGGCAGCCTTATGATTGAGCTGTCTTACTACCGTAACTTTCCCCTCCCTCAGGATGGAGATGAAAATATTTTCCCATATCTGCATATAACGAAGACCAACAAATGTTACGGTACTGTGATTACTGAATTATTTTGTTTTAATTAGAAATAAACTCCTAATGTATGTTCAAAAACTGGCAACAGTGAGGTGTTTTGCGTCTACACGTTGGTCGTAAACTATTGTACTTTCCAACCAATGCAATAATACCAGCAAAATGAGGCAACAATCCATTGCAATTAACCACTTCATGTTGCTTTATACACAACGGCTTTGCGGCAGAATTATTGCAAGATTAACAAATGATTTGGATACAGCAAGTACATATAAAATCGCAAAATATGGAGCAATCGAAAAATCCCGAAACAAACGAAACTTACCTCGCATCACGACCTCGAACCATCTCAGCACCGCAGCTGTTGCAAATCGCCTTCCGGGGGTCGATTTCGGAGACTCGAAAATGGTCCCAAACGAACGACTTTTTACGGCCTTTTCCCTCTGGTTTCATCATTTAACCCAAATATACTATTTTTACCACATAGAGTATGAAATTAGGAGTTTCTACGCTTAAAAATCGGCGCTCCAGCGAACTATCTCTCCGGATAGGAAACCCGGATGCTAAACGGGACAAGCGCTCCGCGATTTGCAACGGTCGAATGATTACTAGAAAAAAGCGCGGAAGAATGACGTCACATCTGAGGGCCTTTCTTTTTCGTGGCGCGGTTCATTGTTTGAGCGTCTTCCGATAAGGCTGGCTTCACGGGGACTATAAAGATTGTGTCTTTTTTGTACCCAATATATGTCGGGCGTCTTAGTGCCTAGCCATGTCTAAGTATCGTTACATTAATTTGAATATGTAACATTTAACAGTATTCATAAGGTATTATTTCTCGCAAAATATTTCATTCTTCTCAAGAGCACTCTTCTATTTATTTGGTTTTACTAAATATTTTTATTCTTTTATCTCACGGTTTTTCCTCAAGTTACAATTATTACAATGCTCCCAAAGCTCAGAGCATGGTTAGGAGGTTGTGTCATGTTTTTCACTCATGTTCAGGTGTTATCACAATGCTTTCAAGCCTCAACTCCTGATAAGACAGGCCATCTCATTGTGTTTTTCACTTACTTTTTCTCAAGTGTTACCACAATGCTCCCAAGCCCAAAGCGTGTCATATTTGTCAGCCGATTCTGTTACAAATAGAACATTGACAGTAACCAGTAATGCTAACCGGTTCGCTGATCTCATAAAATTCTGCGAGACGGTTCTATAGAACCGGTGCGAACCGGCTGAATCCCACCACTTAATAAACCTAGGTATTTCATATCATTCTCAATATGTTTCACCCTAAAACTTTATTTACCAGAACCTTCCTTTAACAGTATAAACAAATCACACACTCAATAAACCAAGAGTAAAGGGTAATATACTTTATTAGATCATCAATAACATACAATTGAGCAATTTATACAAGCATTGTAGTCCTAATATACAACTATTGCATCATAAACAAATCAAATTTTCCTATTCTTTGTACAATATTGACAATATTGAACCATAAAGAGCTTTCAATCGTTGGTCGTTTGATGGCAAAAACAAAATGAAATACAGGGGACCCAAAAAACAGAACCTAATTTCTTAATTAATTCTACAAAATGACGAAAATGTGTGCATGATTGTACCCAAAAGTTCCAGTAATCTAGGAATTTTTGCACAAAAGTTATGTTCTTTATAGAATATGATCCAAATGGCCTGGGTTCTTTTTTTTGGCCACCCTAAATGATTAATGGGCCTATAAAAGCCCACAATTCGATTTTTGGGAAGGCAGCAGATAATTCAAAATAAAACATAATCGCCAAACTACCAATACTTTGGCTCTAAAAGTCATCAAGTCTAGTTTCGAAATACATGGAAAAATTCATACAAGAATCTGATTCATTAACAGAAAGACTGTTTTAAATGTGTTAGGTCAATGGCTTGAAGGGAAGTCATTAAAACAGCCCATAAGCACAAAAATTGTGGCAACCATAATCTAAGACTGATAAAAGTTAATTAATTTCACAGACTGATTATTGTAAGACATTTAGGGTGTACAGCATTGAAGGGAAGTAGCTAAAATGACCCATGGTGTAATGAGCACAGAAAATGTGGCATATCGCAAGGTCATAAATAAATTTTAAGTAAATTATTGAACAAAAACAAACTGTGGAACATTGTTTATAACATACTATGTGAGCAGTGACATCCATTTTTATTTTAAATTGGTCTGGAAAGGTTATTGATACTATTTCACAATTTGGCACACTTCTAGGTAATTCTGGAAAATTTGGAAACCATACTAATTTGATGAACTTTAACCAATTTCTAATAATATTACCAAGGTTAAAGCATATATTAACTCAAATAACAAACCCAGCAAGGAGGGGTTACTCAGATTCAGGGGTAGTTGGAAGGGTGCACATTGCTAGTCGTAAAACTAATTTTACTTTTCCATTCACAAAAAAATTCTCCGTTCTTCCTAGTTTCATTGCTTGATAAGGTTATTTCACAGGGTGTTTTCACTTTGTTGAGCATGAATTGTTCGAACATAATGGGATTTGGAATCGACCAATCGAAATGACACTATAAATAGCACTGGAATGATAAATGAGGGGCCATGAGTACTAAAAGCCTCCGGGAGGGAGCCACGAGCCATAAATGGTGAGGAACCACTGCTGTAATTTATCCCAGGAGAGAGAGAAGCCAATAAGGACTAAGGTGGCTCAATCCTATGGCAAATCACAACCATAGATGTTAATAAACCATGGAACCTGTGTAATATTAGTAAAATAAAAATGCAAAATAAATTGAACGGCGCACGCCTACGGTAAAGTGACAGCTATTTTGTCACAATAATTGCTAAATGAAAGATAATGTTAGCTTCGCTACAAACCGGTTAATTTTTATCAACAGGTAAGTTTTTTATGTAGCGTTTTTATGTGTCTACTCTGGCCACTGATGGAAAGCTAATCTGAGATGTAAATACTAGCGAATTCAAATTCCAGTACTTTTGATGTGCTTTTCAAGTTAATTTAATCGCGATGGAAATCTTCAACACAGACTTGCCAGCATGTCAGTTTCTGTTTAAAATTTTGTTGACACATATTCATGTCTTTTGATATAAACAAGGCCATGTACAGGCCATCACAGATATATAAGAAGAGCAGTGGCGTATCTACTTAAAATGGCGCCCATGGCAAAGTCTAAAAATGCGCCCCCCGATAGTTGTTTGACAATTTATAATGATTATTAATGAATTAGGATACTTCTACGGTATTATTTGAGTCAAAATACGAGTTTCAGTTATTCCCAATTTGAATTTATTTCATTGAAACGTTTTATTATTAATATTTTTCGCCTTTTTTGCGCCCCTATTCAAACGACGCCCATGGTACGCGCCATGGCTGCCACACCCTAGATACGCCACTGAAGGAGAAGACTAGTTTCTGTGGAACTTTTTCGATTCAGCCTTGCCTACTCAATTTGTTACACCCAAAGTGGAAGGCATGGGATTTGAACCCAGAGATTTTTAACCTGCAATATTTAGGATGACTTTATCCGATAGGCCAGGGCTACTCAACTGGCGGACCACGGTCCGAATCCGGAACTTTCGACCATAAAATTTGGACTGCGTTTGCTTGTTTATTTTAGCAGCATAAGCATCGTTTTATAGTTTTAAATGATTTTGATACAATTTAAATACACAGCTGTACAGTTTGTCGTACTGGTACCAATGAGCGATATTTGTGTCCATATTTGCGAGCCATTCATTGCTCTTGAATTTAATTTAATACTGAATTTGAAGTTTCGTTTATTTGATGAAATAAATTTTCTGTAATGTCAGGACCCTTGTAATTTTGAAGTTTCGTAAACGGACCTTTGGAGAAAATAGTTGAGTAGCCCTGCGATAGGCTATCACGCCCACAAATATACAAATTTCACAATCAAATATGGACATTCTTACTCAATATATGCTAAACATAGCGCTCTTTCAACCATAGTCAGCAGAAGTACCTCAAATATGCATAATTTGATAATAAAAATATATAAACAGCATCACAAGCATCCCCATTTCTCAAACGATGGAAATCCTGTGATTTCTCCGGTTTCAGAAACAGATGTTTGTTCATCAAGTTTGTAGTCGAGTTTGAACCTCATCTTTACTTCTCTCTGTAAAAACAAGGTTGCCAGGTTTATAAATGAGTAAGAAACAATCGAATATTGGAAATTGGTTAAAATTATGTGATAGAAAATTCTAGACCAGTGATTCTCAAAACTTTTAAAGATGATGAGGCGAAAGAAAGTGTTTTATTCAAAAAACACGTTGAAAATAATGAATATCCAAAACAAAGAAATGCAAATTCCCAAAAATAGACCGGCAAGATCAAATTTCACAAATATTTTTTATTGACTTCACGCCTCCCCCCACCCCTAAAAATTGTCTACGATGTTGTGAGGCGGGCCCCACCACTGTTTTAATCTATTACGATTTGTAGGATCGCCCTGTATGCGAGGATATACAGTCTACTGGTAACTGGTATGAGAGGCAGTGGTTCCCAAAATGATTAATTCCCTGAATTTACTCTCCCCATACATAACGAAATATTTCACAAAAAAAAATCACCTTATTAGGGTTAGCTAGCACCATGATCTGGGTTATCGGAGGAGATGGAACGATGGGGTTGAAAGCCGCAAGTTGGGTGCTGGATGGGGTCTGTAGCTTCACCCTCATGATCTGCAAAGAGAAATAATGTATTGAATACTATAGAACGCTAATTTGTGTCTTTCACCCTTATACAAGCCCCCAGGCATGGCCAGAACTAAACAATTCAGTATTTCGATTACATTCGGTAATAGGTTGGTTCCACAACAGAAATTCTTTAAGACAATCGTAACTTTGTAGAAATCAAATTTGGTTATGTTTGAGATAAACATTGTTTTATTTAGTATTCTCTATTTTATTCTGTCAAAAGTTAACAAAATTTTTTGTCTATCATAAAATAATAAATGCTTAAAAAGACAATTTCAAATGAAAATATTCTGAATTAGTAATAAAGTCAAGAATTCAATAAATCAAATATAACCAATTTTGAGTGTATTCGAATATTTTTTTCGTTTTGAACTTCCCCCCAAAAATCAAAACCCAGGTAATTTGAAACATATTTTAGAGAGAACATAACTTTTGTGCAAAGCGTCTGAGACCTTCGGGCACAATCATACACAAATAGAGGTTCAAGTGTTAAATGAATTTTCTTAAAACTAAGAAATTCACAGATTCTAATTAGTAAGACTGGAATTGCTACAGGTCGCGCAAAAGACAGAATTCATAAACTCCCTGATTACTTTATGCTCAATGAAAGGAAACAAAAAATTTATTTAATAAAAATTTATGTTAAAGTTATATCAATTTTCGCAAAAGTAATCAAGAAAGTTATGTGTTCTTTTTTCTGGGAAACCCTGTATTTTGAATTGATTTACTCACTTTTGGAACAGCAACTTGTAGAACTATGTTAGGTATCGCTGCCGGCCTCGTGCTCATGATTGAAATGACAGTAACGAGAGTGTCTTTCCGATCTGCGGTCGCAAAATCTTGAGTGAAATGAAACAAAACTCGGAGTCCGTTGTTATCGTAGACGGTAAGAGGAGGCAGTGTACCTGACAAGTAGGGATAACGTTCCATTTTTTTTTCTTTACTATTTTATTTTCAAATTGAACAATTTTCACCAAAAAAAATAAAAATATTATCATAATTGAAAATGTAATGTAATTTTTCATAATGTAAAACATTATACACTAATACAAATTAAAAAAAAAAGAAAAACATTGAATCTGGCAATTGATGAGAGGGCGTGAACATGCCTCACACATGTAGTCCAGTGGAAAAGACAATAAAATCTTAACTGCTTTTCTGACAGCAATGTATCATCGTCTGCAACACTAAACCAAAAAGATGTAATGGCGTTTTGATTGAAATGATCATTAAAGATCGATCAGACTCTCTTCATATCACTGCGGACCTCTGTGAAGCCATCACAAACCACAGTTTGGGAATCCCTGTACTGAAGCATAATTTTCCGCCACAAGAATATAAAATAATAATATATTAAAAATCTCACTTGGCTTAATTGATTCCAGAGGAACAAAAACATCAGTGAGAGGCAAGATAGGAAGGGGCGTGTCTTGCGTTTGGTAGGTTGAAATCGGTGATGTGACAGGAACAGTAGCCAATACCGTTTGAGTATTCATTGTAGGAGGCGGGACTGACATGAAATCAGCGAATAGTGATTGGTCGCCTGTGTTTTCCGGTTGAGTGGGCGGGGTCGCGGTTGAAATAGCAGATGTTGATGGTATAAGGAGTTGATCTAAAATATCTGTGGATTGGGGTGTTGGCTTCGGTTCCTGTGAAGAAGGATAAATAAAATTAATTTAGAAATATGGTCAATTAAAGTATGCTCAACTACTACTCGTTTCTCGGCAGTTGGCGCATCATGCCAAATGTTGAGAACATGATTGGCATCGCACCTCCCATTAACCTGCACCGATTCGCAGGTTTAAATCCCGCTGGGAATGATCATGTGTAACAGGATTGCTGAACTCCTCACCCCCGTAAAGAGGTTCACATAACCGCTGGTCGGTTACGGCTTCCCCCCACCGTCAAGTCCATGAATCTGGAACAAATAACTGGCTAACAAGACATGGACTGGTTACCGGACAAGAGGCCGTGGTTTGCCATATGATTAAGGCGTCTTATCGACTGTCTAGCATTTGCTGTCTGTAGGGATGATACAGCCGGAATCAAAATGCATAAACTTGCAAGCTTGCTTACAGCAAGTCACTCAACAAAATACTGAAAAAGTTATGAGAGTTGCAATCAACCAATGAATAAGATATAACAAATTTTCTTATTTGTTGAGTACCGCACTCCTGTAAACAAATTCAAAAATTCTCACCTGTACAGTACTTGAGACTGGTTTGGATGAAAGTTGGTTCAGTGTTGGTTTCGCAGTTGTTCGAGGCCTGGGAGGAAGAAATATCGATTTAATTTAGAGCAAGGGTGTGCACAACCTTTGGTACAGGAGGGCCTGACACAAATAACTGTGTGAAACCGCAGACTGCACTTTTATTTACCATAGGCTTTCTAGTAGTTTGCAGGCAGAAAATTTTTTGTTATTGATCCCGCGACATGAGCTGTTGGGGAACTGTAACTTCATATGCATAGATAATAAACTGGACTCGGGGTATAAGCTTTGCAACACAAAAGTAGCCTCGGCCAAAATTTCAAGGATTTATATGTGATATTCTAATTTCTGTAACTTACGCAAATTTTTCTTCCGGCGTTCTCCCCAGTGTTTTTTCCAATAAACTTCGACTTATCATATCAATGTCTGACATACCCGTTGCACCCTGGAATAAAGAGAGAAAATCAAAAAATGTTTCTTTCATCAATAAAACAATAGGAGTGCCGCACTTGTCGACAAATTCACAAAGTTTTTCCACAAAATTCGTCATTTCAAAGACAAACTGTTGGAACAGGATTTTATGCTTGACGGGGAAAGATCTGAGTGTTAACAGAGGCCATACTAAATGGCATAGCGGTAGCACACCCTTCCTCTACAGTAAATAACAACCATTCAACGCACTAGTTTGACCAATTAAGTTCATTTAAAGTTTAAAATCATTTGAAGCAGCGGTTCCCAACTAGGGGCCCGTGGCCCCCCAGAAGTTGAATGTGGGTCTGGCCCGTGGCCCCCCAGAAGTTGGATGTGGGTCACAATGCTAGGTGCAAAAACTTATTTTATTTTTCACTCTAAGAGAAAATTCCCCGTTCTTCCTAATTTCAATGGTTGATAAGGTCATTTCACAGGGTGTTTTCACTTTGTTGAGCATGAATTGTTTGAACATAATGAGATTTGGAATCGACCAATCAAAATAACATTATAAAGCTACTGGAATGATAAACAGGGGCCATGAGTGCTGAAACCTTAGTAAGGGGGCACAAGCCATACAAGGTTGGGAGCCACTAAGAGTCATATCAAAACAATACCTTATTATTGTTAGCAGTGGGAGGGGGAAGCAGAGGTGGAACTGTATTTGTTGGTTTCTTAGGTTGGAATGATGATTGTTGTGTAAACAATGACTGATGTTGTGATGTCTCCATAGGTGTTTGTGATGTCATCATTGTTGATTGTGATGTCATAGTAACCGATGCAAATAACGAAGCAATGTCATCAGAAGTAGTCACAACTGTAGGAGCTGAATCTATATGGAACAGATCACCATTTGCTGATGCTGAAAAGTATAAAAAAAGTCTAAATATGGAGACTTGTCGCTGTACAGCCTAAAATGATAAATCTTCAGCAGAGATGTCCAATACCGAATAATTCACTATTTCGAATACATCCGAAATTACTATTTTCAAAAATGAAATATTGAATATATTTGAAAAATCTCTTGAAGTAATTTTGAAGTAAAAATTTGAAGTAATAGAAGCTTCTTATTGTAAAATTAATTATAATAGGGCAGTTTACCACACATTTTATGTCCGCAGATTGCAGCGGTATTTTGTTGGCAGAACCATTTTAATGGTATACATTGTTGGCAGAATAAATTCACACACAATATTCAATGAGGCATGAAAAGTCGGAACAATTTTCAATTCAATAACCTACCTGATGTCTGAAAGCTGGCAAATAAATTATTTGAATCACCGATACTTTGTGATGTTGAATGCATTTCGAGCTCTGCGAGGTCAATCAAAGATGACTTGGCTGATCATTGTGATGAAATAATTAAAATACATTGATTAGCACACGAGATGAAAATCAATTCGCGAATCAATGAAAATGCAATCAAATACTTCAATTTATTATTGATTACTGAATTGTCTCTTGCTTTGGAATCCCGCAATTTATGTTTATTACATGTTTTTGGGTGTTAAACAATTTTTAAGAAAACATGCTCAAAGTAAGCTGATGCCCGCTCCTCAGAAATAAAGGTTCATCTCTGAGCGAAGTTACAGACAACCCCCAAAGCAGTGGTTTCGAAACTGCGGCCCGTGTAACGATTTAATATGGGTAAATTATTGGGTAAATAATATTCTCATTGCCAAGTCCATCACTTCACCCAAGTTAAATTGGGTAGACCAGGGGTTGTGCAACATTTTTTGTCGGTGAGCCTTATAAACATCTTCCGACATGTAGCTGGTCCACACACAAAAATTAGTTTTTCCATGTAGGCCCCCTACATACGAATTTAAAAAAAATTCTCACAGAGCCAAATATTAGTTATTACTTATCGATTTTAAAGGTATTTGTCAGTTTGTTTGTCTGTTAGATGCACGCTATATCTCACGAAAGCGAGATTGAATCTGCTCCAGATTTTGCATGTGCATTCATCATATGTCGGACCAAAAGCCCATTGATTTTGGATGAATTATGTCGTATAATTAGCGAGTTATTAATTAATTAGTGATGGGACACAAGGTTTCACTATGGAGTAAGAGTGCTGTTTTGGGGGATCCCCTAACTTTTGATCGATAAGTCTTCGGTCTCTGACCGGTATTCTCGTTTTTTAACATCTTAGTAGGACACTTGAAATTCTGAGTTCTTGCATAGAGGTGCATTAATACCAGCTGTTGGGTTAGGGGTGGGGAAAAATCCGAGTGTTGATAAGTGCCACACTAAATGGCTTGGCATGCCTTAACCCTAGCCTGGTACACACACTAGAGTGTACGAAAAGAGACTCTTCTTATTATCAAAAAAGCAACAATTAATAGTATCATTGCTTGGTATTGATCAGCAGAAAGCAATCAATTAATCAATAATTAAAGTATTTTTAAATAATCAATCAAACTGTCATGATAAGTGTAGAATTGCAATATCAGTAATAAATCAGTTTTAGAAGATAAGTTATCTAAAACAATGATAACAATACATAAGCTTATCTGTTTTTATACCAGAACTCAAATGATGAACTGCCGATTTTGTTTTTTCTATTTCTTTACAGTCATGAATTAAATAAAAGCGTTTTGGCCATACTTTTAGGCTTCTATTATTCAAATTATAATTGTCTGAATAATAATATTCCTGAAATTAGGAATTTAAAATGTCTAATAAAATTAATTTCAAAACGATTGCAAATTCAATTCCTTTTGTACATCCCTGAGACATACGCAATAAAAACAACACACATATTCTTGTAAAGAGCCTCTTTTAGAGCAAAACAAACCATATAAAATGTACCGCATAATATTTTTTCTGTGAAATTTCAATTTTCTTTACAAAAACTAAAATCTACAAAATATATTCAGTTGATTAGTTGTACTAGTACTCCTTGTATTGGCTTCTTATTGAAAAGGGCCCTCTTACTGCTCTGTGGCCCTCTTGGAGGACCATGGGCCCTCCAGAGAAACTAACGAAGTATTAAAGCAAGATATCTCACGTTTATTTGGCTCAGTCGTTGTTTGTTGATCATTAGCTTTGTTAGCTTCTTCCCCATCACCCTTCCTGTCCATGGCTAACCTGAAAAGAGGAATTAGAAGAACGCTGAAAACCAGTGATTTAATAGAAAAGAATTTGGAAATATTTTGACTTTAAAGAGGGCGCCGAACAAGAGGTCACTGATATGTAATGAGATACTATTACAGACTGGGATCTTTCTTATTCGGTATTGTCCCCGGGCTTCCCAAACTGGGCCTAACCATCCCGCAGAGAGGTGTGCAACAAATTTTAGGAGTCGCAGAAGAGTACACCAATTACACACAAAATACTAATCTATTGTACTATATAGACTTTTGATTCAAAACACAATTATTAAAACTAGCGCAAAACATAAATCACACGATTTTGAGTGAATACATAAGATCAGAGACGCGGCACACTTGCATAATTATGCCAACTTGACAGAAGTAGAGAAAATTTTAATATATTGGAAGGGGTTGCAAGCCTAAATGTTTGGGAAGTTATAGTCTACCAAATTCATGAGCCAGTGGATAAACCACCAATGCCAATATATTTAAGTCTGAAGCTTTACCCGCTGGCCGCTACGCCAGGGTTTCTCAAACTGCGAGCAGTACTCTGCCACAAGGTCTTCATTGATACAATTTGTTTAAATTGAATTGATTTGAAGCAGGGGTTCCCAAACTGGGGACTGCAACCAGTAGTGGGATTCAGCCGGTTCGCACCGGTTCTATAGAACAGTCTCACAGAATTTTATGAGATCAGCGAACCGGATTTGCTTATATACTCTCCCGTTGAACACAATATAGTTCTGCATGATTTATTATTACATAAAATAACTCAACTGTTTGCTGTAGAGAGTTCATTTGTAGCGAATACCAGTACAGCAAATACGGTTCTATAGAACAGTCTCACAGAATTTTATGAGATCAGCGAACCGGTTAGCATTACTGGACTGGACATTAGCATGACTTTTTGTGATGGAACCGGCTGACAAAAAAAATGAATCCCACCACTGGTTGCAACTCTGAAGGGAGGCGCGCAACAAATTTTAGGGGAACGTTTGGGAAGATTCGAAGTAAAGAACTATGGTTTGTTAAATTCTTTCACTGTAATGCATTTATTTCAACATGTGACGAATAAAATAACTTGCGAAAACTTGTTGAAACATGTTGAAGAACAAAACTTTTTTTAATCTTGAAGAGCAGGATGTTACAGAGTTCTGAAAGTCTTTAGAAATCGGTCACAAATCTAAAAGTTCGAGAATCTAAACATAAGGCCTAGGCATATCTATTTCTTTAGAACAAGTTCAAATACCTTGGCAATACAAGTTTCTCGTACGATTGAATAACTCTCGACAAATCATCATTCGCTCGGAGTATATCCATCAATGCTTGCTCATCGTCACTTGTGTCGGAAGCGAGTCGAAACAAACCAGGTCGTAACTTGATGCAACCGGAATGCAATTCCTGGAAAACAGGGAACATTTTTCAATTAAACTATTGGAACGCTGGTAACATATGGACAAGAAGAGATGATAATTATGCATATTACATATTGATAGGCCATTGAGAATAGTTTAGTGTGAGTATGAAGGCTTAGTGGTCAAGATGTTGATTAAACTTAACTCAATTTTTCCAATTCGAATTCTTCACCCAGTTTTGCATATCACTAGATAAGGGTCCTTTGTTGAAGATTAAACAAATGAGGTGGTTTATGCATAACAATGTTTTTTTTTTCAAAATTGGCAGAGGGAGGTATTTAGCAGAAATGGCTGTGAACCACTGTCCTAATGTATGATTGAAGGCTTTCTTCTCCCCCACCCCCATATATATGAAAACATCTAGGAACATATACAACCAACCTTCATTGTCTCCATAAGTACATACAACCACCCTTCATTGTCTCCATAAGTACATATACAACCAACCTTCATTGTCTGTCTCCATAAGTACCTATACAACCAACCTTCATTGTCTCCATAAATGCATATACAACCAACCTACATTGTCTCAAAAATTACATATACAACCAACCTACATTGTCTCAAAAATTACATATACAACCAATCTACATTGTCTCAATAAGTACATATACAACCAACCTTCATTGTCTCCATATCTGTATGTGGAGTGGAATCGGAATCAAACTGAGCCAGCATCTCATTCAAAAGCCTGACGTTGTTCGAGACTTCCTCTAGCATACGACATCGTTTTTCTATCTTCTCCATCCTGTTTTGATCCTCCATAACTACGCTTTTAATTAGACGATTTGCTGCCTGAAATCAAGAATGTAATACTTTTTACGTCAGATTAAGGATTCTATGAAGTATATTGATAAGAATACCAAACACTTATTTGCTGACGGAGTGGAGCTTATTTTTATAACAGATAAGTACTTTTTTACCATCTCTTATCCACGACTTATGTATTTTTTTTATGAGACGCTTATTCAGTACTTTTGTTAGAACAACGCCATGTACAAGCAAACACCGATGAAGAACTAAATTCTTTCGATTTTACATTGCTTACTAAATTTGTTACTCCCTGGGTAGGATTGAGTACATGACATTTGAATGTGAGATAAGAATCTGCGATACCAACACAGTGAACACATCGAAAATTTTTGGGCATTAGGTTGCACATGTAAAATATCATAGAGGAACAGCTCTTCAGCGTCATTTTGCCAAATAAAACTCTAGCACAGGGTGGTCCAAACCCAGGCCCGCGGGCCACATGTGGCCCGCCACTTTATTATTTATGGCCCGCGTCGCATTCGGAGAGGGATCAAAAAAACGCATTTCGTGTTGTTTCATCATAAAATTAACCAAAAAATCTTTTGACATATTGTTGCATCACTAATGTCACTGAATTTACTAGTGTTATGGCTTGCTGAGGCAACTAGCGAAATTAAACAAGCAAAGTTCTTGGCACTATTGTGGCCCGCGAACAATGCAAAAGTAATTTTGTGGCCTGCGGAGCTGCCAATCTTGGACCACCCTGCCCTAGCATATGCTTTTTAAGAGCCATGAATGACTTTTAAGTTTTTTAATGGTTGATAAAAAAAATTTTTGAAAATAACCCATGCAAAACAAACTCATAAAATCGCCCTAAACAGGGTTGAAGCAGTAACAAATAATGTCAGCATTTGGCCAAAGGTGTTTCGGGGAGTATATTAACTTTTGTGCAAAGCTTCCTAGACTACTGAAAGTTTTGTGTACATACACAAACAGAAGTTTAAGTTGTAAATAAATTTCTTTATTTTCGTAGGAATATTTATGAAATTTATGGGTTTCTTGGGACTACAGTTAGCTGATTGACTGATAAAATAAAAACATCTCAAACCTGTAAATCCTCTGGATTTTTACTTTTCAATAGTTTTTCTAATCTTTTTTGTCGTTCTTCATCTCTGAATAAATTATCTTTTTCGGGCCGGGGAGGGGGAGTAGGAATCAGCATCATATCGTCGTACTCTGGGTCCTGCTTGACTATCCCTGTACAGAAATGGTTTCAATTACTTCTGTAAGTCTCTGAACTAACTTTTTTTCCTGTATAACGTGCGAATTTTAAGATTAAAACCAAATAATTCAGTATTAAAACATGATGAAAAATGTAACATTTAGAATGTAGATACTCCCTTGTCAGCTTTTGGTTTTATATGTTGACGACTTGTTATGTTGCAAATTTGTTAACTTTGGGTAATTTAAAAAATCAATGAATTCCCCTCGAAAATTTTTGATTGGAGAAGAAAAATGTCCAGAAATGGCAACCCTAATTACAGTTACAGAATACCAATTTTTTCGTATATAAACACAGATAAGGAGTCGAGTCGAGTAACAATCTATGAGATGGTAAATGGCTACACAACCCTTGCAATAAGTACATCTGGTTGCTCCAAGAACACCCGAAATTTGGATGACTATGACTTCTAACTCAAAGGAATTTAAAAATACAGCATACCAATTACCAATACCCATGGTACAGCCTATTGATCAACATCTATAAAGAAGTTGACTGGCTAACATCCCAGATAAAAATCATACTTTGACTCAGAATCTAGAAAACTTTAAACATTTGAAACTTCAAAACATCAAAAAAACTCACCAAAAATTTAAATTGAAATCAATTTTAAAATAATATTCTTCCGTGAAAGTTTTAAAAATTTGACACAATCTCCAGGAAATTTGGATAATACTGTGTTGTGTACCTTGTTGCTTGAGCATCTGATAAGCATCTCTGATCTTTAATTGTTCTTTCAATCCGATACTCCATACGTACATCAGTTGGACAACTTTGTCTCGAACTTTTTGGGTTGTCTTCTCTCCAAGATACTGCGAGAAATATTTATATATATTTATATAGTATATCCGAAGAAAAAACAATTTTCAGGCTTTTTTGACCTTCTGTCTGTCATTATTAGCCAGTGAACATCTTCTGGTCTGGAACTCACAGTGGTACCTGTTTTAGTTCCGATTTCCCAGAATAAATATGTAAATCCTGTTTTAGTTTTGATTTTAAATATTGCCTTACGTCCATTTTGGATTGGCTGTACAAAAAACCAAGATCTGATTTTCTCCTAAACCTAAAAAGGTGACATGGACTAATTTGGTTATCCTATTTCATTTGCTTGGAATACTACTACTATCCAAGTACTATCCAAAACATAATTACCTTTGGTGAAACAACTTTAATGAGTTCGTTTAGAAATCTATATTTCCCGACTTCGTTTTGGAAACTTTTTTCACAATGTTTCATGCAATATTCCAGGACAACTAGTGCTTGTAATGCTTCATGTTCCTGTGGAGATTGTATCTTGTGTGCCAGCATTCGTGTGCTGTTCTGTGCCCTGGATTGAAAAGATGTAAAAAAAATCAACTTAAATGAAATTCAGCACCGGTAATTTCTGCGAAAACTCTAATTTAATTTATAATGTAATTCTAATTATTTTTCTATTGTAGAATTCGGCGTTTTGCAATAAAAGTCTGTTTTTTGTTAAAATCTCTTTTATTTGTCCGACCCCTAGATGTTTAATGCTGAAAATCATCAATTTTGATACCACGTTATTCTGAATCATTATTATAACCATGCCATATAAAATATAACCAATTTTGCGTAACTAACAGTTGAGGTTAACTAACTACCTTTCCTTGCTCCATGCCTTTGCGCAGATGGATTCGTATGCGTATAACGCAAGGATGCTATAGCAAGAGTGAAAATCTTTCAAAAAATTGTACATTTTAAAGTATTATAGTAGCAGAAGTGCACAGAACCCAGTAGTGACCAAAACAGACATTTTATTTGGCCATCAAAAATTAAAGTCTTATCTTAATGTCTGACCACCAGATCCAGATGTTAGCACAATTAGAATTACAAATTCCCCTAAAAATATTGCGGAATCTTCCTAAATGTAAAAATTTCTTACCCTTCTATTTCTCGATCAACCTTTTCAGCAAACAATGTGATACAATCGGTGTCATCCTCACGAGTTAATGGGCTTGTTGCTTTGCCTGTGAACAAGGGGTTAATAAATCAACTTGGTGTTAAGCTAAGCCAAACACTGATAGGGTTAGTTGTTTTTTAATAAAAAATAACATAAATAATATAGTATCAAAAAGAATTACCAACAGTACATTATTAATATGTTATACATAGTTATACATCCAATAATATTATTATTTTAAAGATAAAGCATGCAAAAACCTGGCTAGTTTTTATAGAAGAGGCAACATGGGGTCTTGTGTAGTTTCTTACCTAACATACTTCTAGTGGGCGTAGCATCACAATTTTTTGACATGTCAATCCTAACCCCCACCAGACTATGCCATCCAAAAATTACGTCACTACGACATCACAATCACGTCATAGAGCTTGTTAAATATACGTACTATCACCCGAAATGCGCCGACGATAAAGAACTTACTAACGTCAGCGATCTCTCTCATATTGGAATCGCCGCGACGTAAAAACGAGAGAAATAGCCGTTCGATTTCGGGTGCACAGACGTGCGCGTCTTGGATGACAGTTCGTATAGTTTGAAAGTCTCTATTACCTCACTGTGACGTCGTAGAGACGTAATATTTGGATGGCATAGTCAGGTGGGGGTTAGGATTGACACATGAAAAAATTGTTGTGCTACGCCCGCTAGAAGTATGTTAGGTGGAAACTACATGAGACCCGCAACATGTTTATAATGAAATTTTGAAGAGGCAACATGTTTATAATGAAATTTTATGAATGAAAAAACACCAGGCCAGTTATCGGGTTCTTGTATTATTTAATTCAATCATACCAAGAATTGACTCAACTATCAATCACATGACTACATGATAATGTGTCAGATAATACTCATACCGGTATCTGATTTTGTGGCGTAGGTCATGTGACAGAATCACTGCTGGTGGTACCGGTACCGGGTACCCGTATACCGGTACTGATATAACTGGCTAGCCATTGCTACAAAGAACCTGGACTTGTAAACAGACGAGACACCGTGGATCTCCATATGACAGTACTGCAGTATGACAAGTCCATCTTATTTATCTCCTCTCCCGGCATAAATATGGAAATCATATCCAATTCGGTCGTACGTACGGCAAATATTCTCTTTCATCGCAAGACAATGCAGAAAAAACAAATATATACTCACTTAGCAAAACCTCCAATGAATCTTCATTCGCTGTCGCCATAATCCTTCCAGAAATGTATCCAAACTACCGCATATTTTCACTAAAATCCTCCCCAAATTTCGAAAAATTCCCAGAGACAGATCGACAGTTCAGATTACCGAATCGTTAGCAATAATGCCGACTGGATAGTGTACACGAAATCACACACGGTTTTTATTTAGTCACGCCAAAATGTCATGTTCCCAATAATACGCAAACCCGATATGGTCAATTTAAAAAATATATAATTAGGCATATATAAATTTCTAGCATCACATGAAGAAAATGGACCAAAAACAAATAAATAACACCATACCCGACATGGACTACACGACGTGGTTCGCCACGTGAATAAACCATACTCATCGGCTTTCCTGTCCTCCGGGATAAATATGTAAATCCTATCCTAATACCGGTGCCAGTTGGATTCGAGTTCATTCGTCGAAGACTCGAGTCATAAAAGTGAAATGACCCGGACTCAACTAACCGCCAGTGTAACTTGAACCTAATTAACTAACTCGACTTCCGGGGTTCAAAGAAAGACGTGTTCCCAATACACAGCAACGATTCATGCAAGCAGCTATCCAAGTCCAAAAAAAAAGCTGCTGCGGCATCTGCTCAAAAATCAACCTGGTTAAATCAAACATGAAACCCAGGTGTCTAAGAATCGACCTAGGACTTTAACCACGGACGTCAGAAAAAGAAGACATCATATTTTGATCAACAAGAAAAAATGGTGATAGCAAGGAAAATTTTATTCATCAATTTATCACAGTAACAAATCATAGTAAATACGATATTAGAGCGAGAGAATTGCTCATCGTGGTTCACGTAACCGCCGGTTGGTTACGACTTTTTTCACCATCAAATCCATGAAGACCTATCTGAAATAAATAACTGGCAAACTAATCCCATTCTCGAGAGGCCGTGGTTCGCCATATATTCAACCGTCTTATAGGCTTTCCTCTCCATGGGTTAAATGTGTGATCCTATCCCAAATAAAAAACTGAAACTAATCGTGTTTGTCGCATATTTAAAAATTTGACCGAGAAAGTGCGTAGAATTTCTAAAGGTCATTAAGATCTGAATCACAGAACATCGTCATTGTTTAATCACATATCTCCAAAATAAAAACACTGTGTGGTATATTCAATGTATATAACCCTATTCTTTGGTGTGAAAGGGAGAATGTATGTTTATTTTCCTCAAAAATGTGACAGAATCTGCACAATAATTAAACAGTATATCGGAGACGGGATACATGTTCAAGACCTTACTGGCCTAAGACACGAATGTACGATAGGCACATGTAACAAGTAGCCTATAACTGCAGTTTAGGACTGTTGTATCATAGTAGGACAACAGACATAGAATATAAAAATGAAACTATAGTACAACACGCAAGACAAAAAGGTGCGACACAACGACGATATGTAGGCTATAATAGTCAGTTTATGGTTCATGTTCCAGGTTCCGGTGGGAATAGGGTATAAATAGCAATTTGATGTATGAAACCGACGTATGGAGCACCAAGGCGGGCAAAGTAAATATGAGACATCGAAAAAGCATAGAAGACATGGGAAATTCAAGTTAGTATTAAATCACTGAACACTGTCGGATTTTTAACGTACGATTTCTTTAAAAGAAAAAAAAATTTCAGTTCTCATAATGCCATAACGATTCAGTTCAGGCGTACATCCGAAACCCGAACAAGTTCAAAAATTCGGTCCACAGATCGTCAACGCGATTCAGCGAAGTAAATAGGATAAATCGCGCTTCCAAAGCATCCGTTTTCGACGGAACACAATATAAATTAAAGCAATAACTGGATCCTAGAGGTCGAAATTAAAACATTCATTGACTACGACACAATTTCCTATAACCCTCCGTAATATTTATTCGTTTGCCAGCCTCAAATCTTCGAATATTTTGAAGAAATCCACCTCCACTAATGCAATAAAAAATTTTAGATTTGAGAAAACAGCCCGTCCACGTTTCAAGGATTGTGCTCACCGCGTCATGCACGTTCGCTAACCCTGACATCGCTGAATTCAGTTCTAAATTGCATTCTAAATAAAATATTGTAACTGCATAATTACTATTCTTTTGTATTTTGAGTTGGGGATTTGTTTAAAAAGAATTGTTTTAAATCAAGTTTTTTTTGCCTGTATTGTTCAAAATGGCTGTACTATTTGATTTTTTCGTATTAAATAGATTGAAGGAGAAAGGATGTAAAAACTTGCCAAGCGCTTCTTTTTTGCAATGAATCCTCCGAAACGCCATAAATATCGATAAAGGCCCATACACACCTCCTCAAGCTGTAGTTCAGTGCGACCGCAAACGTGGTTGGCGCAGTGGGACGTAAACGATAAGCCATTACGTGAACGACCCTGCGACGAAACCACCTCGCGAAAATTGAAATGTGATCTAATAAATCAGTTTGTATAACTTTGAAAAACTCACTTAAACATTAAGAACAAAGTATGCTAAGCATAAATTATTCGAACGGTATTAACAGTAATAATGCCTTTATTTTTTGAGAAAAATGTCAATACATAAGCTCGAAATCCTTATTATGGCGCCAAAAACAGATTAGTTGTAGAAGAATTTTACTTATATTTTTGAAATTACAATTCCGGCTGCATATGTAGCTGCCAGAATGCAACGTTTTGGCATAGTTTCGCGGCATAGTTTCGCGATGCAAGGGGTATTTCAATAAAAAATACAAAAAACACAGAAAAAATTGATTTAAAACAAGCCCTTGTTTTAAAACACGGTGTTTTTTTTAGAATTGATAAAAAACAAAACCCTATTTTGAGTGGTGGCCGTAGTAATTTTCGCCGGAGCTTACTACAACCGATTTGGAAGTTTATTTGTTGAGTCTTCTCCCATGTGGGATCAGATTACCGAACAATCAGAGAGTAAGCTTCAACTTGCACCGCCGGATTTTGAATTTCAAACCATTGTGTGGTATATTCAATACCTGTAACACTATTCCTTTGGTGTGCAAAAGAGAAACCGACGTCGAATCACCAAGTCGAGCAAACTAAATATAGGACTTTAAAAAATATTGGAATACATGGAAAGTTCGAGATATCTTCAAACCACTGAACACTGCCTTTTTAATCGTGCGCTTATCTCCAAATCACAAAATTGCAGTTTTCATAATGACATTTAATGATTCTGCTTCGGAGTACACCCGTACATTTTTGGCCGGGACTTTGTACAAAAGATTCGATAAAACTTAGTCATATTGCATTCGCCTACCATATGTTTGGTCCTGAATTCCTTCATGGTTAAAAATTGTAATTGAAAAATCACTAAATTTTTATTTTGAGATATAGCGGGGATATTATTTGGTGGAGGCTTTCTACAAAATAAGCAAAAGTTATTTTGTTGAATCTTCTCTTATGCGTGAATCAGATCAGCGAACAATCATAAAGTAAGCTTTAACACACACCACCAGGTTTAGAATCCCAAAAATCGTGTAGGCCTATTTCCAAAATCAGAACACTACAAGGTATAGTTGATGTGTCAGGGAGATACCGAAGCGCCGAGCACAAAAGTGAACACGAGACATCGAACATTATTTGGAAGTCGTAGCTACAAAGCTTCTTGTCATTTAAACGTGCGCATATGTCCGAATTAAAAATCTGCAGTTATAAACCAAAGAACATCGTCGACTTTTTAATCTTAAAAATCGCATATCTCCAGAATAAAAACACTGCATGTTATATTCAATAACAGTATATTCAACACTGTTCTTCGGTGTGTATCGGAAAAACAGACGAATGAAGCACCAAGGCGGGAAAAGTAAATGAAAGAAATCGAAAACAATTTGGAAGACATAGGAAATTCAAGTTGAATCGCACTATTGTTGGTGCGCGAGGGAGACACCGAAGCACGGAGCACCAAAGTAAATACGAGACATCAAAAAATAATTTGAACGTGCGCATTGGCAAAGTTATAGGATTATTCAAACTTAGCCCCTAACCTTTCGCATCTTAATTGGCGATTCACCCGATCCTCATGAACATGTATTTGTAGCAATGGACCCAGAGACATGGGCCATCCATTACTTGATTATTTTACATCGTGTTGTGTATTTGAGAGGTGTTAGGGTTCAGAATCTTTTGTACAAAGCCCCTACTACGAAAAACTCCCCAGCCACGTTTTAAAATATTAAATTAGTAATTATCCAGTTCGGGTAAGGAAGGAATGATTTCAAAATATAAATATATAACGCAATCTTCATTCCTGGCCCTAACCCTAACTAGATAGTTACTATTTTTGTTTTGAGCGGTGGTGGCGGTGTTTCTTGGCGGTTTGTATAAAAGTTTTGAAGGTTTTACTTACCGGTATATAAATATTTTTTCCTTCCTTGTGCTCTTTTACTACATATGTCCTAAACTGCTGTTATATTATTTTGTTGAAAAATATGTCCGAAGGTTATATGTTGCGCAACTGTGTCTTAGGCCAACAAGATGTAGGCCATACGGCCTATCATACTATCGTGTTTCCCCAAAAATAAGACCTAGCTTAAAAATGAGACATAGCCTGAATTTTAAAATCGATTTTAATACAAGCCCCCTCCTCAAATAGAGACCTAGAGACCTAGAGACCCGTGAAGTTACATTTTCTGTTTTACTGTGTCATAATCGCATACATTTCGAATGTCGCTGTAATTGTATCAGTTGTGACTTATTCCTAGGATTTATTCATTTTATCCCTCATTTAATTATATTTATTCTAACCTGTAGCGCTGTAGGTGTCGCTGCTTGAAGACCTGCTTAGGTCCCTCGCGACTCCGGTCACGCAAAAACATGATTAGTACTGTAATTTATTCATTATGTCACTTTATGTTTGAACGTGTTTTTTGTGATGACAAAATAAACGATTGATTGATTGATTGATAGCCGGCGGGGCGCGAAAGTTTTTGAATTGGGCGATAGCAAGAAAATTCAGTTAAATGAAAGCGTCGTTGAAATTTATGAATCTAGTGGTAAGTCCTATAGTGCTATTTTTCGAAAGAAAATTAAAATAGGAAAATTGAAATTTAATTAGATTGTACCATGTGTTGCGCTTCTTGCAATTACTGAGATAAAATGCTATATTTAAATTTGAATATTTATTTTCTCCGCGCCAAAAGATTG